CCGTAAGTCGTTTCGCGAATAATTCCGAGAGGCGGCGAGGGCCACGAGGTTAGCGCTCGAGACGTAGTGAGCGAGAGCGCGTTTCATGGAGTACAGTGAGCGCCAAGTTCAACATGGCGCAGATAGTCACGCCATTGCACCAGAGGCCACGACAGTTGAGTTTTGAGCGCTGGGCGTAGAGTCGATGGAACAGCGAGGAAGAGCGTTCTGAGCGGGGCTCATTCGGATTGGGGACACCGCCTTGTCCACGTGGCGCACCGGCGGGTCAAAGCTTACGGATCATTTTGTTACGCTAGAAAGGCCTACAAACGGTTACGCGTCTAGACCGTACTCGTTACTAGTCATTTCCACCACGAGTTTGCAAGCCCCTCGGCGAAATCGTAAGTAATCGTAGCACACTCCCAAGAAATGGAAACTAATTTTTCGAAATCGTAATTTTGTCAAGCCCTAACGCCACTGCTTCCGCTTCTTGCCACCCGCCAGCATCTGAACCTCGTTCACGAACATGCAACTCTTACACCTGCTCAGGTATGTTTATTCTCAAATATGAAAACAATTGTAAGTCTTAGATTTTGGCAGTTATGCAGCCGCAGTGGTAGCATTTCTCTTCGTTACACTCTCGCTTGGTAGGTCTTACTGGACCACGTATATGTTGCCGTCATCGTACTGACGTTCTGTTAGCGAGTGGTCTGTTGTGGATCTCTGAAGTCATTGAAGAGCACTCAAAGACCGCCAAAACAGTAGGTACAAGAGGAATATATGTACGTGGTCTATCAAGTTGCGCTGTTGCACGAAGATTTATAACACCGTCCAGGCCATCATTTGCCTCCATGTCCTGCTATACCTCTCCGACTCGCTCCCGCTCACCCACGTCTTATTTTCCATCGCTTGCCACATCGTTTACCTGCAAAACTTCTCCGCAACATGGCCCATTATTTCGCTCTCATCTCCGTCTTTCTTGGGATCGTGCATTCTCGCCATATGTGATCACTTCCTCTGGTTCTTCTACTTTGCACGAATAACCCACGAGGCCCGACAACGGCCTCCACCTCACCGAGGCATGAAGAGCAAACTTCAACTGAACGCTCCAGCATTTGGAGACATGGCTACCTTCTTTGGCGTCTGCGTCTGGCTTGCCCCGCTCTTTCTATTCCTCAGCCTCAGCGCCAACGACAACGCATTGCCTACCGCCGGGGGCCAAGGAATACCATCGACCCCAACAATTCAGCCACCGACACCAGCATCAACCGGCGGACGCACCTCGCTTTTCCGCTCTCTCATGTCTACCCTTCCACGACCATTGACTAGGCGCGCGTCTTCCCGCCGTCTTACATCCGACTCTGGCATCATCGCACCCTCTTCCCCCATTAACCGTAGTGCTTCGTTCGGAAGTGCACCGCCATCTCCAGGGTACGCCATCAGACCAGGCTCACCAGCACTGAATGATATACCACGGTCTTCGTATGAGTACGATGGACAGGGTCCTAGTAGGAAGCAGAGCGAGGATGGAGTTGGGGCGCCACCACGAAGCCCACATCTAGGGCAGGCCTTTGCGCTCAGTCCGCCACCAATGAGGAGGGTTGCCAGTGTGTCGAGTGGATTGACGAACGGGAACAATATCTTGCAAGGAGAGGGCGTTGGCCTTGGTTTGAGTCGACGGAAATAGGTACGTGATAAACATCGTTGAATTCAATCTCCTTGACCGATGTTTCTGCGCAGATGGCGCTTTAGGGTATTAACTCTGTATACATAGGTCTGAGCTTTTCGATATCTGGATGGTTTAATGGACTCTTGGCTTTGGACTTGGAGCTTAATTTCGTGCGGTCTGACCAGACCTATCTGCACAACGGGATTATGTGGCGTCCGGCGTTTGCCGTTACTGCGTGCAGTGGCACAAAGGGAAGCTTTGTGAGCTTCGTGGTCCAGCTCTGAGTTCACAATTGTTCTGCTGTGCCGGTTTCTCGGTGTCTGGAATGCTGGCCAGCCTTTGGAGGTAATATGCAGGATCGAGGCCCCAGGATTCTCACGCAGTTCGCATCGTGACGATGCCAACATAACGCGACGCGACGCGCCGCGACTACAAGGTCGTGACCAAAATGGGACGCGTCGTTGTCTCACCTTCCTGGCTCATTCGCTACAAAAGGACGCGCTTTCCTGCCTTCTCTCCTTTATCCGCTCACCCCACCACAGACTTCCTCCCTCAATCAACTCCCTTGTCCCCCGGAGCAGATCCACCATACAAGAAACAAGCGCGATGAATGATTTCAACACCAACACATCTGACACCTTCTCTGTCGCTTCTGGAACAGAGGCCAACGACATCCAGCCCGAACTGTTGACGCCGCCCGCGGCTCTCGCCCCGCTGCTGCCTTCTGAGGTGAACAGGCCTCAGAATAGACCGGAGGGAGCGTTCAAGATGTGGTTGGTTGAGCACGGGTATATGATTAGCGAAGAGGTTGATTTCGAAAATGTGCGTTTAGATCATATTTCTTTTGTTCTCACTATGAACACGGTCCACCACACTGTCAAACTCATGAGCTTCCTGATCATTTTCCCACGCAATTCGAACTCCGCCCCTTTCACGCCTTCAAACTCCGACAACATCCTCTCCTCTGATGCCTCCGACCTTTGGCATTGTCCCCTTCAAACCCGTTTATATCATGCTTCATGCTCACAGAGCTCGCGCCCGTTCTTCGCGACTCGCTTATCAGACCGTTCCACCATGATGCTCAAACCTGAAACGAACCCTTATGAACATAAACGCAACTGGCACGAACAACTCATCGCTTCCAACTTACAAAACTCTCAGTCCCCGCCCTATGAAGTCCTTCACCGATTCGAACGCACAGACATACCTGATCAGATGCTTAAGAACCACTGCGTACCTGTCTTGGACGTGCTCGAAATACCAAAGAACGGGCTCAGAGCGATATATCCGAATGGGATCAAGTGGGAAGGCAAGAGAGTGTGGGTCATGCCGTGGTTGAAGGACTTTGACTATGATGCGAAGTCAAAAGAGGGCGGGAAAGCGTGTGGTGAAGATTATGCGAGGTATTGGCCTTTTGGAAGTGGAGTGGAGGTGGGTGGATTTGAGACTGTCGGAGAAGCGGTTGCGTTTTTCTGGCAGGTGCTGGAGGGGATGCAGTACTTGCATTATGGACTGCGCATTGTCCTTCGGTAAGTATTTGATTCCCGATAGAGACTTAATCTTAATGTCTTTCATTGTCTGTTCAGCCAGATCAAACCCTCCTCCATCATGATGGGCCACACCGAATATCTTCCACTACCAATTTCCCAATCCCAGAGGCTCCCATCCTTTCAGCAACCCTTCAGCATTCGACCTCAAGCATCACCTTACTCGGCCGGTCCAGAAACATACACTCGCACGGAACGTCCTCCCACGTACTTTATTTGCGACTACAGTCAAGCTCGGGTCACAGAGCCATGGGGCATGAATAGGTGGTATTCGCTCGACGAGTGGCACGCCTACGGCTGCACGAACAAAGCTTCAGAGCCACCCAGAATCGCTTCTGAGCCCAACGTCGGGGGCTACGTGGATGTACACCCGGCGAACGATCTGTGGTATCTGGGGAATCTGTTTGATACAAAGTTCTTGCAGGTACGTAACGTGACTCCTTCAGTCTGATTGAACATCATTAACGAGGCTAACGAACTCTGAATCATCGCCCGTTTGTCCTACATACACCACATCAGCGATACAAAGGTCTCGAGTTCATGGAGCCTCTAGTACACAAAATGATGCGCGCAGGCCCCCGCCCATCAACCCGCCTGATCGTCCAGGAATTCCTGATGCTCAAGGATTCTCTCGGCTCCATCAAGCTTCGCTCGCGTCTCGTCGAGAGGAACGAATCTTCGGGATTGAAGGCGAAGAGGAACTTGGTCTGGTTTCTCCGGACCGTGGGATACGTGATGAAGAAGATGGAGGCTGTTCCTATGCCCAAGTACCATGGTGCTGCTGATGGAGCCAACGGAGGTGGGAATGGGACGGTTAGCGATGATCATGACAGACACGAGTAAAAAACTAATGTTAACGTTTTGATGATAATATTGTTACGCGTATCAAAAATGAAGCTTCAAGCATAGCGGAGCTGCTTGGCCGTGCGATGCACCAGGCTGGGGGACCTGGTGGCAATGATTGAACCTCGATACCGGCTGGTCCGATGTTACAGATTACAGCTCCGAGCTGTGTTTGTGCGATACTCAGTGCTGTCGAGTGACCTGAGAAAGGTATTTCATTGCGGGTGAAAGTGGTCCTGCATCAGGCATTAACCCGTCACTTTGAGACGCGCGTGTCACGTCTGGTGCATAGCACGTGCCCGTGACAAGTCGCGTTCGTCGTTCAATTTAAATTGTAGTCGCCGCTCTCACTTCTTAGCAGAAAGTGTGCGGGTCACCACATGCGTCGTAAAAATTCATCAGATCATAGCATATCACATAAATGAAGCAAATAAGTCAACGATCCGTATACATCCAAAAGCCAAGACGAATTCAATACATAGTGGTCAAGAACCGAACACTCAGCGATCAACCGGTCAGCGACCATCGTCCATACCCCCCTCTCCAGTAATGTCCAGCCCTGATATATCTACATCGCCCTCTCCTTGCTTGTCTTCCGGGACCTCCTCCTTAACATACGGAACTGAGGCTATCAACATGCGCGTGTACATGCGTAGCGAAGCTAGCAAGAACGGGAGGTGCTTGGCGTGAATCCCGAGGTCGGGCTGGGGGGCGTTGTGTCGGGAAGGTTGGCTCAGCGTTTTGACACGCTTCAGTTCGCGGCCGAGGACGAGTTTGGCGAGGTTCCAACACATCTAAATATGATAGTGAGTCGGTGGAAGGATGTTAAAGATGGGGGGAAAAGACACGTACCGAGAGGATAGGATCCAAGATCTCATAATCGGCAGCCTTGAACGTGTCGCTCAAGCTCGTGATCTGGACCGCCTCGCTCACCACCTTATGCTGGCTCTCGAAATGGTTGAGCCCGTGTGTCAACAACGTGTACATGTTGATCAGCGCGGTACGGAGAATGATGGTGCAGCATTTGAGGGCCAGGATGCTCTCGTGATCGTGGAAGGCGAGCGACATTCGAGAAGTGGAGAGTTCGATGGTGGCGAGTAACATAAGGATACGCTCGACGAGGCTCGTGTACTGTGCGTACCAATGCAGAAGCGGCGTATGAGCTGCGTGGATAGGTGTGAGGAACGAAGCAAACGTGAGAATCGTGAGTCAAATGCAACATACCGACTGCCCATCTGCTCCACTGTTGCATAAAGTCTCGCGTCTCGCACAGAAGCAAGATACTGCTCGTACGCATAAGAACCGAATTGAGCGGATCCAAAGGAGGATTCGCATTGCGCTATAGCATCCACCAAAGTTAGTATGTCGTCCGAAACACGAGGAGGACAGGGAGGAAGAGAATTTACCATCAAGACCATAAACTCCCCATCCAACCGCTTCGGAATCTGCGGCGCGCTCTTCATCAACGCCTCCGCACACCTATCCACATAGACCATATGTGCCAAGATGCTTCTCTTCTCATCCTCCTCACTCACGGCGGCCATAAGCGCAATAGTCTCCCTCGTCGTTCCTCGACTCAGATTTCCGACTGCCACCATCGTGCTAGCCTGGCCAAGTTCAACCCTCTCGATCTTCAAGCCCTCACTCTCGATCAGTCTGGCCGCATTGTCCATTTGATCCCTCGCCGGAAACACATCCCTCTTATAATAGAAATACAACGCCAACAGCCCATGCGCGCGGACCCGGAACACCGGATCGATCGTCTCGAGAGACGATGAATGAAGCGCGTCGAGGATGACGGTGAGATAGGATAGCTCTTCGTCCGGGTACAGGGAGCTGGGGACGTCGTCGGGATCGCGTCTAAGGAGCATAGAGCCGTAGAGGTGGGCGAGGTGGACGAAGATGGGGTGGATGACTTTGCCGGAGAGATCACCATCGGCGAGAGCGTTAAGCTTGGCTTGAGTAAGTCGAACACCCATTTGGACGCCATGCTTAAAGAACACGGAACGCCTGTATGGGTTGAACGAGGACGAGATTGAACAAGTGAGGGAAAACAGAGGAGACAAAATGGAGGACAAGTCAGTAGCGTTGAGGCATTGTGCGATGGATCCGGGGAAAGAGGGGTATATAAAATGGAAAGACGTACAGAGTAGCCTGATGATCGCGAGTCATGCATTCCGCGAGAAGAGGACGACTTGGACGCTTGATATGATCGTATGGACCAAGAGGCTTCGACGACGAAGAAGGCATGGCGTTGACGTTAAAGCCCGACATTGGATTATGCTGCTGCTGATGCTGCTGGTTCAAAGCGGCAGTTGAAGAACCTCCTGGGGCGAACGACGGGACGGGATACTGTATGGGAGGCATATGTACCCAAGCCGAGCTTTGTATAACAGCCGCGGGCGGCGAAGCACCGAACGCATGGTGAGGAGGCATATAGCCCGGGGCAGGAGGCATCACACGTTGCGCTTGGCCCTGAGCCTGTGGTAGCGGATCCATGGGCGTGGTCGGGTTCGGATTGACCCCGAGGCCCTCTATCCTAGCGGCCGTGGACGACACCATGCCCGGATTTGGAAGACCGCCCGAGACCAACTGGCCATTGTACCACGCAGCGCCCAGATCGGGAATGTGGCTAAACGATTGTTGCTGCTGCTGTGGCGGTTGTGGCGGGACCATACCGGCGTATTCTTGACTTTGAAGTTGCCCTTGAGATTGGGGAGCCGCCTGGTAGGATGACGTTGGCTGATCCGGAACTGTGGCCGTGACCGAGTCGGTAATGAAGCCTAATGGCTCCGGTGCATCGAGCCATGCCGCCCAATCGTAGGCCATGTCCAAGGGGAACCATTCACTGGACTGGTCAGGAGAGTGGTTATCGAAGTCTGTTTGGGGAGATATGTGCACTCCCGCCTGCGGCTGAGACGCAGTCGTCGAGCCAGAGGACAGGAAGGACACGAGGTCGAAATCTTGCGCTGTCCAAGACGTCGACGGCTGCTGACTCGGGTCTGATGTCTGAGGTTGCTGGGAGTCCCTCCATGACGTGAGAAAGTTTGTTGGTTGTGACGAAGAAGGGCCGGCAGCGTATTGGGGTACGGGCTCGATGTAGGCTGAGGGAACGAAGGTGCTTGTCGACGGAGCCGACGTATGTGAAGGTGGCGAAAGAGCGTGCGCGAGAGAGCTGCTTGATCCAAGGGGCTGGTGCTGCCAAGTAGGGTTTCCGTATTGCGAAGGGATTGTAAAGGATTCGGCCGGATATGGGAGAGCGGCGGGTGCACTCATGTGTTGGGAGCTTGAGTCTGACCATGAGGACTGCGCTTGGGAACGTTGCGAGACAACTGAAGCCAGTGGGATGTCCGGGCTTCCAGGACTGCTAGGGCGTTCTGTGACAGAAGAGCTGGTGGAAGGCATCGAGTCATGACTGGGCCGTGGGCCCTCGTCCATACGGATGTCTACATTTCGAGGGTGCGTGGATGCCGTCGTGTCCGTGCTGAAGGAGACATGACGTCCAGTCATCCCGTTCGCGGTCGAGCTACGCTTCTTTGTAGACAAAGAGGGTCGGCGTGGCGTCTGCGGAATGATGTATTCATACTTTTGCAGACGTTGTTCGAGCTGACGGTTCCGGTGACGAACGGAGTCGGTATCGTGCTCGGGCTCTGGATACTTGCATTCTTCGTTGCCCTTTCCGTTCGCGCAGGTGGTGCAGACAGGGCGCTCGCCAGTGCATTTCTAGGATGCGACGTGGTCAGTTATAGTAGGGATCCGCTGGGACCTGTCAGAGCAGAATATCAAACCTTTTTCTTTTTCCTATATCCAACGAGGAAGGTCAGCCTGATAACGGGCCAAGACGGATGAAATGTCCTCACCGACAGGGATTACACGCTTCACCTTTGGGTAGGAGAACATTTGTGGCCGGGGATGGAGCCGGCGGATCGTAATCGCATGGGCCATCTTTATGCTTGGCTTTGCACTGGCCGCATACCGGGCTCGCTCCATCACATCGCTGTCATAAGGGGAAGATGATCCAAGGGGTTGTATGTTAATAGGCGCTCGACACAGGGGACGTAAATGGAAGGGCCCGAGGGCCAGACAAACGATATATGGGGATGGATGATACTCACGATTTTTCTTGTCCGACAGTTCGAACACGTGGACATAAATCTGAAACGGGAAATGGTGTGTTTTGCTCTGTCTTTGGTGAACATGAAGCAAGACGAGGCTCTACTATTCTCACTGGAAGAGCAGATGGAAGATGAGGATGAAGATGAGGTGGGGCGATATTGGACACGCCGCCGGGCTGACATCGAGGTCTTGCGATCTAGCCTGGTGGGCGAGAGGATGTTTGACATTGATGACCAGATATAATGTAAGACAGCGAGCTCACGCTTATATGTATAGCAACTCGGCACGTACCTTGGAATGCGTGCGCCTAGAATCTTTATCAACCCTTTTAGGGATTGCGTTTAGAAGATCCGCTCATTTGCCAGTCTTCGACTAGCCAATCGCCTCCTGTCTCGCCCTGGTTGGACCTCTGAACTGCCTGAAGAAGGAATTGGGTTCAAAAATGCAGACTTTGTCTTGCCGAGTGGGTTGGATGTCGATGAGCCTGCAATGGAAACATCTTGGGTTTGTAAGAACGTCGACAGGGAAATCCGCTGGGTGACCAGAACAAGACTGAGACAGAGACATGTGGCGCACTAGCGGGGATCAAAATGCTATCACGAGTCAAATCCGCCAAGTGGCCGGGGCCGGGGCGATCAATGACGGAAGGTCCAAACGCAACTCGTCGGCCGTGCTCACAGCAGCACTCTTCTCGTTTCTACATCTCTTCGTCAGTCGCTCTTTTATGAAGATTTGTTTCGAGAAATAAGAGATACTGAAAGCTGCTATGGAAGTCTCCCCTCGACGTGTGTCCTACTACTATGACCGTTGGTATCGTTTCGCTCTTGGGTTCTACCAGTGAGCAAGGGAAATGTTGTCTGACCCCATCGCCCCTATCCAGCGGATATTGGATGCTTTTCATATGGCCAACCACATCCAATGAAGCCACTACGAATGCGTATAACGCACGAGCTCTTGACAGCATATGACTTGCTTCCAAGACTGGACGTTATGGTGCGCTTTTCTACCTTCGGACATATCGTTTGGACTAGTCAATTCATATTTTCTTTAAACGCTCTGTAGAGAGCTAAAAGAGCTACGCCGGAGATGATGACAGCCTTTCATACAGACGAATATGTCCATTTCTTGAATAGGGTGACGCCTGATACCGCGGAGGCATTGACGTACCAGGGCACAAGATGTATGTACTCTATCGCTGGTCACGTCTTGCTTCAATGCCCGCTGACACTACCCTACTGAAGTTCTGATGGGGGATGACAACCCGGCGTTTGAGGGAATCTTTGAATTCTGCTCAATATCAGCGGGTGGTACCATAGGTATGTTCCTCCCTCAAGCTCTATGGGTCATAAGTACGCCTTGGTTTCCGTTGGTGGCTGCGCGATTTTAGTAGAATATGCGGGCGGTTTAATCTTGCGTCACAGACCTACGTCAACTCATACCCCACGTTTTAATTCAACTCTCTAGCTGCTGCCCAGCGCCTAACATCTGGGCTTTCTGACATCGCTCTAAACTGGGCTGGAGGCCTCCATCACGCCAAAAAGCGTGAGGCTTCTGGATTCTGCTATATCAACGACATCGTCCTCGGGATCCTCGAGCTTCTCAAGCACTTCCCGCGCGTCTTGTATGTAGACATAGATTGTCATCACGGAGACGGAGTAGAAGAAGCTTTCTATACGACGGACAGGGTCTTGACGTGTAGTTTTCACAAGTTCGGAGACTATTTTCCTGGGACGGGGACGATAGAGGATAGGTGAGCACTTGTCAGCATACAACAGAGGGCGTTTATATATTGATTTGTCGTAGAGGGACAGGAGCAGGACGAGGCTACACTGTCAATGTCCCACTGAAGAATGGACTGGGTGATGAGTCCTTCAAAAGTATATTTGAACCAGTGCGTCCTTCTCCTCCCCATCTCATGCGGTGCGATCAGCTAACTTTCTCAAGTAAGGTCATCCAAGCCATCCTTGACAGATTCCAACCCTCCGCCATAGTTCTCCAATGCGGTTCCGACTCCCTTTCGGGGGACAAGCTCGGCTGCTTCAACATAACGATGCACGGGCATGCCTCTGCCGTCCAATTTCTTCGGCGCTTCAATATCCCCATGATCCTCGTCGGCGGAGGCGGGTATACCGTGAAGAACGCGTCGAGGACTTGGGCGTTCGAGACGGCGTGCGCATTGGGGGTGGAGGACCAGTTAGATCCGAGGTTACCGTGGAACGAGTTTTTTGAGTGGTTTGGGCCGAGGTATAGGCTTGAGGTGGTGGCGAGCAATGTGGAAGATATGAACTTGAGGGATGAGGAGGGAAGTCTGAAGCAGGTTATGTGAGTCTTTTGACCGCACCCGTTGTCAACATTTTTGACAAAGTGCATTGCTGACAATTGAGTTCGGTTGCAGGGCTGATGTTTTGAAGAATATACACGACTTGCCGCCAGTACCGTCCGTACAGTTGCAAGACGTCCCACGGCAAGATTTGGGTGAACACCTCGGGCTTTGGAATAATGATGACCAGCTCTCGAAAGACGAGCTGGACGAGAAACTCGCTCGTACGTTCCATCTCTAACTTCTTCACCATCACGTTAACTCATATCATTGACCTTTGAATCTCAACAGAACAAGCAGCCTATACCTACTCTCTAAAAGATCCCACCAACCGCCCAGACGGCTTCGAACCCTCATCTTCGTCAGACCCCGAGCCAGAATCCGACACATCGACATACTCCTCGCAACGTCGGAGACGTCAACGCGTTCGTCAGGCCAGGAAAGCTCGTGCCAAGCCGCGAATGAGTATCATATCGAATTCATGGTACGATGTCCCACCACTGGATCACTTCGGGTTCTACGATTATGGGGAGAGCGAGAGGGTGAGCAGTGGCGGTCAGGGTAATGGGTCAGAGAAAGGGAAGGGAAATATGTTGTGGGATAGTGGGGCGAGGTGGGATATGGCGAGTGGGAGGGTGGTGGTGCAGGAAGCTCTGGATCTGAGACTTAGTGTCGGGGAGATGATGGGACGGGGTCCGAATGGTGAGCCGTATTATGGGGATCTGGGTGGAGAGGATGGTGAGGATGAAGGAGAGACGGAGAGCGATGGGGAAGAGGACGATGAGGTGGTCAAGCAGGAGGAAGAGGAGGAGGAAGAGACGATGGACGAGGATGACGAGTAGCACTCTGGTTTGGGGAATGCATTAGGCTCCTGGTTTACGTGGGTCATAGGCTGTAACTTATTCTGATTTTTATTCCATGGATTCTCCTCGTCGTAATTTGTGATGCCACCCCGGTTCGCGGGTGGCGGGACCCTAACCCCACGACAGGGTCGCGTCGAAATAAGGTTGCTCTGGTGCCACTCGTTGAAACCGTTATGTTTCCCTCGCCACGACCACGAGCCTCTGCATCATCCTACCCACTTGTCTTCTCTCGAGCTTATCCTGAAGACAGTCTAGTAGAAATATCCTTAGCATAATGGACACGCCTACGCGCAAGCGCGTTTCCTATTTTTATGACCGTACGTCCTTGAACTTGAACCGAGCTGTTTCCGCTTCGTTTGCCACCAGAACAAAAGAGGAGTTGCTGATCACACTTGTTCTGCACCCACTACCCAATACCAAACGCGTCGCACCCTATTTTACACTTTCCGACGCTTTCCTTCAATGCTTTCTCGACTCGCCACGCTCGGATGGAATCTGGGAATGAATGGTCTTGGAACAAACAACAGCGGACGTAGGATGTTACTCATACGGTCTCACTCATCTCATGAAGCCACATCGAATGCGTATAACGCATGAACTTGTCACGGCGTACGGAATGTTACCCAAGATGAACATCCTCGTGCGTCTGTTTCACGTTCTCTTGTCAGCCCTGTTATGTTCTAATCTGTCTCTATTGACTCGTTGGTGGATTGGGTCGCTCGGGATGGTTGATGCTGGTCGGTGTACGTTATGGTCACTGAATGGGATCGCACGAAATGGACGAACGCGAGCGCAGAGACCAAAACGCGCAACTCCCGTCCAAATGACCGCATTCCACACGGATGAATACGTTCAGTTCCTGCATAAAGTGACACCAGAAACAGCAGAGAGTTTAACCCACAACAATTCTAGGTGTGAGTCCTCCCTTTCTCACCTTTCTTCGCTTCCCACTCTACCCTCCGCTTCATGCTATGCATTGTGCTCATAGTTCTTTTGTTGTGGGATTGGGTGGATGGCTGTGGTAATGTAGTTCTGCTATTGGATGACAACCCAGCTTTTGAAGGCTTGTTTGAGTTCTGCTCCATCTCGGCTGGAGGGAGTATTGGTGAGTGCTTCACATCCCTTGGAACATTACGATTTGGCTTGGATGGCAGTGTAGAGAGTTTGTGTGGCGTAATTTGTCATGTGTGGCGCGCTTTCAGAGCACGTATATGTATGAACTGACCTCCGCTTGATCCTGCAGCCGCAGCCTCACAAATAACCTCCAACTCCGCCGACATCGCTATAAACTGGTCCGGGGGCCTGCACCACGCCAAGAAACGCGAAGCCTCCGGTTTCTGCTACATCAACGACATCGTACTCTGCATCCTCGAGCTCCTGCGCTCTTACCCTCGCGTGCTTTATATTGATATCGATGTTCACCATGGAGACGGCGTCGAGGAGGCGTTTTATTCGAGCGATAGGGTCATGACGTGCAGTTTTCATAAGTACGGGGAGTTCTTCCCTGGGACGGGGGCGTTGCATGATCGGGGAGAGGGGAGGGGGAAGGGTTATGCTGTCAATGTGCCGTTGAATGATGGGTGTGGCGACGAGACATTTGGAAATGTGTTCGATACGGTGAGTTCGAACTTTCTCCCTTGCAAGGCGTGTGCAAAGCTAAGAACAGATGGTTTGGATTCCTTGCTTCACGACCTTCATTCAGGTGATCGATAGAATCCTCGAACGCTTTCGCCCAGAGGCCATCGTTCTCCAGTGTGGTTCAGACTCTCTCGCAGGCGACAAACTCGGCCCGTTCAACATGACCCATCTCGGTCACTCCCACTGCGTTCAATTCATCCGATCCAAGAACATTCCACTTATTCTCGTCGGAGGAGGCGGATATACTGTGAAGAACGCGTCGAGGGCTTGGGCGTACGAGACGGCATGTGCCTTGGGGACGGAGAAGGATATCGATCCGGCGTTGCCATGGAATGATTATTTTGAGTGGTTTGGGCCGAGGTATAGGCTTGAGGTGCTTCCTACGAATGCGGTGGATGAGAATACGGAGAAGCACGTGGAATATGTTATGTGGGTAACATTCTTCATCTTTAATTGTCCTGTATACATCGTCCTTCCTCTCTACATTGATCACGAAAGATCACTCTCCTCGAGACTTGTGTCTCTAATACCCGAAGTATCACTGACATTGGTGTTCGAATCTTTATGCATCCATTCAGAGAAGAGATATTCAATACCCTAGACGAACTGACTCCCGTGCCTTCGGTCGAGCTGCAAGACGTTCCAAGAGAAAGCGTCGACGAGCACCTTCGCCTAAATTTCTCGAGCTCCAAGAATGGCCCTCGCTCCTATGGAGATGAGTGGAGGCGGGATATGTACGGCACAGAAGCCAACGATGAACTGGATGACAGCCTCGCTCGTATGTCCTCTTTCCTTTCTCACACCTCCCGCGTTTCCCGTTCCATGCTTTTAGAATTGAGTATTGACACATGATATATCATAGGCGAAACTTTGCGCGTTTACCAAGCACAACTCCCCAAACCACGCTCAGTCTCCCCCGAATCCGACCACCCAATGTCAGACCTCACAGAGTCCACGTCCTCCGACGACTCTCCGAACGCTATCGCACGTCGACGGAAACGGCATCAGCGTCAACGTGAGCGCGGACGTGCCAAAAAATCCAAGAAACGGATGAGCATCGTCGCGAATGCTTGGAAAGAAGTCAGTGTCAAAGAGCCGGTGAACCCTGTGGGGTGGTATGAAGGAGCGGATGTCGACGAGAAGGAGAGGGCGAGGGCGCCGAGGTATTTTAGATCTGAAGTGGGGTGGTATAAGGATCAGGGGATGGTCCTGTCGTCGGAGAAGTGGAGGAAGACTTTAGATGGATCGTATATCCCGCAGGAAGACGATGACGATGAGGAGGAAGAAGGAGATGAAGACGATGAAGACGAGGAAGAAGAGGGGGGAGAGGAGGATGAGGAAGAAGAGGAAGAGGGTGAAGTGGATGAAGACCCGATGCAGGAGGATGAAGACGAGGAGGAAGGTGAGATTGTGAAGATGGAGGAGGACTGAACAAGAACATAATACTCTCCCGTGTTTTAATGTCCATCATTTGCTGTATTTCTCCACTGCTCTTGGGTTTTCGACTCGCAATGCTTTGATCTATGTACTGGTTGTAATTACCTTCGATGTCTGCGATTTATGATCCCCTCATCCGCTGTGGCACACTAGTGGCCACCAAGTTGAACTACGGTCGTATTTCGGGTGGTCCTTATCAACGCGCCCGCAGCGGAGGGCTCGACGCGATCGAGAACCATGCGCCACTGGCACTTGCCAGCGGCCAGCCGGAAGACCTGCCAGTGTACATGTACATATGGAGATCCTGCCCAGGTATTCCTCTTATCAGCATCCACTGCAGACGCCTCCCCGCAAACAGTAAAAATAAAATGTTCCTTGATCCTCTGCTTCGTGTCTTCTCCCGTCCGCCATCATCATCATGTCCGACTCGTCGACGCACAAGGTAGAGCAAGAGCAGCCTCAACCCACGCCGCCTTTGACAACGACGTCGTCGACCACTCCCGCTCATGGAGGTCTTCGCTCCCGTGTCTCCCGTATCAAGACTAAAGTGACGACACGGCATGGCTGGTTTGGCGACTATGACTACGCTTGGTTGTGTTTGCCAACTTTGCCTTTCGCGACAAGAGGAAAGAAGAGGAAGACTCAGCCTCCATTTTATCCTCTTGAAGCCGACTTGCCATTATTGTTGGCCATTTCGAGCGGACTGCAGCATGCCCTTGCGATGTTGGCGGGGTTGATTACACCTCCAATTATTTTTGCGAGTGCGCTAAATTTGGATTCAGAGCTTTCGGCGTACATGATCTCAGCGAGTTTGATTGGGTGTGGTACGTCCTATTTGTCTTTGGGGTGGGAGCGAGTGTTGGGAGATGGTGCGAGTGCTGATAAAAGACGTGTTATGGGTGATTGACGTGTGCAGGTATTCTGAGTCTCGTTCAAATGTCGAGAATCAAACTGTTTGGCGGGTACTATCTTGGCACGGGCCTCATCTCAGTCGTCGGGACGAGTTTTGCCACGTTGAGTACTGCAACCGCTGTGAGATTCTTTCGCTCCGCCAACCTCTCTGACGTTGTGACTCACACATGTGATGCTCTATAGATATTCGATGCTATGTATCTCGACGGGACATGCTCAACCACAATTGCCGCTGATGGGACATCGACTCGTGTGGCGTGCCCGGACGCGTATGGAAAGGTGCTTGGTGAGTTTGACCTTCTGTTCAATCCACGGCATTCTGTACAGTCTACTTAACGTATTAATTTAATTTGTAATATCACAGGAACATCGCTCATCGCTTCCTTCCTCGAAATCTTCATGTCCTTCGTCCCGCCGCGCACCCTGCAACGAATATTCCCGCCAATCGTCACAGGTAAGAACTCCCCTTCCTCTTGAGTCCCACGCTCGTCTCTGACAAAGCTTCGCTTTACCTTGTGTTTACGAACAGGCACCGTGGTCTTGATGATCGGCGCCAGTCTCATCGGTAGCTCCGGTGCTCCCAACTGGGGCGGCGGCTCGAACGACTGCTTAGACAGACCTGCGACAGGATATTTTGCTCTCTGTCCTAACATCGATGCACCTCGTCCTCTTCCGTATGTCATATCTTGCTCTTATCAGAATCTCTCTGTTAACTTGATACCTGTTTGTTGTGGCGCGTTCTATATGATAGATGGGGCTCGCCACAATTCATCGGCATCGGCTTCCTATCTTTCATCTCTATCATCCTCACCGAACTCTTCGGATCCCCTTTCCTCAAGAACATCTCCATCATTGTCGGGTTGGCAGTGGGGTGCATTGTTTCCGGGGCAGCTGGGTATATCGATGGGAGTAGTATCACGACGGCGCCCGCGATTACCTTCCTTTGGTATGTCATTGTCTACTTGAACGCTATGGGATCCGGAGATGTGACGCTGAAGATGTGCGTGCATTCATCAGGGTACATACGTTCAAGATTGGTGTCTATCCACCGGCCATATTGCCTATGCTTGCGGTCTACGGTACGTTCTGCCCCACTCTATCCGCCTCATTCACCTCTATACTAATGATCACATTTCTCACGTTCAGTCTCCCTGGCTATGGAGGCGATGGGTGATATCACTGCATCGGCTGAGGTGTCCCGAGTGGCGGTCGAAGGCGAAGAGTTCGAGTCGAGAATCCAAGGTGGTGTTCTCGTAAGATACATTCTTTCGATAATCCTTTTTTCAAGGCTGATAGCTATGTGCATTAGAGCGATGGAATTGGTGGCTTCATTTCAGGACTCTTCACCGTCACGCCTCTGTCCATCTTCGCCCAGGTGAGCGAGCCCTCTCGCCGGTATCATCCATGTCACTGCTAACACTGACAATCTGTGTTTGTTCCAAAGAATAACGGTGTAATCGCCGTAACAAGATGTGCCAACCGTGGTGCAGGGAGGTGGTGCTGCGCCTTCCTCATCCTCTTCGGTGTTCTGGGTAAAATCTCGGGTGTCTTCCTCGCTAGTACGTCCATCCGCCCATACGCCTCTTCTCTACCATACTGAAGACAACTCCTCTTCTTTCTCTTACACCCCCTCGACCTAAACAACCAACAGTCCCGAACCCAGTCCTCGGCGGCGTAACGACCTTCCTCTTCGCCTCCGTCTGCGTCTCCGGTCTACGAGTCATCGCTCTCGCCCCCTTCACCCGTCGTGATCGCTTCGTCCTCGCCGCGGCTCTCTCCTTCGGCGTCGCAGACCTCTTGCAGCCAGAGCTATTCACGCATCTGTTTGATGGCAAGGCGAGTGGGGATGGTGTCACGAGTGGATTGAAAGGTTTCGAGGATTCGATCGTTATCATTTTGAGCACGCCTTGTGAGTGCATCTTCTTATCTAACTCCATTCAGTCTCTATCATCATCGACGAGGAACAAAGCTGACGGATTCGATGTCTTGTGTGGTTGCGCCCCCCGTATAGTCCTCATATCAGGCATCGTCGCCGCCATCCTCAACCTTATCCTCCCAGAAGAGGACCCAGCGGACGATATGGAAGGCGTCATAGATGAGATGGGGCATGAACATGGGGAGCCCTATGTGGAGAGGATTGGGGACGTGGAGGAGATGAGGAAACATGAGGTTGAGAAGGATGTGGGGGTTAGTGAGGTTAAGACGTGATGCGTTGTTGGGCTATCGTGTCGATCTTTATTGGTGTGGATCTTGGCTTATTCGGAAGTTATGTGGGTGGAGTATTTTATGGTGTTTTCTGTTTTGAGACCGTTCTCCGTTTAGTATTTCTGCTAGTTGTGCATGACCGATGACAGTCTATCGGTGTGCCGAAGAGTGCGTCGGTCAAGCGATCGTCTTGAAGCCTGAATCTCTTGGATAGGGTCTTGATCATGGGGACCATCGAAGCATTTCGCACTAGACGTGTCTTTCATGGCATCAAAGACTTGAGGTGTGGCACTAGGTTCGAAATAAAAAGAAAATATACAGATTGACTCAGGGAACATTTCGGCACCTCTTAGAGCGACCTTTCTATCCCCGAGATGCGCAAAGAGTGAGTGGAGAGTATTCGAAAAATCACCAACTTGCGGTGAATTCACGTGTGGCACTTCTAGAGTATAATCACAATCCGCGTCTCTCCGGAAACCGGCGCCCAACGGTTTTTAAGTTGGAGATCGCCGCCGTCCGGTGCTTGCCTTTGCCCTCCTCAACGACACATCAGAGTCTGCGCTAGTCTGCGACTCTGGATGGACCCATGGGGCCATCATGTATCATGCACTACAGAGAAATTTTCGGAGTTGATTGATTCTATCAGTAAGTATTAATTACACCACTGGTTCGAACTTATGAGATGTTTGTGATGGAGGCGATGAATATGCGTGCGTGAAGTAGGTACATGATGCGTAAATTTACGAAGAGCTTGGTCCGATATGTAGCAAGACAAAGCGACGAACTGTGTGCGAGGGGGATCGTAAAAGAGTACAATTATCGTGCGCCATAAGGCGATATGGGTGCCACTAAGCATATTATTCCTGATGAGTTCACGAGACCAAGACCAAGACTGAGGACAGAACAAAACAAAAGACACAACCTCACCCTCCGACTCTTCAGCTCGTGCCCTAATACGCCTCCTCATTCCAATCACTGCTGAACTTGACCACCAACCCCTCCATCCTGAACCTGATCAGCATCGCATACGCCACCGGCGCCTCCTGCCTAATCCTATACTCACTCCACCCCGCAAACTTAACCTCTCTCATCCTCTCCAACTCATTCCCGTCATAATCCTTCGCCCCAACGGGCAACCTCCACCTCGACTGCACCGCCTCCAAAATCTGCATATAATACTCCGCAAACGTACACCCGAAACCAGACCACGAGCCCGCAACGTAAATGTTGAGGTCTTTCAGATTCGTATTTTGTCCGAAGCGAAGACGACCGTCGGGGTGGAAGTGCAGTCGGAGAGCTTTGATGAATGAGTTTTCAGCGACCATGTAGTCCCATGCGGAGAGGGAGGTGAGATGCGAGAGCCGTTGGCAAGCTTCAGCGAGGTCCGCGTCGTTGAGCAGTTTCCCAGACGAATCGAAAGAACGGAGGGTGGGAGAGACGCGCAGGATGAAGTCGCCGAGTGAGTCGTAGAGCTCTCGATTGCTTTCGCTCGCCGCGATCTCGAACCGCTGGAGATTCGGGGCCAGGATGCTATCGAGGAGGGCTTTAAACAGGTAGGGCGCTTGGTCGATGAAGAGGCTGAGGGTGCGGAGGTTGGGTAGGCGAATTTGGGTGACTCCGGTGGTAAGCAGCACGATGTCTTCTTCTTCTCCCTCGTAACTGATCCGAAGGAACTCGAGGTTCGGACAGCTCCCGACGCAGAGGAGGAAATGAGCTAGGTCGACGGTGATGGGATCTAAGGTCGTGACGATCTTGATGTCGATGGTGGTGATACTGGGAGATGGCGTGAGTAGAAGGGTAGAGATAGGGTGGACGAGACGGATGGTGTGGAGACGTGGGGCCCATGATAGACTGTCCCATACTGTCCACGCAGAGGGGGAAATGGCATCGGTGTGAGCGACGGTGACTTCGGGGTCGTGCGTCTGGTAAGAGAACGACTCCAGGAACGGCATGGTCTGGCGGTTGAGGACCGGAAATATGATCGGGTCGACAATACGGAAGTCAAAGGAGATACTCTTCCACCGTCCAGAGTGGGCACAGAGGATCGAGAGGTAGCGGGCGAGAATATTTTTGTCCCACTCCTCCGAGGTCAGAGTCAAAGATATCGGTTGGCTGCCCGAGTATGACAGCCAATTCTGAATGGCCGTGAAGAAAGGGTCGATATCCTGTACCGTTCGTGGGACATCCGGGAGGTAGAGATCGACCCATAACCGGGGAGTCGATTGTGCCACGGCACGCCAGTACCGACTGACGAGAGTGAGAAGGATTGGACTACTGTCAGGTCCGAGTTCCCGGTCTGCGCAACACGTTGGAAGAGCGTGCATGAAGATCAGGGAGAGGATCTCCGGAGGGATAAAGGCCCGCATCTTTGTTGCTCGATTTGGACGAGAAGTAGCGCACGGCTGGCTTTATCAGATGCAACGAGGCGTTCGGAGACACGGTCAGTTGATATCGGGCATTCTTGCGTGGAACGAAGTACGGACCTGTTGAGATGGCACTTCCTTGCCGCTGTAGATTTTGCAGAGGCGGATAGGGGTGGAAGACGAAGTGATGCAGGTTCGATGTCAGCGATGATTGAAGGGAGTCCTTTCTGTCTGCGCAAGGAAATTAGGACCGGGAACACACGGCGGCTTGAAGGAAAATACTAGATTGGCACCCATACCTTCAGTTTCACTGGGGGGAAATTTCGAAATCGATGTACGATCTCCCCTGACGGCAGAGGCTTTATAGCTTCGCGCAACGTGATAGTGACGTCCGTAGTGGCCAGGGGCTATAAGGGGATGACGCGGCTGAAAACGATAAAAACAGGTGGGAACTGGGCAAGTGTTCGCCAAGCGGTGCTGTCTCGCAAGTCTCGGTGCTGGTTCACTCGGTCACCGCAATGCGCAATGTATAGCGGCGCTGCCAGTGGCAGCGGAGGCTGTGAGATGGCCTAGGTAGGCCATCAGAAGATTCATTTAAATGATTCGTGAGGGTGCAAACACTACGAAGGATTGATACAAGCACCGGACGGTATGAGGCGGGCACGGAAAAAAAAGTCGTCGGTGACCTCAGCGCCTAAGTTCGACAATCTGTACGACCGCGGGGAAGTTGGGACCCCGAAGGGAAACGCACACCTAGTTTGATCAGTGGTCATTCCATGAAGCTGTCATTTTCTATCTAAACGAAGACTTTTCGTGTTTTATTCATGTCCTCATGTCGAAGAAAGACGCACTTGCGCGTTTGAACGAACCAGACGGAGAAATGAAGTATGTCATTGGAGCTTAATGGGTGTGGCATAAGGAGGTCGCGGCCGGTTCAGAATTTCGCCGGACCATTAAAGCTTTTAGGAGCGTGCAAAAGTGAGACAGCCGGAGCACGATCCCCGTAGCAAAAGAGAGCACAATAACCCAAAAAGCAAAGGTATTACTATTGTTGGACATCGGGAGATCGGGTAGAGTGGCAAAAGAATGTTAACGTTGACCGCAGTGGTCCGGTTCAAGAAAAGGTAATTTTTGTGTCTGGCACACCGCCACAACACGAGATCCGGCAGTCACCGGAGCGCCAACGTGGCGAACCACCGGACGGTTGGGCCACAACGCTTCTGGCACAGGCATAGAACATCTCCCCACACCGCTTGTCGACTGGAACCACCAACAAATATCTACGAGGAACCGAAGACGAAGAAGGATGGTTCGGTAATACAATTGCATTCGATTGTGACTTCTTATCCTTTCTGCTTCCCCACCCATCCTCGCACGAGCTCGACGATCACTACACATTACAAAACATTATTAGGCAGAGCAAAGTCCAATGATAACCACGCTCTCAAACGATCATACACCTGAAGTGTTCCTACCGCCCCTCGTGTCGATTGTCTGGCTGCCCTTGGAGTCATTCGTGCTGTTCCACTGACCCGAGCGAATCGCCTCGGAAGCCTCCTCCTTGCCCTTCTGGAGGATCTGGGTGATGACTTCGGTGTCGACATGTGTGCCGAAGACGTTGTCGAGGTCTTGTTTCGAGGGCTTTCCGAGGATGCCCTGTGCGCCGTGAGATGACGAGAGGATTTCGAAAGCTATAGGATGATGTGATGGATGGGGCCAGCGGCGATAAAAGGGAGATGTGAGATGCGAGGTCAGTTCTACGGGAGCGCACAAAACAGTGGAAGAACGTACAGTCAACGACCTCCACTAATGGGATCGTGCTAGATCATAATGTTGGATCAGTAAAGCGTTCGCATGCGATAATTCTCGTATATTTACGTGTCTGCGAAATCAATGGTTTGATCAGTATCGGCGCTGTCTTTACACACGACAACAGTGTACTCACCACCCTCCTTCCACTTCTTAAACTAGAGGTACCAAATCGAATTAAAAGCAATGAGCCTCTCACTCTATGAATGCAGTGGGCAAACGACGTACCTCAGCGGGGTTGACGATCACTGTGAATGTCTCGCCTGCATTAGGATCAGGCTTGTAGATGACCTTAGTAAGAGCTTTGCCCATGATGAAAATATGCGATTTAAAGGTGGATAGAGTTTGAAGATGAGTTTGGGTGGTCGTGTGCGGCGGTGCGTGTAATAGCGAGGAGGGCAAGAGCCGCTCGCGAGCGGCGGTATAAGAGGGGCTGGGGAAAGGAGTGACGTCATGGGCATAAGGCGTCATAGGACCCTCCACGACTCTCGCGCTGGCCCCAGGTCTGTTCTCGGGCGACAACGCGGGGAAAACAGGCAATCCATCTTCATCGATGGTTATCGGCCAAGACGGCACCGGCGCCTTGGAGGAATGACTCGAAGACGGGCTAGATGTCGGCGAAAAGTCACTGTACATTTTATCCAACGAGGTTCATTCACAGACAGGGGGTGGCCCACAGCATAAGTATAAACCACAACAGTACTAGTAGTCAATCTCTTCCATACAATCCGAGTTTTTCCCAATGGATCTCCTTGCGTTGTCCTCGTCGTAGAACACGGGCTCGACCTCCTTTGTCCGGCTCGAACCGGCTCACACTCATGAGTGGCACCAATGAGGGCCTACAGTCAATTTGGCGCAGAGTAAGTTGTAGAAACAAATTAGACGGTGGAGTTACTTACCTTCCATGAGCACATTGGAAAGGGTATGCTGTTTCTGATAATCGTGCAAGAAGTCGCTCGCATTGCTCCAAATTCAGTGTGTCATTGAACATGATTGCCCCTGTCGACAGTCCTCATCAGAAAAGTTACCGCACCAAGGTAGAGTATCAGGGAGTTTGACAAGGTCCAGTACATACCTCGACAAGCCCTGGAGTTCACCAAATCCAACAAACCACGAGGACACCACCGCAAAGCCTTCTGCCACCAAAAATCGTCCGTTGAATCTGATTCGAGGTCCTTGTCTGACGCATAGTCAATCGCTGGAGGAGTGCCAGGAATCTCATCGTTCTCGACGCTCGCGAGAAATCCCTTTATGAGCTCTTGAAGCTCGTTACCGGCTAGAAGCTATAGAATTATGAGAATCATGCAACCGATTGCTACTGAGAGCGAGATATAGCAAACCTACCTTCTTCACCACAACCTCTGGTACGCTCATCACCCATACTTGACCATACGCCGCATTCCTATCCTTCTCGACATCCGCCTCTCCTTCTCCTTCGAACAGAACATCGATCCCCCACCTACTCAGCAACGCCCTTACATCCTCTTTCTCCCTCAAAATCTCTACTTCCCTCATCGTCAACAACACAGGCTTCGGCGGCTCGAGCTCCATTACCTCCTCCTGCTCCTCTTCGATACCATCTCCTTCTTTACCCTTCCCCTTCCCATCCTTTGATCCAGTCAAGAACCTCACACAAATTCTCTTCAAAAACCTCTCAACCCTCACTCTCTCCGACGCCGCATGCTGATCGATCAACACCAATGCACGACCATGGTCACTTCCTCCCGTCCCCCTCCCTGGCTCACCACCCTCTTCTACATTCGTGGCTGACGGAACCCTCTCATCAATACAACAAACCACGAATTTCCGGTCCGCTTGTGCGATCACCTCCGCGTCTTTGAGGTCTTCTCTTCGAAAGCGATGAGATTTATGCGGTCCGTTGGCTTGAGAAGGCTTTGGGTGGAATGAGGACGAGGAGGGGAGAGAGTCGAAGAAACGGCTGCGTTTGTTCGTGTGCGAAGATTCTGCATGGTCGTGGTGGTGTGGGCTGCGTGGCGATGAAGCTGAGTAGGAGGTCGTGGGGAGGTCGAGGTGTGTGCGTTTGATGCTTGGTTGGGAAAGGGCGTAAATGTTGTTTGCCTGCAAGTCACAACATCGCGTTAGTGTCCATTTTTCCGTGGCTCTGGACTATCGGCAAGAAATCAGAGTAGAGAAACGAGACCTTCAAAGCCTTAACAATCCATTCCGGCGTCTCTTCACCAACTGTGCCCTTTCCCTCATCCTCATCCCCAGGTACGTTACCCTTCAACCACCGCCTATCCACCAATGTGCGCTTTCCACTTATATTTTCTGTAAGACCAGGCCCTAGTTCACGCTGGGGATCACCATCCGTTGCATTTCGACTGTCTCGCGGGTACGAGTTGCCGGTCCGTGGGTCGACGAGGTAGGTTATTTTGGTATGTGGGTCGGTCCAGATTATGGATTCGGCCGGGTCGTGAACGGGCGTCGATGAGGGTGTCTAATTTCAGTAGAAGCACAACAATCAGATTCCCCTCCGACTCAGAACATAAATATGCCTACGTACGTGGATGACGGGCTCCCTTGCTGATCCAGGTCTAGATGACCCATTGTTATTCTCCCTGGCTCTAGCATTAGTTGTCGATATCGCAGCCGAAGCACTCCTCGGTCTCCGTTCAGCCATATGGTGAGTACGCTCATTCTCTACCTCAGAGTTCAATTTCTGCCTTTTCCTCGGCGACCCACCACGCGCCTCGACACCAGCAATATTTGTGCGGCTACTAGATTTAGCGGATAAGAAGCCGTGTTTTATGAGGAAGGAGCGGATGACGGAGGTCAAGAGGGTGGTGACAGTATCATTGTTCTGTAACATCCAACGCAAGGTGTGAGAACGAAAGGCATGAGGGTGATGGTGAGAGTAACGGAGCGCACCGCGAACCGAACGGTGGATTTACTGGGTTCGAAGCCGTTATCGACCGTTCGGGGAGGGAGAGTAAGGTTGAGGACATAGACGGGTTTACATTCCGATTTGCGAGGCGAGCGGCGGGAAGCTTTAAGAGCGTTTAGTCACGCAGTCAAGTTGGGTTGATGACATGGGATGAGATCGGCATTTAAGCAGAGGAAAAAGACGTACCAGGACGAGGGAGTGAAGTCGCGCCTGCTTCGTCGAGGGCCTATGTAGCGGAACAGAGACACGTTTTCTTATAAGAAAAAGCAGTCGAAATTGAGGCGAACAGCATGGAAGCACGACTCACGTTCTTCGTGAACGAACTGTTTGAGAATAGGTCCTCGATTAGGTGATGGAGGGAAGTCGGTGAGAGGAGATGTCTATTGACATCTACACCGCAGAACGTATGCAAATAGTTTGTTGAGCCACCACCAACGCGACATGCAGCGACCCCACTATGACGCACATAGATATTGATGAAACTAGCACGGAGATCAATAGAGCGTAAGACTAGCAAGAGGAAAAGGAGAGCGGCGAGGTCCATACCTTGGCATGAGCGCCGTTCAGGCTGATGAATCCACGTATCTTCACTTCGTCAACGTCGACATCTACATCTTCAACATGCTGTATACCAGGACCATGATTTCAGCTATCCGCCGAGTGGTGTATGAAGAACGCCAACCTACCTCCACGAGTGCTCGACCATGAATATGTCTGAAAGTAGCCAACATCGAGCGCGTCTAATGAGCCTCGTCAGCAACATCACTAACGCAAGTTGTCTCTCAGAAGGCAAACTCTGCTACATGGATGATTGGTCGTACCTTTGGAATGCTCGTTACTCTCGCCCGTTCACTCCCTACTTCGCGTGCTTTGTGGGTGTCTTCAACGGAAAAAGAGACTTCCGGGAAAACCAGCGCAAATGACTGCATTTCCTTTTGGATGAGGTCCAGCGTTTTTGAAGGGTTTGAGTGGGAAATACGCCGGATTGGCAACTGTCAATGGTGAAGAGGCTTCAGTTGTAGTCTGTGGTAAGGGAGCTAAGGATAGATGTACGTTATAGAATATGTCACGCAGACAGACGACAGTTCCTGGAGTTTCACGACGCCAGCGAACAGCGGAGCCCTCGTAGAGACATTGGCCGTTCTATCCAGGCAATATGTAAGCTGCATCCTGAGGTGGAGACGATGTGCCGTTTTGTGGCCCACCTTTATGATCAGAGCCCAGCTTTGACGTGAACTAGCAGTACGCGAAGATATTTCAAAGCACGATATATCTACTGCAGATGCCAGTGCTGATGCAAAGTTCGAGGAGAGTCAAATATCTGAACGCTGGGTATGAAGTGGCATAGAATCACCTTCGCCACGAAACCCAAATGTCGACGGCGTGTCAACCCCCGGAGGCGGCGCATAGGTCTTCGAGGTATCTGGTCCATAAAATCAGGACCAAGGTTCCCTCCTTTAGGCAAAGTCGCAGGTAACAGCTTACTATACCGCCCTTCCTCCTCAGCCTTCCTCAACATACCCATACCCTCTTTAGACATCCCCTCACCATCATCCTTCACCCAGCATTCCCACTCTTCACAGTCCACGCCTACCTCTATATGGTGAGAGTTGGCGTCCAACGAGTTCTGAACAAGCTCTGATATGACTTGCGGGAGCGAAGTGAGGATTTGCGTGGAACGGATTTTGGTTCGAACGGGGGGCGGAAGAAGGGACAGTGAACGAGTGTTGTCCGTAAGAGACATTTATCGAGTGTATCAAATGTCCAGTTACGACATATCTATCGTTTGGATCAGCCCAAAGTCGCGAGCAAATACTTTTAGCAGGGAATAGAAGACAACTCGTACTTGAGTCGTACAGCGTGATGATGCGGAGAGAAGGAATGGTTACCAAGCTGTCGGCGCGACGCGTTTGTTGGTTTGTGGCGTTTGTGGCGCGCGACTCATCTTGATTCTCTTCACGTGGCGGCGAAACCTCGGGTGCGATTCAACCAGACTCGACCAAGCCACGACAACGACTCGACAAGGCTTTCTTCATTAATCTCATCATGGCGGTGAGCATATCCAAGTGTTTAGCCCTGAATGTCAATGACAGTCTCTATAGGTGTGCCAATTCTATCTGCGAGGCCTATGTCGGTTCGGCAACAGTTGTAGGAACGAGCATCCCCCTGGAAGAGAGGGTTCCCTAGCAGGTGCGTTCGCTATGGTATTGTCACTGCGACATCGCAACTTAAAGCATTTTTTTCTTTTTGAACGTATTGCGCCCATATCAGGGACTTCATCGTGGAACTCTGCGACACAAACGACCACTCAACCGCCGATGTACTTCACGTGCGTCTCCAGGCTTTATTCTGACACCCTTCATTCTTCATTCCTACGACCTGCCGCAAACCTTAGAATGGAACTCACTCATGGTATATTCTAGTATGGACTCTTTGAAGGCGGACTTCGATCCTGGCCCCAAAGGAGAGAAACCCCTGTGGCCGCTCAGTAACTATGGCCCTAATAAATTCGAACCGAATCTATTCCCTCCCATGGATGAATCAACCGAAGAAATGCGCGTTAAATATCTGCTTGCTCAGCGCAACAATACTCTCAACGAATACGTGCGTGGAACTGTCTCTGCCATTGTTTCTCTTGTTTACATGCGTGTGCCGATATTTGGATGGGTGTAGCTGGCATATGAATCGGAAAAGCTAGCAGCAGCCGAAAAGGTCATCTCTAGCGCTCGCAGTAATCTCAAAGAAGTCTACCAGCTTGCCAAAGGACAAACTTCCTACGGAGGCGAAATCCCCACTCCAGAACAGACAACGGTCTATAACCCCGACACACCCGCTCCAGCACAGTCGACTGGTGCCTTCGGTGGAGGTAGTGGTGGTGGTGCATTCGGTGGTGGAGGGGCATTTGGAGGTGGCACATCAGCATTCGGAGTCGCAGCAAAAGCGCCCGCAGGAGGAGCTTTCGGTGGTGGTGCTACGGGTGGGTCGGCATTCGGAGGAGGAACTACGGGAGGTTCAGCATTCGGTCAACCTTCAGCCTTTGGTGCCCTAGGAAATGCCAACAAAACCTCAGCCTTCGGCGCCGCTGCAACAAGTGCCCCTTCAGCCTTTGGGAATCCCGCGTTCGGGCAGTCAGGCTTCGGAGCGTCGACGTCTGCTGCACCAGCCACCACATCCGCCTTTGGACAACAATCTACCACACAGCCGACTTCGGCTTTCGGCCAACCAGCATTCGGTCAGGCAGCTGCTCAACCCACCTCTGCATTTGGCCAGCCAGCTCTGAAACCAGCCACGAGCGCGTTTGGTGCTGCCGCTCCTAGTGGTGGTGGTGCGTTTTCCGCCTTCGCCGGTAACAAGCCATCTGCTTTTGGATCGGGTGCTGCGCCATCGGGACCTAGTGCATTTGGAGGTGCTGCACCTTCGACCGGTAGCGCGTTTGGCGGGACGTCAAATACAGGCGGTTCAGTCTTCGGACAGACAGGATTCGGCGGTGGCGGCTCGGCATTTGGTGGTGGAACCAATGCGGCAACGACAGGAGGCTCAGCGTTTGGACAACCGAGCGCATTTGGTGCCTTAGCTCAGCAATCGCAGCCCACCTCTGCATTTGGGCAACCGTCGCAGCCTTCACAGCCCACATCTGCGTTCGGACAGGCTGCAGCACAGCCGACCTCTGCCTTTGGACAGGCCACATCGCAGCCTACCTCTGCTTTCGGTGGACAACCCCAGCCGCAACAACAGCAGCAGCAGCAGCAGCAACCACAGCAACAGTCTGCTTTCGGTGCTTTCGGGCAAGCAATACAGCCTCAGCAACCTCAACAGCCTACGTCCGCATTCGGACAGCCCGCCCAGCCTACTTCTGCGTTCGGACAAGCTCCACAGCAGCAGCCACAACCTCAACAGCCCACATCTGCATTCGGCCAGCCCTCTCAACCTGTACAAGAGCCAGCACAGCCGCAATCTGCTTTCGGCCAACCCCAACCTCAAGCATCGTCACTCCCTGCCGCTCCCGCCTCCGCTGGTCTCCCCGCCCGCCCTGCGAACGCGCCTACATCACATGGTGCAGACTTCTCCACGCTGAAGTCAACGTTCAAGAAGGGACTAGATAAATATGACGAACTGTTACCGCCGAATTATATGGAGCTGATACCGAAGACTGTAAAGGAGGCGTTTGAAGCAGCAAAGTTCGAGTGGAGTTTCGGAGGGAAGGAGTATACCGTCGGTGTGCCCGAGTGGGTACCGCCGATCGAGTTACGGTGAGGTGTGAGCTCGGTGTGAGTGAGCTCGGTGTGAGTGAGCTCGGTGTGAGTGAGCTCGGTGTGAGAGCTGTAGTCGTTTCGTCTGTGTCAATTTACCTACGCAGTGTCTGTAAATTATCTTGCATCCAGATTGTTTTGTATCACTACTCTCATGCTTTGATGTTATCGTTTATGTCCTTCTAACCGATGTGAAAAAACCTGAAGTTACCCAGCAATCGCCAATATAAATACGTAGAGTGCGAGCCAATAGAAGATATCATCAGTCGTACAAAATAATATTATCCTAAAGTGCAGCGCAGCCCACACCCTCAAAATGTCCACGTCCCCCTAGCTCATCCCATCCTTGCTTTCTTCCTCGTATGACCTCCCAACATGGCACCCGCACCCGCACTCCCGAAACTCCCCGCACTATGAGACTGTCCCGGTCCGCTTTGCAGATGTTGTTGCTGTTGCTGTTGCTGTTGTTGCTGCTGCTGTTGAAGCAGTTGGGCTTGTTGTGTAGATTGGTTGGGTACCATCGAGGGCGCTTCATCTTGGCTTATGCGGCGGTACGGGGGCATTTGCGCAGCAGAGACCGTGGCGAAGGCACTATAATAGAGAATAAATGTCAACTTAAGATTTACAGGAGTAAAAGCACGGTGACGAAAGAGCGGTCAACGAACTTTTGTGTCGGCTTTGGGTCTTCCTTGAACCATCTATGGTGAAGCGCTTGTTCGGCTGTGAGACGCTTGTCGGGATCGTAGGCGAAAAGCTCATCGGCGAGTCCGTAGCCTGAGCCAGTGAGCTGTTTCGCTTTGCACCATGATTCAAGACGGGACGTAGACCTGCTAGTAACGATCAATACGCCAAGGCACGTGAGGTGAAGCCCAAGAACGAGGAGCGTACGTGTCCAGTCGTTTCAAGCTCTGGTATTCGGGCATATGTTTCATACCCGGCCAATCGCGTTCTTGATACATGTAGTCAGTATGCAGAGTACGAGAAGCAAAGCAGCGCTCATAAAACAGCTTACCGTTAGGAGTACCCAGTACATCAATAATCTTCAGCAACTGATCCTTCTGAAAAGGTACATTCTTCTTCGAATCCAATTTTGCCTCCTCTCCCTTGAATATCGGCCTCAAGCTCGCTAATTCAGCCAATACGCATCCAACGGCCCAGCAATCTACCGCCTTGTTATAGTGTTTCGCGCCCATCAGTAGCTCTGGAGCGCGATACCAGATGGTAACAACGACCTTGTCTCCGGCGAAGAGCGGCTGCAGTGGCTGGTTCGTGAGACGTGCAAGACCGAGATCCCCAATTTTGACGACTCCGGCTGAGGTAATGAGAATATTGGCAGGTTTGAGATCACGGTGGAGGATGTGGGCGTTGTGTAGGTAGAGCAGGCCGTTGAAGAGTTGGTAAACAAGAGATTTGAGGACGGCGAGAGGGGTGGTGGTGAAGCGAAGGGTCTGAGAGTAGTGGTGGATTAATTGCTGGATTGAATACATCAGCATGAGTACAAGGAGTTGGGATAGAAGATGCCTACGAGAAAGTCGTGCTCGGTATATTCGAAGACCATGTAGATGGATTTGTCTTCGAGGATAACTTCCTTGAGTGTCACGACGTTCTCATGGCTGATCTCCCTATTGAGCTGCACCCTATTGTCATCAACATCTCCCCAGGGCGAACGAGCACAAAGCATCATATACCCACAGCAATCTCCCGAATAGCACTCTGGCTGATACCTGTATACGTCACCACATCTCCCTCCTTGTCCGGCTTGAATTTCTTTATAGCATAAATCTTTTGCTCGTGATCTAGACTCTTCGCCTTGTATACACGACCATATGTCCCAGATGAAATGAAACCAAGGATTGAGTATTTGGAGATGACTGTGTGGTGGGCTTGGTCGCGTTTGGCGCGATAGGCTCGCATGCCGTCCTGGTGGAGGTGGGTGTTCCAATCCTCCATAATTGATCTACCTAGTGGAGGTTAATATGCAGGATGTTCAGATCTTCTACTTCATTTTGCATTTTTATGAGATTTGGTATCAATCATGACTGCACCTTCCTGTGGTAAACAACTAGCACCACTTACCGTGTCAACGTTGGTTGTATTCCGCACTGCGCTCAATTGGCGCTCAATCTGAAGAAAGATGAGGCTCTATCTCAGAAGTAGATGACACCCGACTTACTGTCGCGTTGGAATGGTGAGATATATCATGTCCTTCAAGTTATAAAAGCATTCGTCGGCTCGCCGATTGATGCAGTCCGAGTCGTAGATGTGGCAAGAGTTCAAGAACGTTTCCAGCCGGCGACCCGGTGGCGCGCAGGGTGGTCATGCATTTCCCACGGCGATCGCCACCTTCGTCTACTACAGTCTCTCGCTCATCGGACTAAGAAATAGCGTGTTCACAAGCATCGGTTCACAACTTTTATGCCATCCTCAATCTTAGATCCTTACTAAAAGAGAGAGCTTTGCATAACAGGACTCCTCAATGAATCGAAAGCAAGGGTACAGATCGTTGTGATACAAGCTCGTACATGTCGGGGCTTCTGTTCCATCGTATCAAAAGTCGTCCCGAAACTCTCTACTCAGACACGGGAGGGGGAGCACCACTTCCCATGATAACTTGCACGCCCTTCATTTCGTGGCAAAAGGGATCATCAGCTCATCTTTAGGATTGGTACAGAATAATAAAAGAAGAGCAACGTACTGGAGACGTGATATCGTCCACGGTTAGGAAGATTGTTGCGGGTCCAGGTGGGTAAACTCTTCCGCTCGGTGGGGTGGTGAAAGTGAGTTGCGTCTTATCGTCCGAAAGCGTAGCGTTCATGAAGACGAGACGTGCGCTTGAGTGAAACGCATGAGTCGAGAACCCGAGGTCCATTAACGCCACTGACACCACGAATCCCAAAATAAAGAACAAAAATGGTGAACGACATGAACACCGAAAAAAATCAAAACCACGCTTACGCTTGACGTCGCTCGTATCCAGACCCTCTGGAACCGTAACATTCACCGTCATGCTCTTCCCAAATGCCAATTTACTCGGCATACTCCCCTCCTCAAACGTCGGCCTCTCTACCCCTGGAGCCAAAGACGGAGGGTTCAGGTGCTCAACCCTGAACTCTGTGGGGAACGTCACTCCTGGACCCGGGGCCGTCGTATTCGGATTCGGGTTGCTCCCGGCGATGAGGAAGAAACCTTGCGGCGTGAGCGTGACGCTAGAGTGATAGACTCGAGGTATGTCGGCTGTGGGCATCCCAGTATTGGAGATTCGTTGTCCGAGAGGGAGAGAGGGAGTGTAGATAGAGGGAGTCAGCGCTGGGTGGTCGGCGTTAGAGTTTCCGGTGGTTACGCCCACGCTGGCGAGGGCTGCAAAGCCGGACATGGCACCGTTGATGATAAGGACCTGGCAGGATTCGAACGACGATGGGGAGTCAACTTTAGGAACAAAAAGTAGGATATGACGGCTGAAAGTGGGTTGGCTTTACCTGCCCGTTGGGGATATGAAGCAGTTCGGGCATAGTCCTCGGCTCTAGCATATGCTCCACTTGCCATCCTGCAGCGATGCCTTCATCCGTCAACATAATCCGACTGCACTGAGTCGTGGCAGGATCCTGGGACGACAGGTTTGCGGGCGGTGTAGCAGGGTCGTTTTGGGAGCCACCGCAAACAAGAACTTCGGGGATGAAGTCTGGAGGGGAAAGTGGGAGAAGTATGGCGGAGCCATCCATTGGGTTTGTCACCTGAACACCATTGGGTATTTCAGGGAGCAGAGTCTCTGTCTGAGCCTCGATGTCGTAGATCATGGACGTGTTACCTGCGACCATGAAAACACGACCGTCTGGGAGTGCGAAAACCCTACGTATACCGTTTATTAGTGATCCGAATGCGCGTGATAGATACTCCAGGTAATGGAAGAAGATATGTCAAAATGGGACACGAACCTCGGGAACAAGTTCGAAGGTCCACTGTTGGCAAGGAACGGAGATGGTCGGGCAACGCCATTATCTTTCTTTGGGAAGAACTCGAAAGAGTTGGCAGGATCAATGTTATAGAAAAGAGCATCTGTATGGGTCCCGCCTAGAATTTGTCACCACAAATGTCAGGGAACGAAATCAGTAACATTAACGATAATGTATTGAGTAGACATACCGACGATCATAATAGACCCGTCAAAGATGCGGAGAGAGCTTGTGTACCACCTCGGTGTGGCCAAGTTGAACCTCGGATCATCTGGGTTCTCAAATATGGTACAACCAGTTCCGTCGGGCGCAGCACAAGGTTCGAAGAGACGAATAGCATTCAGACCACTTTTCGCGGTCGGATTTCCAGCAAAGAATTGTGGGTCGCCTCCTACGCTAGCCTGTCAAATGAGACAAGTAATTGGCCCTATCAATTTTACGTTTATGCGAAGCGCGGATGTGAAGGGTGACATACCATAGTGCCATTGCTCAGCAGTGCACCAGAAGCGCAGAAAGAGTTGGTGAGGAGATCGAGTGGTTGGACGGTGCTGGTCTCCAGATCCCAGAGAGCACCCCAGGCAGAGTGGTTATTGATTTGCAAGGGGTCGTCCGTGGCCCTGTCGAAAAATATGACAAGGTTCGGAGAGACGACAATGGACTCAAGGGCTAGAACACCCGAAGTCATGTTCTGAAGTTCGAAAGACCATGATGCTTCGGTTGCAGCAGTGGCGAACCCGGCGCCGAGAGCAATAGATGAGAGGAAAGCTGTCCACATCTTGTCACTCGATAAGGCTGGAGCTGTCGGACTGATGTTGCCCCGAGTGAGACTTATGTATGAAAAGGCCATGGGACTATTTGTAAGGCAAATAAGCCAGGAGAGTCGAGGAACGATGATCACATTGGGATGCAGGGAATTTAATGAGTATTTCCCTGAGAACTTGACACCCACTTGAAGTAGCAGTCTCAAGCTTTCCGCTTCTCTGGTATCTGCTCGGTGTATATTCCCTTCCAGCCCGGAAGCACACAAGAACATAACTGGGTAATGCTTGTTATCCTCCTATGCAATGACACGGCTGGTTTTATCTGTGAACCATGAAGGAAGTCCACTTCGGAACGACCGTCAATGACCATGACCGATGAAAAGAGGTAAGGAGAACAACCTGCCTTCAACTCCTGTCCAGTCTTCTATGGGAGGCCAGCGAATCATATGATCATGCGCCTCAGGCAGTCTCTTGAGGTACATCCCATAAAGTCCATAAGCCAAACAGCACGCGAACGGGTGTGATCCCTTCGCAGTCGAAGCTTCGCCTCCACGTCTGTTTCTATTACAGATATCGTTTCACAGGACTCCGTGGATCTACTCACACTGTACGGGGTTCCGAGATACTCGCCAAGCCCATTTCGACAAGAAAGTCAGCAGAATGTGCTCAGGAGGGGAAAGTAGAAAGTAAGTTACTGAGGTAACCGTACCGGCCTCGAGAAGTGTAGGGAACGAACTTCGTTCGGACTTGCGCGCAGCTTCGAACATGCTTATTTCCTACGCAAGAAACCGCATGAACCTTCAGGCTGTATGGTGTGAATGAGAAGAACATGACTCAATTGAACTCTCGTACACACTGAACACAGCTTGAAGCAGCCAGTAATATCCACGGCAGCCCCATATACCAGGTAGCAGGTAGCAGCTCGCCATCGAACAGGTCTCGCTGTGGTATACGGCCTGCACAAGCGACATCGGCGATATGACTTACGTCTAGCCAAAAAGTTCAGGATGTGGAGTGCCCAAAAAGAAGTTCAAAGTTGCTTCAGCACAGGCGGACGACAACGCGAACCCCATAGCTGGGATGGACCGCAACAGTCAGCTTCAGGACTCGGGGAGCCGTCTGAGTCATAGAGCCCGTCTTTTGTCCAGGAAAAGGAAGAGACACTGTCACTTATTGTGGCCAAACCCACTCCAACATGAGTGGACACGAGTCGATCGGTGAATAACGGGTCCGGAATCAGAAAGAGACAAGGAACTTGATTCTCGATTCTTAACCCTACATTTTTACTCTGAGACTGGAGGCGAGGCGCCACTGCCCATGATGGTTTGCACGCCCTTGATTGCATGACAAAAGGGGTCATCAGCCCTTACTCTCGATCAACATAGAATAGTAAAAGAAGAGCAACGTACTGTAGACGTGATACCGTCCACCGTCAAGAAGATCGTTGCGGGTCCAGGTGGGAAGACTCTCCCGTTCGGTGGAGTGGTGAACGTGAGCTGTGTCTTGTCGTCCGAGAGCGTGGCGTCCATAAAGACAAGGCGCGCATTCGAATGGAACGCATGAGTCGAGAAACCGAGATCAACCAACGCCACTACCGTCGTGAAACGAAGCACAAGCCCACGCCCACAGAAAAGTGAGCAATTAATCGAGCCCCGGGGTGAAACTGCACTTACGCTTGAGGTCGGTCGCATCAAGCCCCTCCGGAACCGTAACATTCACCACTTGACTCTTCCCAAACGCCAACTTACTCGGCATACTTCCCACCTCGAACGCCGGCCTCTCCACCCCCACAGCCAAAGACGGTGGGTTCAGATGCTCGACCCTGAACTCCGTGGGGAAGGTAACTCCTGGCCCCGGCGCCGTCGTATTTTGATTCGGATTACTTCCCGCGATCAAGAAAAAGCCCTGTGGTGTGAGAGTGATGCTGGAGTGGTAGACACGAGGGACGTCGGTCATTGGCATTCCGGTGTTGGAGATGCGTTGACCGAGAGGGAGGGAGGGGCTGTAGATTGAAGGCGTTAGGGCGGGGTGGTCGGCGTTGGATTGGCCGGTTGTGACGCCGATACTGTCGATGGCAGCGAAGCCGCTCATGGCGCCGTTGATGATGAGAATCTGATGGAGGAAATGTCACGGATGGTTAGCGAATGCAGTGCTAAGCACGCTGACAAGTAAAACAATGTTACCTCGCCGTTAGGAATATGGAGCAGCTCGGGCATGGTCCTTGGCTCCAACATATGCTCGACTTGCCACCCAGCAGCGATGCCCTCCTCCGTCAACGTAATCCGACTGCACTGAGTCGTCGCAGGCATCTGAGACGACAAATTTGCGGGTGGGGTGGCGGGATCGGTCTGAGAGCCACCACATACAAGAACCTCTGGGATGTAGTCGGGGGGAGAGAGGGGGAGGAGGATGGCGGAGCCGTCCATCGGGTTTGTCACCTGCACGCCGTTAGGGATGTCCGGGAGGAGAGTCTCTGTCTGAGCTTCGACGTCGTAGATCATGGTTGAATTGCCTGCGACCATGAAGACGCGGCCATCTGGGAGAGCGAAAACCCTGTGAATAACATAGTTGATCAGTTGAACAGAAACCTTTGCCAGATGTGAGACGAACCTTGGGAATAAGTTCGAAGGTCCGCTGTTGGCAAGGAACGGAGATTGTCGAACAACGCCGTTATCCTTCTTGGGGAAAAACTCGATCGAATTCGCAGGATCGATGTTGTAGAATAGCGCGTTCGTGTGGGTCCCGCCTGGAGTTCATCATCATCAGATGCTGAAGGATGGGTGGCGTAATGGGTCCTCTACGGTATTGAATATGCACATACCGACGATCATGAGAGACCCGTCGAAAATTCGAATAGCACTGGTGTACCACCTCGGCGTGGCCAAGTTGAACCTCGGATCGTCCGGATTCTCAAAGATAGTACATCCAGTTCCGTCCGGCGCCGCACAAGGCTCAAAGAGTCGAATGGCAGTCAATCCACTCTTTGCGGTAGGGTTTCCTGCAAAGAACTGTGGGTCGCCACCTACACTGGCCTGGAAAATACAACAAGAAGTCAGCAGGATCATCTGCAAGTGCACGGTATTGGAGTGGTGATATAACCTACCATGGTACCATTGCTGAGCAGCGCACCAGATCCGCAGAACGTGTTGGTGATGAGGTCGAGCGGTTGTACGGTGCTGGTTTCCAGATCCCAGAGTGCACCCCAAGCAGAATGGTTATTGATTTGCAAAGGGTCGTCGGTAGCCCTGTCGAACCATACTACGACGGTCGGAGAGACGACGATAGCTTCAAGCGCTAGAATTCCAGAGGTCGCGTTCTGGAGTTCGAAAGACCATGACGCTTCGGGTGCAGCAGTGGCAAACCCAGCACCAAGAACGAGGGATGAGATGAAAGCTGTCCACATTCTGTCGCTCAGTAGCACTAAAGCTGTCATTCAGAAAACCTCCCAAATGCAACTTATATACGAGGAGAGTCTGGGAGATATGTGGAGAAAATAAGCTAGAAAAGCTAGGAGTGAGTGATCACATTGGTCTGCAGGGAATATAGTCAAGGATCCCTTGAGAAATTGCGGACGACTTGAAGCTGGAGGTCTCAAGCTCTGGGCCTCATTAGTCTGTGCTCAAGATACTTTCCTGTATGGTTAAGAATAAATGAGAGGAGCGTAGAACGTTCATCATCTCTGTTATAGCCCTGCACAATACCGCAGCAGTATTTGGCTACAGAACAAGGAAGGACTTAGTCACGGGACGGCTATTCACGACCACGAGCTTGAGAATGGATGAAAACAAGACCTTGCGGCTGTATAAATCTGACCTCTGGGTGCTTTTCTTGGGAGAAGGTTAATTGGCTCAACCAAAACGAGCAACATACGAACAAGTGTGGTCCCCTCGCAGTCGAGGCTATGACACCACGTCTGTTTCCACTGTCATTCTTTGTCTCAGGGTGCCGTGGACGAACTCACACTGTACGGAGTTCCGAGAAGAGCACCAAGCCCATTTAGCGAAGTAAGCCAGCAAAACGTGCTCACAGGGGAACGAAACAGACTCAGCTTCCAGTGCCCGTCCAGTAAGTCTAGGGAAAGAGCTTCGTTGGGACTCATGCCTTGCCACGAAGAAGCTTATTTCGTCACCCAAATGTATGCAACATCATTCAGGCTATGATGAGTAAATAGAAATACTATCCAGAGACCGCGCACACCATAGACGACACGAAAGCTAAGATTCGACTGGATAAGGCGAGGAGGGTGACGGCGATGGTGGTGGTCAGGAAGAGACCCGCCGGGTGTGGCCCGCGCGTGAAATTCGTTTGCCCTGGCAGGCTCTGGCCTGGTGCCACTTATCAACACCATGTCGTTAACGTCCATTTCGACCATCACCTACAGCTTTCTCGATATCCTACACGATGCCCACGAAACCCATCTGGATTGACTGTGACCCAGTATGTACTCTGATATATGCATATTGAAGAGTACTTCGTATAACAGACTTGATGATTGCAGGGCCACGACGACGCCACAGCAATCCTTCTCTCTATCCACAGCCCGACTATCCAACTTCTAGGAGTATCTACAGTAAAGTTAATCGCCATCTATACGACACAACTTATATACTGAAGTAACATGTCAACAGGTTCACGGAAATGCAGATGCATTAAACACAGCGCGCAACGCAGCTCGCTGTCTACATGCTTTCGCAGCACCTCCGCATGTCAAGGTCTATCCTGGCGCGTCCAAACCCCTTTGTCGCCCCGTTATCTATGCCCCAGAGATCCATGGATCAGACGGGCTTGGCGGTGTCGAGGGATTACCTGACAAAGACCATGCGGACGTGAAGGCCAGGATAGATCTCAGTGTGCCGGCATCTCAGGCTATGGCGGAAGCTGTAAGGAAGAGCTGGGATGGAGGGAAGGGAAAGAAGGTCTCGCTGGTTGCGTGCGGACCGTTGACGAACATTTCACTCTTCGTAAGTGTATATCCGGAGTTGATGGAAGCCGTTGAGCAGATCGTGTTCATGGGTGGAGGAGTGGGAATCGGGAACAAGTCGGCAGTGGCAGGTTCGTACAATATTCTCTGCCCTATATTCGCACAGGAACTTATATCTTGTTTGATGTAGAATTCAATATTCTATGTGACCGTAAGTCAATATTTACACCGCCGTACTCTACATTCTCATCACACTTCATACCATACAGCCGAAGCCGCCCAAGTCGCTCTCGATGCTCCCGTTCCATCAGTCATGCTCCCCCTCAACGTAACTCACCTCGCAATTGTGACTTCCACAGTCCATTCCCACCTCCTCTCCGCTGCTCCCTTCCCTCCTACTTCCACCCCTACCACCACCACCACCACCACCTCCGACCCCAATGCCATCCTTCCACAGCCCGCCACACCTCTCCGCCACACACTCTCCACCCTCATAACCTTCTTCAAAGAAGCCTACGCGACGACCTTCGGATTCCACACTGGACCTCCTCTGCACGACGCCCTAACGGTAGCCTACGTGATTGATCCCTCACTCTTCCCTCGCACGAAACGGTTCAGGGTGGATGTGGAATTGACCGGAGCGTTGACGACGGGGGAGACGGTTGTTGATTTGTGGAATTATAAGAGATGTGGAACGGAGACGTGGGGTAGGGAGGGTTTGAATTGCTTGGTCACGGAGGGATTGGAGGTATGTTCAGTCTTGATTGCTTCTGGTTGGCTTTCGAGGGTGGCAGGGGAGGGATGTCGTTGAAGGATACTGATTAACATCCGCTTCTTTATGCGTGGTGGTCGTTCATAGGTCGATTCCTTCTTCAAGCTCCTGCTTGATTGTGTCTCCAGATGCGATAAAGTCTCTCCTCTCAACCAGAAGCAATGATACATCATATCATGTGCATCCCATAGACTTCCTGCCATGATAGCACGCGCGACGGTAAGCACAGAACCAAAAACTAATGTCGTAAACGTCGTAAAATGTCATCACAATATTAATCTGCACCGTTACATAGATAGAGACAGAAGTGGCATATGTATGAAGCAAACAAGTAGGTAAAGTTGTGGATATGTGACAAGCAGTGTCTGAGGTGGAAAAGGATATAGATGTTGCAGATAGATAATAGAGACTCCTAGGTCAAACAAATCAACAAGTTCATGGTTCGGATACAGTTCGTCACCTCGTCAACGTCAACGTAAAGTAGTAAATGCCGATATAAACATGCGTGAATCGCCCCATAAATGCGACAGATAAAGAAAAGCAAAGAAACCCAAAGCGAAAGGAGCGATCGTCGACCTCTCGACCCAGTTAGTAAACATGAGCGGCTAAGCGTACACCCATATTAATCGTACATCCGACTTTGTGGCCTCCCCCCATCAAAGAAAATCTTACTCAAAGGCCTCTGCGGCCTCGCCCTCCTCTTCCCGTCTCTCATACTCCTAATAGCCTGGTCGAGATCTCCGCGTCCGAGGGATTGTAAACCTGCGGCACGGCCTTGTGAAGCGGGAGGCGACATCATGGCGCCCTTTATTGTCTGTGAAGAATAGAAAGTAGAAGTGAGTTACGGAAAGGAGAGACAAGGCAAGAATGAGGAAAGGGCTGACATCTTCGGCAGGCTTCTCTTCCTCCTGTGTTTCTACGACGATCGACGGTGCCGGTGGGGTGGGAGTAACTGTGGCAGCGGTCTTTGCTTCCACATCATGCACCTCCAGCGCCGCTTTCTGTAAAGCAACGACAGCCAATGATTAGCTATCTGCCGCTGACAAACAAAGGCTTAGAAGGAATACAGAACACGTACCTGCAGAGACGAGGAGAACGACAAAACCAGCCCGAAGAAATCTTCTGGCTTCGGCGCCTCAGGCGAGGCAGGATCTTCGCCGTAATACGCGAGGAGTGCTTTCAAGTCACCTTCAAGAGCATGACCCATCTTTGACATGGCGTCGATGCTTGGGCCATTCGTCACTACGAACGGCTATTTTGAACAGCGAACGATGAGTACCTGCACCACAGAACAAGGCGAAAAGAACAGATGTGCACTGACCCGCATGACTGTGGCAAATTTATCGGTAGCGCCACTCGGCCCAGACAAGTTCAACTCGTTGTTGACCTGCTTGAGGCCATTCACGAGGGCTGTGATGGACTGCGAGATCGTCTGAATCGATACTAGAAATGAATGTGATATCAATATTTGCTATACAAAATGATGAAAGATGGTGAGCATCGGTGAAAGGCGTACGAACCTCGGGCAGCAGGCTCTAAATGAGGCATATCCTCGATGAATGTAACGAGAGCTGGATCAGTCCTGAGAAGTAATCTGGCGAGATAATGTAGGAGCGTCGGACAATCCGGGCCTCCTTTGACCGTCTTCGTCTCTCTCAACTATGCGCCCGGTCAGCGAAATGAATAACTGGTCAAATTCTGGGCAAGGGAGGACGTACCTTCAAGAGTGCCTCCAGCCTGAACCCACGCGCACCCCCTCGGAAACTCGACCCGTTGAGAGCGTTCCCCACTGTCAGAACGGCCTAAGAGGTATTGGTAAGTTACGTAGAATGGACCACTGCGACCAGAGGTCTCACCTGGAGGACACGTTTGAACCTCAGCGATGAGCGCATCTCCTTCGACGCGTTTCTTAGAATATTTAGCTCAGGCCGGATCTCTTCAATATCAAGCTCCAGTCGTCGTCGGTAGATCATACAATCCAGTCTCTCGGATAATCTCGGGATAGTCATGATCTAAAGGCGTCACGAAAAACGTACCATTGAAGGTTGTCAGTTGACGCCACTCTTAATGAACGAAGAGACGAACCTGGACAAAATACTGATCCGCCTTCGCAAGCTTCCCGACCCCATCGAAGTCATTCAACCGATTGATCTCTTCCGATGTTGGCAACTGCTTTCCGATGGCCTTTAAATCATCAATCGAGAGCTTGTTGTCGTCGACTTCGAGCAGCGCTCTGCGAATATCTGGAAGTTCCATCTTGATCCTCGAAAGCATGATTGCTGAACGAGTCAAACATCAGTAAGCTCGACGGATACACCTAATTGATCAAACCACTTACCGACATGATTCGCCCTCGTAATATCTAACAACGTCGTGATATTCTGGCTTTTCACTGGACTCTTCGGCGTAATCGACATCGCACTCCCAGTCGATCCTGCCGCACCAGCACCCTCCATCGCAAACGTCGCCTCCAGATCATCCATCGTGAACTCCAACCCAGCACTCAAATCAACGGTTGCGACGTCGTTCCATATGGTCGACCCGATAGCGGTGGGCTGTAATTTGTTCCAGAAGAAGGGGCGAAGGCGTTTGCCTGGTTTCGGTGGCGGTGCAGATTTCTTGAAGCGGTTGAAGGCGGATGGGGGAGGCGGAGGCGGTGGCGGACCGGGTATGCCACCTGGAGGAGGCGGCGGCGGTGGTGGTGGTGGCGGGGGTGCACCGTTGAAACCACCAGTGGGAGGTGGAGGTGGAGGTGGTGGTGGAGGAGGCCCACTACCCATGAAAGGAGGGGGTGGAGGCGGAGGTGGAGGCGGAGGTGATGATGAATTACCGGAGACGGTTTTCAATGACACAGAGCGTGGCAATGGCGGAGGAGGCGGCGGGGGTGGCGGAGGCGGAGGTGGTGGAGGCGGAGGTGGAGGCGACAGAAACGCGTCAGAAGTGGGTGAACCGAGCATATCTTGCAACGCGTCAGACATAGCGGATACATCCTGCGAAAGTACCTTCACCGGATCCGTCCTCGATCTATTCGGCCTACTCGGCGGAGGCGGTGGTGGTGCAACTTTCGCTTTGAAGTCCTTCTCCGTAACTTCAATAATCTTTGGCTTAGCCTCCAACTCGACTTTCAGTGCCTGTATCTCCGCTTGAAGAAGCACAATCTCGTCGTCCTTCTCCGTGAGACTTTGAATGGCCTGTGAGGCCATTGCTTGTGCATCGAGCTCAGTGACGGTCGAAGAAGTCTCGGCGGCTTGTTGTTGACGCGAGCGGAAACGCGAGTAGACGGACTCGAGGGCACGCTTGAGGTAGACTGACTCTTTGTCTTTGATAGTGATCGTGGTCTCGAGTTCACCGACCTTGATCTTCAGTTTGGCAATTTCGTCACTAAGACTATTCCACTTGGCTTTCTCCCGTTCCCGCTTCGCCCGGTCATCCTAGCAGTTTTTAAAAAAGATCAGCCTCTCACCGTCTCGAAATCAGAGTAGGGAATCGGATGCGTACCGCTTCTCTACCCTCGCTCGGATTCTGCGCCTTGAACTTGTCGAGCTCACTCTGAAGCTGCAATACCTGTTTCTCCTTTTGAACCAGTCTTTGCACGAGGCCATGAAAGTTCTGAACGCGGTTATACGTTAGACATATCACAATAACGAACTTAATTAAAATGGACGAACATCAGCGCCACCTCGTCCAGGAGCCTTGGCGCCAGGTACCGGGATCGCGGTAGACAAAGACCGAAGAGTATTGATTTCCACTGCTTGTTGGCTCAGCTCTTTCTGCAGGTCGGCGCGCTGGAGGATCGAGTCCAATAAGTACGGCGCATGCAGATGAAATGATCGGGGAAATTGGGACTGACCTCTTTCTCGAGATCCTCGATCTGATGATGCAGGGCCTCCAGCTCGTCAACTTCGAGGTGCTGACCGGATGCCATCAGATCAAAGTGTTGACCGGTAATAGTTTCGACCGAAGTCACGAATGACTTGACGAAAGTCTGCCACCACTCCTCACTACTCAACAACGTAACCAAAATGTCAGTTATCAGCATGATACCTGTTTGGATGATCAAATGAGATACCTACACATTCTCAACCCCCTCAACCCCCTTCCAAAAACACTTCGCAACACCCAGAACCTGTCCAACCACTCCCCCCTGCACCTCTCCACTCTCTGCCTTCCTAATCAACACCCCAAAGCTCTTTAAAACCTCCACCACCTTCGGATACACTTCCTCCCCACCATCACCACCAATGGTATTCAGCCTCGCCAGCCTCATCAGTTCCTCTATCGCTGCCTCTCCCTCTGACGGTTCTCGGTCGTGCGAAGTTCTTGTTCCAGAAGTGGTGGAGCCGCGATTGGCCATGAGAAGCCGTTGAGCGCGCTCGCGCATGTCTTCTTCGTCTTCGAATTTTTCCTCGGTATAGACATCCAGTTGTGTGACGAGCGAGTCTGGAGGCCGGACGTAGCGAAGTGTCTACATTATATCCCACGCCGATTCAAGCATGCCAAATATCAGACCCATGCAGCAAGCTCGGAGAATTCAGATAGGAATAGATGGAAAAGGGTGAGGGAAAGGTGCACGTACGACGATAACCTCATTCAGGCCCCTCCTGCCGAATTCTTCCCTCAACATTACCCTCTCCTCCAAACTTTCCGGACAATTCGTCAACGCATTCACGAGCACCAAACTCGCCGTCCTCGCCTCCCACACACCATCATCCTCTGTCCCTAGTCCCGACCCTCCTACACCTACACCACCACCACCACCACCACCACCTTCGGCGAGCTCTGCATTAGGATCTTCCTCAGGTAAGCGGAGTGATTGGATGAGCTCCTCGAAGCGGAAAGCTTCCTCAAATGCGATGCGGTAATCTGACATCGCTGCGAGTACTGCGCGATGACCGTCAGGGAGTGAAAGGATACATATCGCGGCGAGGAGGTCGGCGGAGAGGGTGTGTTGTTTGTGTGATGCGCCGTGGAGGGAGTATGCGATATGTGTTATGATAGTTGGTGAATGAAGGACTGTATTGAACCCAGCCTGGTCCGCCCATTGAATTCAGCCACCGTTGCATTCCAGATTTCCACGAGAAGAGGGGAGGGCAAAAGGTGGAGCTTAGACGAACCTCGGTATTCAACAAAACCCTTAAACACTTGACGACCTCCAAAAGCACCATCTCCTCCACATCCCCCAGCCTCTTCCTCTTCCCTCCCTTTCCCACTAACCCCGCAAGCACACCTCCGAGCACCTCCAACCCACCTCTCTCATCCACAAACTCCCCGATCCACGCCAGATTCGCGGTCGAGAGATGGACACGCAATGATATAAGATGTTTCACCATCTTTGAGTCTGTGGGTTTGTGTGATTTGAGGGCGGTGATGTAGGACGTTGGGGTTTTGGAGGTTGATGAGTTGGAATTGGAGTGTGAGTGTGAGTGGGTGGTGGACGAGGAAAGGGCGGCAGATGAGTTGGGACCTGAGATGGAGTTGGATCGGGAGGACACGGTCGCTTTCTCGCCTCCGGACGAAGACCACCAGGATGACCAGAGTCCGCCTGTCGTTTGTGCCTGGAGAGGCGAGGTAGACTCTTCCACGACTTTGTCCACCTGATTCTTCAACTTCTTGCTACTGCTGCTCCCACTCCCGTTGACCCCGTTCGCACCCTGCCCATCTGCCGTTACAAATTCGCCTGACGAACGACCAGTGGCTGTCGCAGTAGTGGTAGTAGATGTAGAAGGAGCAGCGGCGCCACCGCCCCAGCCAGATATGGAGAACCTTTTCATGAGGCCTGAGTCACCTGTTAGTTGCGGGACTAAGCGGGGAATGAGGGCCGGTGCACTCGAAGGACCATATGTCGCGGAGAAATTGGACGATCTATTGTTGGGTGTGGATGGTGGAGAGGAGGACCGGAATTGTTGATGTTGTAGGAGAAGATATTTCTTCCGGTCGAGGGGTAGAGCGTACATCGCGTCGCGTTGAGGTCCCTTCAAGCCTAGGTCGTTCTGAATGATCACGTTAGAGCGCGATTCTGATGCAGTCATGATAGGTACTTACCACCATCCGCGCAAACTCCTCCGCGTCAAACTCCTCCTCATCCCCACTCTCACCCCGGTGCTCATTACCCTGCTCTCCGCTCCTCATCCCACTTTGCGACGACAACAACATCGGCTCACTCACACTCATCCTATTACTCGGTGGCGTCGTCGGTGTGGCGTCCGACTGATGTGTCTCGTTCGTCGGCGTCGAAGGCCTCAACCATCCCTCCAACATCGTCGAAATCCGATTCTGCGATATCGAAGACCTCCAATCCGGTCTTCCTCCCTTGCCTCCTCCTCCCGCTGCGCCAGACGTACTCGGAGGCGGCGATAAATCTCTCTGTCGCGCCGTTCCTTCCCCCTCGGTCTCGGATTCACTCTCCTCAGATTGGGTGTGACGTCCATGAGTTCCGTCTTCTTCCTCGTCTTCTTCAGTGAGATCCTGTAACGCTCGTATAGTATGTTCGGAAGGTGTGAGGGAGAGGGAGGAACGATGTCGGGATTTAGAACGTGTGCGGCGATACCATTCGTCCGGAACTGCGATACGAAATGAACGGCTAGCGGAAGGGGAGAATCCAGTAGGAGGGTTGATGGAGTCCAGAAGATGGGAGGGAATGGTCGTGGGTTGTAATTGAGACGCTTCTGAGGAAAGGTGTGGGATGCAGGACAGTATGTCAGCGTAGATTCAACTGTATTGCTTGTCAGAACGCACTCTCAGAATCCTCCTCGCTCCAGACTTCCTCCACACAGTATGCGAGCGTTCCAGCACCAGGTATAGGCAACGACCTCGTCAATCCCAGCTCTTCAATCGCGTTCTGCAAGATCTGTTCCACGGTACTCTCCCTCCCAAAGAAACAAGTCCAGCGGAAATCATCGTGGATCTCCGGCACGCGCGCGAAGGAGAATGCGGTAGTGAGTGAAGGATGAAGGGACACGAGACGGAGTGCTGGGGCGTGGAGGTGCGATGTGAGTGAGAATGCGGAGAAGTGTCGTTGTAATTGGGGATTTGTCGGGTCCAATGGCGTGCTACTAATGAGAGGAGCTACTGCTTGGGAATTGTCGACGATACCTAAGACATGCAAGAGAGTTAGTCACACATACGAACACATTGGAGGTAGTATAACATGGAGTGGCCCGAATGTGGCGGCAGTCCTTGCGTCAAGTGCTTCTTCCTCGACGGCTCTCGGATAGACATAACAATGATTAGACCATGGAGAAACGAGAACTGACCGTCTCCCAAAGCCTCAAGCTCCTCCTCTTCCCAAGCTCTACCATTGTGTTCCTTCCGTATCCTCTGCAAAGCCCAACCCTGTGGCTGCAAGTCCCCAAGCACATCCTCCCGAACCTCCTCGAGCGCGACTAACGAGTCGACGACATCCTGTACAACAGCATCATGGCTAACCGAAGCAAAGTGAAGGGAACCCGAGCAGAGTATAGTTGGGACGATGAGGAGATCGTCAGGCATAGCAGAGCCGATGCGGAACTGAGCTCAAGAGAATTGGTGTGCTTTGAGGCAACCCCTCTAGCGCACGCGTTTAGACAGTGCTTCGGGAACGTGTAGACCAGCCAGTTCCGATCGAGCTATGGGTGAAACGAACGACGGTGACGATGACTTCGCCAGAGCATGGACAACGGCTTGCACTGACTCTGGTTTCGGAAGCACTATACCTTGACTGGCTTTCGTGGGGGAAATACTCTTCGTTGGAATATACTGAATTGATATTAGCTAAATGTCTCACATCCAAGTCACTTTGCCGGAGTGGTTAACGGGATCGCCTGCTATTTCTAGCTACCAGCGGTTGGGCTTTGCCCGCGAGTGTTCGAATCGCTCAGGTGACGATTCTTTTGCTACTTCTCCCCGCAGCCTACGTGAAAGTTGGACCAGCCCCATCCTTCGAATACTTGCGTACACGATTGAAGGTCAAGAACTATCGTCTACGTAGAAAGCCTCAAAGTATTGCTACTTGTATACTCATCAGACCACGCGCTATTCCACCTGGACGAAGACACAGGTGATGGCGGCCGCCTCTCCACTTCAATTTCCTCTCCTCCTTTTACAGACTCGCTACTTGACTTTTTCTCCTATCGATAGCACCAGAACAGATACAAAATCAGGGTTAGTAAGGATTGAACGACGACATAGCGCGTCAGGTACCCGAGCACAGTAACTCGGGCATGCTGACTTGAAGAAGTATGAACAAAACACTCACATCTGACAAGTCCAGCCCCATACCTGCCTCCACCCTCGTTAACTCCTCATCCGACCCTGTAATTGGCGCATCACCGTCAATCTCATCAGCGACAGAAGTCCTCCCTATATCCGTATTCTTCATCTTTCGTCGGATGCGCGATCTCGAGTTCAGAGTGCGGAATATCCCGATGATGTAGAATTTGCCGGTGAGGAGGATGAAGGAGAGGACGAGGTGGCGATTGTGGTTCTATAACGCCCACACACGCAAAATCATCGGATGTAAGCACAAGTGTTGTGGAGCTAATGAACCCAAGAGGGGATGATTCGTTACTTACCGAGTTGGAATAGTAAAGACTAACGGCGATGAGCATCGTGATGGAAGGAACAGCGGCGGATTCCCAGGTGATACCGATGATATGTTTGAGGCATTTATCGAGGTGGTTTATTCCAGACTTCTGTTTCCAGAGGTAGTATGACACTATAGGCGTATTATCATCAGTCGCTATTTGGGAGACGTTGTTGCAACGAAAATGCTCACGAATCGCAGTGATCATGCCGTCCAACACTAAGGATGTCGAACAGAAGGAGTACGTCAGTAGACTGTGGTGAGGGAAGATTTGGAGGAACTGACCGAAGGAGCTCCAGATCCAGTAATTGAATGCTGCGACGGTCTGTAATCCGTGTGGAGGGTATGAAGTGGTGTTGGACACGATTATACGGAGAAAAACTCACGGCTGGACTTCGAGTGGAAATTAAAGGCTGGAACAACAAGTTCATCGGTAAAGACTAGAGAATAAGCACGGTGGTACATACATCGTTCGTCAACTCTTTTGACCTTGAACTGATTCCAATAATGGTACTCTATCAAAATAATCGTAAGTACGCCAACTGATATGGATCTACCCAGAATGTAGCTCGATACAGTATGCAAGACTTACTAGATAGATATTCGCAGCGAACGTCGTGGTCGTGAGTAAAATCATTGATACGAGTAACCACAGGGCCTTCTTCGTCACCTATGGTACCCGACTGAATTAGCATCAATCACGGTAGGGCTATTGGGAACGTAAACACTGACCCTCCAACATCGACGAATCAATGAGATCTCGGCGACGAAGCAGAGCAGGCCATTCAGAAATAGATTGATCCAGTCCAGTGAGTCCAAAGACTGTCACATCATTAGCAATATCGTCAGTGAGTAATTACATAAGAGTAAGAAGAAGCACTGACCCAATTCTCTCCCAAAACAAGAACCATCCACATCTTATAAATAATGAACGCAGTCTGCAACCTACGTCACGGTCATCGGTTGAGCTTCAACTCAGCAATTCAACGTTAGTAGTTCGAGGGGGCGGAGGACATACAGAGAAAGCAAAACGAGCGATATGACATAAGTCTTCATCCGGAACGTATCGTCCACAGTATTCCGCCTATATTGCGCTCCTTGGGTGATCAATACACCTTCGACGAATATACTTAGCAGTCCCTGTGCGAGAATGGGACCTGTCGACCATGGGTCTGGGGCTGACATTGGGTATTTATGAAGTCTTCCGAATAGGCTGTCAAGTGAGCGCGGGGATGGTGAGGCCACAAGGTAGGGATGGAAGAAATTCGACGGGCATTTATAGCGGTTTGGGCTGACAGTCGAGTAATGAGGAGGAGGAGACTGCACTTCTCAGTCTGAGTTTGAATATGAGACAACGCTGGTCCGACAGACTAGAAGGTCGTCATTTCAAGTTTTGAAACGCGCGTACTCCTCCGTAGTGAGTTGTTCAAGGATACTCTGAGCGCCCCGCACCTGTGAGAGGATCCTGAACAGCCATACTCACGCATGAAGGCGCATATAGAACTCCCAGTCCTGTGCGCCATATATTCGATCAAAAATTGAAATGCTTCGATCCTTGCTGGTGAGGGGCCCGAATCAAACGCGGAATAGTTCCTGGATACAAGCTGTAAATAACTTGATACAATGCGTACGTTCAAGAACAAGGCTGTCGCCATGAGTGGTCTCCGCAAGAAGCACGCAACTACGAAAGGTCCGGCAGCGGCGAAGTCTGGAAGGGGAACCGGCGAAGTCCGGAGAGGCTCAAGGTCGTCGCCACACCGCGGACGTCGCGACTACTAGTCATCTGCCAGTTTGAGTACTGACAAAAGGAATGCAGCAGCCTGACGTATGGGTAGCGGCAAAAAAAAATCCGTCCATCGTGCAGAGTCATGATGGAACTTTGCTAGAAGGGTTTGACTTGTTCGTTCAACCAGTCCCAAAGCTTATCCTGGTACGCCACAACCTTCGTTCGGGGATCGGGAACCCCGCGTCTCGCCCAAGGGATCAAATACTATGCATCAAAACGCGTCAGACTGAAGGCCATACACCTCTCTCGACTTGTATAGGTACAGTACGAACAGACGTACCTCGCCGCCTTCGAACTCCCCATCTGCCGTTCCCGCGTATAGCTGAGTCAAAGCACCTTGCGGAACGGTGTAGAGAACTCTGTTGATGGCATACATAGTCGTGGTTTCGACGTACCGGTAGGCAGATGAGTTAAAGTTGCCGGGTTGAGGGAGATGGAGATTACTTTGTCAGAGTGGTGGCGGTGGAGGAGATGGGAGAGGAGGATGACGCCCTGCAAAGAGTTGGTATAGACGAGTGAGAAAATGTGCACGGTACAAGTAGAGGTTACATACCATCTTGGACTGAGCGTACAACGCGTATGAGCCATGTTTCTTCGCAGCTTGATCACGTCCGGGACCAGAGACCAGAGTCTCGTAGTCTACCGCATCGGGAGATAGGGTTGGTACATGAGCGGACGATGACACATTGATGACACGAGCGCGGTGGCCAGTCTTCACTCTCGCTTGGGCGAGGGCTGGCATCTGAATATCCCATGCCGTGCATCAGTGATGAAACCTTTATGAGCATTTCAAGAGCGCGAACCAGCAATACCTGCTCGGACGATTCAGTGTGAAGGATGAATTTGGGTAGATAATAAAGTGACCGTACGGTGAGAAAGAAGTGACCTAGAACATTTGTGCCGAACGCGAGATCGTATACTTGCTTCGTGACCATCTCAACCGGCACCCAAACCGCGCCTCTGGAAAGAAATTATAGCATCTCATGTCAGCTTTGTCCATCACACTCTATACATTGCTCATTCATTCCACCCCGGATCGTGGATCATGAGTACTCACGCATTGTTATATAGGATATGCAATGTAGTCTCCTTGCTCAAGAACTCCTCCGCTCCTTTCCTCACGCTAGTAAGATCGGCTAAATCCAGTTCAAGAACAATAGGCTCTCTGCCCTCAGTCTCGGATTTGAGTCTATTGGCGGCGTCATGCGCGCGAACTGGGTCTCGAGCTGCCAGGTAGACCTTCGCGTTCTTCAGAAGCAGCTGTTTGACGGTTTCGTAGCCCACTCCAGAATTGCCTAATCGAACACCACGAATGATTGACCAGACGCATCAAAATGATATGTTTTGTAAGATTGCTGGAGTTAGGAAAAGAAAAAAATGTACTTACCGCCAGTTACGAGTACTATTTTGCCCGACTGATCGGGAATGTCGCGTTCTGGGACAAAAGTAGAGGCTGGTGGGTAAAACTGCGAGAACATCGACTGTGTGAAGAACGAGTGAAAGAGAGGCAAGGCCATGATCGGAATACAGAATTCAGGCTGGATACTGCTGCTGATTTGTCGTAAGAGAGAGAACCAGGTCGTCGGATTGAGAATTGAGCACCAGGTCTGAAAAGACACGAAAACGTGAAGAAGTTTTGAGAGCGGCAGTGAGGACAAGGGACGATCTTGTGTCTGTGATAAAGAAAATCCCCCAGGCGCTCGTGCGGGATTGCGAGATCGCTCGGTATGCCGCTACTGTTGTGCTTGTCAAAGCAACTCTTGCGGCGTGTATCCTCTAGGTATCGGTATAGTATATAGTTCAATTAATTCCAAAGAAGTGCGCAGCAGTAAGTAGAGATGATTTTCGAGTGGATAAATTCCTCTTTAGTCGGCGCCACGAGATAAGTACCTCGTTCAGCGAGGCGGGGTAAGACACGGCCGAGCAAGCATCATAAATTCAGGCCGCTTCGAGTTCATGATAGATTGAGGGTGCTATTTGGTAGAAGAGCTTCTACGACAGACATCTGCTAGAATAAAGAGGTCGGAAAAGAGGAAGCAGATGGTGGCCTCTGTCAACCAATGCCCGCTTGATGCCCGCTGGCGCGGAACACATCACCCACTGTCACCCAACAATGTGACAGTCGCGTCGTGTCACATCTCATTTCGGACGACGCGTCGAGCTTTGTTTCTTTCCTCCACCCAAGCACGACTACAGCGATGAATTTCGATCCTTCATCATCCCCAGTTGCGCCACGCTCATCGTTACCGCCTAGTAGTGCACCACAACCCAGTACAAATGGACAGTCGACGCCACGGAGAACAGCGGACGCGCTAACGTTCGGCGATGAGGCGGATGAAGCGATGGATGACGCTGCCACGACGAGTACGCGCAGGAGAAAGAGGGCGAGGGGACAGATGAATGGGGATGTACCAGTTGTGAGGGATGCTGTTGGCGAGAGCTTGGCGGACGAGTTTGAAAACTTCTTGAATACGTGAGTGATCTTACTCGTTACTTCAAACTTTTGCACCGTGCAAATCGTGCAGCCGTGCGAGATCGCAATGTGAAGCCATATCTGGACGGCTTTATATCGAAGGCATTTCCTTACAATTTTATCATACATACGTTTTCAGTCCTGCAGCAAAGCTGATCCTGCATCTTGTAGCTTTACGGAGGAAGTGGACCTACCCGCTACTCCGGGATCGAATTCCGGAAAGGACGTCGGACCAGAAGTCATATATGTTGCCCAGGTCCTTAGCATGAGAGACTACAAGCTCACGACGCTTTACGTGGACTACACCCATCTCCTACAAAAAGATGATGTTCTGGCCGACGCGATCCAACGCCAGTATTACCGGTTTCTCCCCTACCTCAAACGTGCTCTCCAAAACCTCGTCGCCCGACATTGTCCTGAATATCTGAAAGTCAACCCCACGGCCGCTGATACCGACTCAGTCAATCTTCAGTCCCGCGAGTTCAACGTTGCGTTCTATCACCTCCCACTGGTTTCTGCCATTCGAGATCTCAGGACGGACAGGATTGGGAGGCTGATGAGTATTAGCGGTACGGTGACCAGGACGAGTGAAGTTAGACCGGAGTTGTTATTTGGAAGCTTTATTTGCGAGGTTTGCGGAGGGTTGGTGAATGAGATCGAGCAACAGTTCAAGTACACCGAGGTCAGTCGTCCGTATTGTTATCGGTGTATCGTGTCTGATTGTCGTATTCCATGTAGCCCAGTCTTTGTCCAAACCCTACGTGCGGAAATCGAGTCGCATGGCAGCTCCAGATCGACAGCTCGAAGTTTACAGACTGGCAAAAAGTCCGTATTCAAGAAAATCCCAATGAAATCCCGACCGGTTCCATGCCCCGCTCCCTGGACGTCATCCTCCGTTCCGAGATGGTCGAGCGCGCCAAAGCCGGAGACAAATGCGTCTTCACGGGCACCTTCATTGTTGTTCCCGATGTCAGTCAACTCGGTTTGCCAGGAGGGAACAAGGCGGAGTTGATGAGAGAGGCCAGTAAGGGCGGGGCGAATGGCGCGGGCTCCGTTGGCGGTAGCGGCGTGACCGGTCTGAAGAGCTTGGGTGTGAGAGACCTGCAATACAAGACGGCATTCCTTGCGTGCATGGCGCACGATGCTGACGGAAGGGTGAGCAGCCGTCTCGTCCTCGTAAACTAGCTCGAACTAAACCAACATAGGGCATTGTCAATATCCGAGGCGAAATCGAAGAAGGGATGGACGATGGAAACGCTTTCGCCCACTCGCTCACGGACCCTGAATTCGCTGAGTTGAAGGCTATGATCGAAACCGATCATATCTATTCTCGTCTGGTGGACAGTATCGCTCCGACCGTGTACGGACACGACATCGTCAAGAAGGGTCTCTTGCTTCAGCTCATGGGTGGCGTCCACAAAGAAACGCCGGAAGGAATGCATCTTCGTGGCGACATCAACATCTGTATCGTCGGTGATCCCTCGACATCAAAGTCGCAGTTTCTTAAGTACGTTTGTCTTCTTCACAGGTTAGATTTTACGCTAACGTCTTTACAGATATATTTGCTCTTTCCTTCCTCGAGCGGTCTACACTTCGGGAAAAGCCTCTTCCGCCGCCGGTCTTACAGCTGCAGTCGTCCGAGACGAAGAGACAGGAGACTTCACCATCGAAGCCGGAGCCCTCATGCTTGCCGACAACGGTATTTGCGCCATCGACGAGTTCGACAAGATGGACATCTCAGACCAAGTCGCCATTCACGAAGCTATGGAACAGCAGACCATCTCGATCGCCAAGGCCGGCATCCATGCGACGCTCAACGCTCGTACCTCCATCCTCGCGGCTGCCAACCCTATTGGAGGACGGTACGATAGGAAGAAGTCGTTGCGGGCAAACGTGGCGATGACGACTCCTATCATGAGTCGTTTCGATCTGTTCTTTGTGGTGTTGGACGAGTGTGACCCAAAGACGGATCTTAATTTGGCGAGGCATATCGTAAATGTGCATAGATATCAGGATGAGGCAATCCACCCGGAGTTCAGTACGGAGGCGTTGCAGAGATATATCCGCTATGCTAGGACGTTTAACCCTAAGGTCGGTCCTATGTTTTGCTTGACTGCGCTTGAGTGCTCAAGAAAAGGTTTGTTGTCTAGTTAACTCCCGAAGCATCCGAAGTGCTGGTCGAGAAATACCGTCTTCTGCGACAGGACGACGCTACTGGAAGCGGCAAAAACTCGTACAGGATCACTGTCCGTCAGCTGGAAAGTATGATTCGTCTGAGTGAGGCCATCGCTCGCGCCAACTGTACCTCTGAGGTCTGTCAGATCGTCAACCTTCCTGAACGCCGAGAGCTGACATCTGGTACAGATCACACCTGTGTTCGTGCGAGAGGCCTACAGTCTCCTTCGCCAATCGATCATTCACGTCGAGCAGGACGATATCGACTTCGACGAGGAAGAGCTTGAGGGCGAACGGCCAGACGACGCTCATCCGCGTGCATCTGAACAGGAAAGTCAAGACGTCGATATGACCGGCACAGATCCCACTTCCGACACCCTCGTCCATCCAACAGACGAGTCTCAAGATACTTCTCAGCTTGCTGCACAGACAGACGACTCGATGGCGGGCCCGACCGCCGTTGCACAGGAGCACGCAACGCCCATGCAGCCGAAGAAGAAGAAACCGAAGATGCAGATCACGCACGACCAGTACATGACGCTGCAGAGTTTGGTTGTATTCCATTTGGCAGAGCATGAGAGGGAAACAGGGACGGGTATTGATAGGGATGATTTGGTGGATTGGTACTTGGAGATGAAGGAGGAGGAAATGGAGGATCTGGACGCGCTGGAGCGTGAGAAGGAGCTGTTCACGAAAGTGCTGAAGAAACTTGTGAAGGTGAATCGTTTTTCTCCTACCGGTTTCATGTGTTATTCTGACCGTGTTGCTTGCGGTTCAGGATCACTATCTCATAACAGTGGATGGAGATATGCAAGAGTCGTTGCTGTCGGAGGAAGCGTTCAGTGCGCAGACGCAAGCAGCTGACGAAAATTCACAGAAGAAGGTTATCCTGATGGTGCATCCTTCCGTCGACACAGACGAATCTTCATTCCGGTGATCTTCACACTGTTGTCCCGTCTTTGTCCGTCGTTGCTTTGCTTATATTGGCTCTTGTTTGTGAAGTCGTGTAATGCGCCTGTACCAGCTTGATTATCCTGTAGTTATATTACATTATGAGTGTTTTTTGTCTGTCTTTGTTTTCGATTTCTGTCTGCCAGTGGAACACCGATGTCGATCGAGGATAGAAGCGATATCTGAGTAGGATGTGGCCCACATGGGAACGCAAAAACCAAAAGCTCCCACGCCACAAACTCGCGTGAGTCGCGTCGATTGGTCACTCAGCCGCTGTTGAACCTCATCGTCTTGCACAACGTCGACCATGCCTTCTGAAGAGACTAAGGTCAGTCTCTCTACAGTTTGCGTATCATTCAGCTTAATTCCTGATTAAATGCATGGATACATCGTCTATATAGGAAAGAATCATCCGCACCGTCGAGTTCGGCCGCGTACGCTCCTCTTTTTTGTAATCCTCGCACCAGAAAACTAACTTTTCCTCTCAACGGGTGTTGACGCGATTCTTGGGCTTTTGTGATACTGGTCTTATTGTCCTGAATTGATTGTGAGCAGACGGTGCTGCACTACGGTTGGATTCCGTTCATCATTTACGTCGGCTACACGCGTTCGAACCCCCAGCCAAGTCTCATCAAGTGCGTGTATTCTTCATTCGTTCTGCTGCCAAACAACGTTACTTTCGCCTTCTTGTTCTTCTGTCTCTGCGTATTTTCGCATGTTATGGCCGTATACTGACAACTCGTTTCACTTGTTAGGCTGATGAGCCCACTGGCATGATCCACACGTCCATCCACCTCACCGACGTCTCAGGCCTGTCGTGCTCTTTCGCGCTTTCGTCGTCTCCCTTACTACTATTGCATCTCGCCTTGTATACATTTACGCATACACGGTCATCTCACACGGCCGTTCACCCCCAAAATAATGCATCCTGCCACGTTTGCGTGAACTTGGTCCATTCCTGGATTGTGTGTCGTCCAACTAGTGTCATACTCTCGAACAAATCCCTTCTCGCCGTTTCATTCGACTAACCGACAGCCAAACGAAGGCCTGGCTAAATATTCACAGGTGAGTTTCCCCTCCCGCTCGTCAGTTTCATACGTGGCGTTTTGGCTTTCCTTTCTACCTCGATTGTCTCCTCTTCCTACCCTCTCGACCTACCTTTCCTCGCAATGATCATACAACCGTGGTGATGGCTCTCATCGTTCGTCCTTTTGGACGACACGAAAGCAGAGGCATCCCGACCCACCCGCCTAGCGCCCCTTCGTTGTGGCACAAGGCTGGCTCGCGCCGTGGGCATGTCGACAAATTTTAGGCCAGATATGAGCGTCACCTTTTTCTTATTGGGGTCTTTTATTTTATTTTTCTGTTGCTGCTTTCCTTATCTCTTTTCGCAAGAGTTGACGCTGACTGCTACTTCTTCCGCAGGGGATGAAATAATGCGATAAGGAATGTACCGCTGACGATTTTCGCGACGTGACTATTTGAGAGCAGCCATCCAAGCCTAAGTTCAAGGCAAAGCGTAGCATCTGAGCAAGCAGTGAAAACGATAAACACAATAAAGATAACTATAAACAATCTCTTTCAAACATCCTCCTGCACAACCAACTGACCATAGACGCAAAACACGAAATACTGCCGCCCTCATATATACACCCTCCTCAGCTCCCCCACACCTGTGATCCTCATACAAATCGGACAAAGCTTCGTACTGCCCAAACAGCGGAGCCAACATTCCCTGCAACAAACGTGCCAACAGCCTGTGCTCACAGTCGGCTCAGTATAGGCGTCGAGGCAGATGCGGCAGGTAAACTGGTTCGTTGCTGTTGAAGACGGCAGGGTCGTGGAGGGAGTGGAGGTTGGATTTGGATGGGAAAGTGTTCTGAGTTGGATTAATGATTCGAGGGCTCGGATCGTAGCTTGGGCATCGCCTGCAATTTTCGCTCTCGAAAGCTCCATCTCCATCTGCTGCTGTGGCGTGGGTTTCTGCTCTGGTCTCTCCGCCTCGACCTCGACCTCGCCTTCACCATCCACGTCCACATCTGCCTCTTCCCCTGCGCCGCCTTGTCCTCCGACTCTTCCGACCGTCAGTTTGATCACATCGTTCTCCCCAAACTGCACCGTCCCAAATGCTCCCTCGTCATCTCCATCAACGTCTACGTCCACGTCTAGGTCTATGTCACCGTCGGCGTCACCTACACCTCCCATCCCTCTTCGACTAAGAGGCTCGGACCTATTAGATCCAACAATGAACCCTAATCTCTGCGCGGCTCCCCTACTTGCACTCCCCACGCCTCCTAACCTTAGCCTCAACCCAGTATGTCCTTCAGGCGTAATAGTCTCCTCCCATAAATCATCGGTAGTCGACGGACCACCAAGGTCAAGATTCTCGTCCGCGTCCTCCTCCACGTCCACGTCTAGCTCCGGAGTCGATCCCGAATGAGACTGGCTGGCCGAAGGATCCCTAATCGTCATCGTCGCCACCATACTGTTGTGCGCTAGACATGCATCGACGTGTGCGTGCACCACATCCGGATCACCCCACACCATCCTCATACACACAGGACACTCCTCGCCCTCTCTTCCATCCTCATCGGCCCCGTCTCTACGTCGTGGCCTCCGTCGGGAGTGTGTGGGTAGGGTATCGTCGATGATGTCGCGAAGGGCTTGCGTGCGCTGTTTGCGGCGGCGTTTGAGTGTGGTGAGGGTCTTGATAGTATGTGGGTCGGGGTCAGAAGTGGCTACAGATGTGGGAGGTAGTTTGGAGGCGGAGGTAGATGGTTTGGGTGCAGGTTGACGAACGGTGCGACGGCGAGAGGCTGGCCTGTTAAGGCAATGAAACACGAAGCATGAGCTCAGGAAGAAATTTGAGGGGACGAAGTTAAAGAGACGTACATCTCTTCGAGCGGGTTCAGATGGGAGTGGGGATCAACGTAAACCGACGAGTCTCCGATGGAGGCGAGGATTGGTTGGAGCCGCTCGGATTCGAGCTCGGCATGTTGTGCAAGAAGGCGAAGTGGGATTTGCTCGAAGCAGATGGGACAGGGACGGGTCTCAGCGCGTTTGGCTATACGTCACCGATATCTGAGTGAGGAGAGTGCACGGATAGGATGGGGCATAACGTACGTTTCTTCACTGGGCGCGTCTGCGATGTTGAAGCAAGCGGCGTCGATGGTGAAGACAGTGAAGTCTCGTCGCCCTCTAAGTCATCCATCAGCGCGTCCGTAGCGCGTCGTTTACCCCTGCAAGAAAGACCAACATGCCAAGGCGAAAATGCGGGGTAAGTCTCCGGGGCGGAAGAAGACGTGGAGATTCACGCAAACGTATGCAACGGAGCAAATACGGACTTTGCAGAAGCTGAACGTGACATTTCCCTCCTCTCTCTCCTGAATTCTGCTCTCCTATATCCAAGTAATTTCCGGCGTTGGTTTGCGCTGGTGACCAGAGGGGCGGCGGCGGTGGATGGGTGGCGAGCTCGTCGGATGGAACGGTGAAGGCAGAGAGTGAACCGTGGTTCTATAATTAGCCGATTCAGATGGGGATGTCGATCTAATCTTATCTTATCTAGACAGCCCGGACTTTCAGACCTTCAGGAGTCGATCGCAGACGGTTGAGTTTACCGAAGTTTCGCCGTCCCATGTTCTCCGGCTTCTACTTATACCCTCGTCATGTCCAGCCGACCAAAAACACGACAGTACCCCCTTTCTCTCTCCCACCATCCATCGATTATTGCACTCATACCCCCACCTCAATTTTCGAAGAATTAAGCTCAAATTATGGCTGCAAAATTCGATGTAAAGGAGGCGCTGGCGAAGTTGACGATGTCCCAGAAGATCAAGATGCTCTGTGGCAAAGTGAGTGTCGTCATTTCTCTTTACTTTGGTGGAAGGCATGTCCTGATAGACGTGCGGTAGGGATGGTGGCATACAGAACCTGTTCCAGAGGCCGGCGTTGACTCTATGCGCATGAGTGACGGTATGTCTCTTTGCTGTATGCTTTCTCCTCTAGTTCTGACGGCCCGCGTTGAACAGGACCTAACGGTGCCCGTGGCACTCGCTGTACGTCAAATGTCTACATATGAAATATTAAACTATCATCTGATATGTAACAATTGGATCTCGCGCAGTCTTTAACGGAGTTCCCTCCAGCTGTTTCCCCTCTTCGACCGGCCTCGGCTCGTCCTTCGACATCAGTCTTGCACATGAAGTGGGCGAGGCACTCGGAGACGAGTGCCGTGCTAAGAGTATGCTATGTTCCTGTTCCCTCTTCGAAATTCCCCGCTCCCTCCACACCCTTGCACCTCCATTCCCTTATGAATATTATCTCGTCCTTATGCCACGTCTGATCTCTTTGTCTGTCCAAAGGTACCCATATTCTGCTTGGCCCCACTGTTAACACACAGAGGTCTCCTCTCGGTGGCCGAGGCTTTGAGTCCTTCTCTGAGGACCCAGTCCTGAATGGCACCATTGCAGCTGCCTACATCAACGGCTTGCAGAGCAAGGGCGTTGCGGCCACCGTCAAGCATTTTGTGGCGAATGACCAGGAGTTCGAGAGGTGGGTCTATCCGCACATATGTATGATAGACAATATGCTGAAGACAATTACTTACTATCCTTGCAATGTTTCTACAGGTTTTCCATCAGCAGTACGTTGATGACTTCACTTTCATCCTCCCTTCCATTAATCGTCATGATCGTAGGCGACGTGAGCGAACGTGCCCTCCGCGAGATATACCTCAAGCCATTCCAGATCGCGGTCAAGGACGCTAACCCATGGGCTTTGATGACCTCGTGCGTCTCTTTCAATGTCTCTTCGTGTGCCATCATATTTCTTGAGGTAAATACTTAGTATGCTGGAACGTTTGTTAGTTACAACCGTGTAAACGGTCTGCACGTCTCAGAGAACTCTTGGTTGATCGATGACATTCTCCGAAAGGTACACATTTTACAGTTTGAGCTTCGTCCCGAGAATTATGTAGTGATACGACATCTCTGACAACACATTTACAATACAGGAATGGGGCTTCCAAGGGATGATCATGTCCGATTGGATAGGCGTGTATAGTACTGCTGAAAGTATCAAGGCTGGCTTGGACCTCGAGATGCCGTGTGTATCATCTTTCTTAAACATCGATCTCTTCTCCTTTGTTAGATCTATGGTATACTAATGATAGCCCCTATCGATCTTCAGGGGACCGACGGTGATGAGGGGAAAGGCGATAGACAGGGCTCTGATCGCACAGAAACTTTTCACGGAGGACATCGACGCGAGAGTCAGAAAGGTATGTGCAACTGAATTTTTACTTTGTCTTTCTCCTGCACTGACAGTATTTCCCTTTGATATACTACGCATATCGCTACTCTCCCCCTCTGTGCCACATTTCGCCAACTTACTTGCGCCACACGACCCACATCAACTTCCCGGTCATAATCCACCCCTACTTCGATCTTTTTACTCCATACTCCTGGCCCCTGGATCCACTACACTCCGCAGATCCTCGAACTCCTCGCTCGCGCCCACGCGTCGGGAATCCCATTCGATGGACCCGAAAAGGGCGTTGATACGCCCGCCCTTCGGTCTCTCCTCCGTCGCGCTGCGTCCTCTGCCGTCGTGCTGCTCAAGAACGACAAGAAGTTACTTCCTCTCTCCATATTTGGAGAGAAGAAGACGATCAAGAAGATAGCCATTATCGGACCTAATGCCAAGACTGCATTCGCCAGCGGTGGAGGATCTGCTAACCTCCTCGCGAGCTGGAAAGTCAGCCCCTTACAAGGCATCCTCAACGCCATCGCCTCCTCCGATCAAGGCAAGGACATTCAAGTAGAATACGCCGTGGGCGGACAGACGCACACACTCCTGCCATTGTTGGATGGGTATATTCAGATGCCCGAGGAGGCGAAGAAGAGCGGTGGAGGGGACGATAAGTATTGGGGAGGGAAGGAGGAGGATAAGGTTGCGTTTGTGGAGTTTTGGAACGAGGAGCCGGGGGAGGGCTGGGTTGCGGATCCGACGGTTAAGGGGGAGGGAAGGGTGAAGAAGTCTGATTGGGCCACGCCGACGGGGAGTAGCTATTGTTTCTTGATGGATGGGATCGTGAGTTCTCTTGTGATTTTGCGTGTTTTGCGTGTTGTGGTAAAACTGACTGATTCCTTATTCTTTTCATAGGATGAGGAGAAAGTGAACGACATTTGTTGGATTCGGGTACGTCTTTCTAGCCCATAGAAATACTCTTCACGAGCTAACGCCACCCTCCTTCGTATCCATATCAACAGTACACGACAACCTACATTCCTGACACCTCCGGCCCGCACACCTTCTCCCTAACCCTCGCCGGCCACGGAACCCTCTCAATCAACGGCACCCTGCTCATCGACCTCTCCACCGACCCGCCCCAAGGCGACTCGTTCTTCGGTCTCGGAACGGCAGACGTTAGTGCTCGGGTACCCTACCTCGAAAAAGGCGAGAAGGTTGACGTGGAGATTAGGGTGAGTAATGCGCTGTTTGTAGGGAAGGGAGGACCGTTCAGTACGAGGGGTGGGATAAGGTTGGGAGGGAGTGTAGATGTGAAGGAAGAAGTGGCGAGGGAAGAAGCTGTGAAGGTCGTGGAGGGTGCAGATGGTGGGTTACCAGATTGTCGCATTCTTTGTCTGCTGATGAATCTGACTATGATGTTACATTGTTAAGTGGCCATCGTGGTCGTTGGTCTCACTCATGAACTTGAGTCGGAAGGCTTCGATCGACCCAACATGAAGCATGTCTTATCCTTTGAATCGTAGTTCGCCGTTACTGACTGTTCACTTTGGATAGGCTTCCCGGTGCGACGAACGCCCTCGTCTCCGCCCTTCTCAAAGTGAACCCGAACACCATCGTGATCAATCAGTCCGGAACACCAGTGGAGATGCCGTGGGTCGACGAGGCGCACACCTTATTGCAGGTAATTGCATTCTTTCCGCCTCTCTTATGAATAGCGAGATGACTGAATCTGAATGTTACGGCGGCGCTAGGCGTTCTACGGAGGGAATGAGCTGGGAAATGGCCTTGCAGATGTATTGTTCGGGAAAGTGAATCCTTCGGCGAAGTTGGCGTTGACATTCCCGTGAGTTTCTGAATCTCCTATTTGCAGAAGTCATTCTAACAGGGTTGGATTTGATGCAGCAAACGGCTAGAAGACAGCCCCTCTTACCCGTCTTACGGTGATAAGGGTGAAGCTCACGGGAAGATTCTCTACAACGAGGTCAGTTCTTTTCAGATGTTTGTATTCTAGCGATAAAAACCTCATGAAATTACCACAGGGCATATACGTGGGTTACCGCTCCTTCGACAAGCGCTCCCTCGACCCTCTCTTCCCCTTCGGCTACGGTCTTTCCTACACCACCTTCTCCTACTCCAATCTCCACGTCAGCGAGCCCTCCTTCAGCGCATCCTCCTCCTCTGGAAAGAACCTTTCTTTGACCATCACATTCACCGTCACCAACACTGGTTCCCTTCCCGGCTCCGAGTCGTCCCAGATTTACGTATCTTATCCCTCTACATCCGTCGTCCCGCACGCACCACAGCAGCTCAAAGGCTTCGCCAAAACCGGAATCTTGGAACCCGGAACAAGCGAGGAGCTGAAGGTGTCGCTGGATAGGGATGCGTTTGCGTGGTGGGATGAGAGGGTGAGCAGGGCGGGAAGCGGCGTGCCGGGGTTGCATGGCGTTACGAGTCTGGGAGGAAAGGGTGGACGGTGGGTCGCTGAGAAGGGTGTTTACGAGATTGGGGTTGGGGCGTCGAGTAGGGACGTAAGGTTGAAGGGTACTGTGGAGGTGAAGGAGGGGCCTCTGGAGTGGCTTGGGTTGTGAGCGTGTTCTGATGTTCAAATAAGTGAAAGGAGGAAGATAAAGGATACTCGTCGAGTTTGTATCTATGTATTTGAAGATGTACGTGATAGGGAGCCGTTGGTTTTTCGCTGGTACTGATATGTATATCAAGTCTCGAGAAATGTACCTTTCTATGTACAGTTTTAAATCTATATTTCTTCGCATTTCCTTTGTTACTCTGTTTGAGTTAGGAAGAGCCTCGTCTTTGGCTCCCATTTCCCGATCATAGATTTAAGCGCCCATTACACGTGGCTCGCATATCGAATCCGCTCCTCCGTTATTCCCCGAGCTACATCTTTGGACCTAACGCCTAACTCGAACCTATGCCCGGATGTACACAACTCTCAACCTCGATCTCTCGCGGACTTAGTCGTTCGCATCTCCTCGCAATTCAATATTTCACCGCTAGTCACCCCCTCCACGGTGCTTATCGGCGTTGTTGTTCAACCCTCGAAACCATTCCTGAGACCCTGGCGTGCTTTCTCCTGAACTATATATCTCCTGCTGTACAGGCCTTAGGTAGGTTACTCCATTATCACTGCTTACCGGCTGTAGTGCCCAAATGTGTACGAAATTCGTTGGCGATCCAAGTTGTCAACGCACATAGAGTGGTTCGTCTTTCGCCGCTTCCATATTACCTTCAATATACACTGCCCTACCAAGACTGACATTTTACTTTCCCAATTATTCTTCACGGTCATGGGGAACCCGGATTTATCACTTTCCGGACCATATTTCAAGATTCTAGGTCTAAACAAAGTTTAGTTGGCAGATGCGGGTGCAGAGGCGTCTCCTCTTGCCAGTTCAGTATGATGCGGTGTACCAAGTTGGATATGCTTAGCGACCAAGGTTCAACGCAGTTCAACGCCTATGTAAACCAGCGATGACATGAAGAACGATGCGGATTGTGTTGCCTGCCGGGGGTGCCAATAAGGTCAGGTTGCAGCTCGAGATGTTGCACGCCCGTCAAAGACCCTTCACCTTTCCTCAAAATCGAGGGGATGACTCCTAAGACCGGACTCATCGGTGTAGCTACGATTTCGCTAGCAGAATAGGTACGCCGTACAGGAACAACCAGTGTGTGTATTTTTATTCCGTGTTGTTCCATCTGGACAATAATTCTCTGTGCTATGCTATGCGACGGACATCATTTTGCCTTTTTATTTCCGCAAAGGCCACGTTATACCAATTACCTCGTTGCGTCCGCTCTGATTTATTGACTAGGCTCGGGGCGGTCCCGGTGATGCACCGCATAGGAACTTTTTGCTGAATATACTGAAGATCCCAGACTCACATACCATATCAACGCTTCGTCGTACATCTCGCAAGTCGCTGCGCCATTACACCTTTGCTTGGGCGCGACATCATCTCTAGATTCGTTGCTGAGCATAAAGACGAAAGCTGAATGACCTGTCACCAGTCACCGGGGTAACGGTTGGTGATCGCCGCGCTCAAAGAGCTTGCATTATGAAGACTTACGGGTATACTGGGACTTTCTCCGTCGACAATATAGTCGCCACCAAGGGGTCTGCGCGACATGTTATTCGGCTCAACATATGCATGTACAGAGCAAAGCATGGAAGTTCTGTAACACAGCCCCCCAAGCCGTCCGACAACGGCGGGAATTTAAATGGCTCCTCTCAGTCTCCGCACACCTGTCGACTGTCGACTGTCCATCGCCTCCGCAGAAATTGAGCTCTCCGGGGCTTTTCTAGAGGCTGGTGCGCCACTCTGACTCGAACCTAGAACTTTGTTACTATATGCCAATAACTATAAAGACCTTCTATCAAGCTCCTCCCCAGCATCTCAACAGCCCCACCTCCTCTCCAGCTGGACAGAAGCCTCAGCTCGTCTCCAACATACAGTCACTCTTCTCTTCGGTTTACTCGCGCTTGTCTCACACCATGTCCGCAAACAACATCCACGTCGACTCTTTGACCGTCAGTGCCCCAGTGCTGGTCCCGGATGTCACCGTTCGCAACATAGTCACATTCCCGAGCCGCTCCGTCTTCGTCGACAACACTCAATATTCCTCGGTCATAACGAAATCTAACTATCCGGCCACCCAACTCATCAAATTGCTCATTCAATACATCGGCCAGGACCTCTGCTCGTTCAAGTATTTCTCTGATGTCTCTTTCAACATCCTCAAGACGTCGCAGAACATTTGGTTCGGCATCAATCAACTCATCCAGGACATATCTAGGCTTGAGAAGGATGAGGACGCATGGGCCAAGTATACCACGTATACTGGGGCGATTGACCCACTTGAGGAGTAAGTCTTTCGTATCGAGTTCTTTGGTATTTTCGACGTTGGATTTTTTTCTGTGCAGGCGAACTGATTATCTGGATGTCCTTTATTCGCAATAGGTTCCTCTTCAAGTTCAGTCTCCTCACCGAGCAGCAGACGATGTTGTATCGTCAATTTGAGGAGTTCATTGGAATCAGCGAGTGCATGACTTTGATCACGATCTTCAGAACCCAGAGGGACCAGCTCTTGCATACTGTCAAGACTTTGAAGAGCTCCGAGATGTACATGGCAAGTTCTTTTCTTTCCCATTTGTTTCCTTCTACGTATTGCTGAGACCATATCTATTGGTGTTCTTATAACAGAATGTCTGTGGTTCGAACGGATGGACTGAGAAGGAGGCACATTGTGTCAGTGTCGTGTGTAGACATAGCGATATCTCCTTCCTCTCCCTTTTCCTCGAGCGCATCAAGAAGTGCCTTGGCAAGGCGCCTGCTGGCGTGTGAGACATTTTCCCCAACCTTTATCAACGTCACTCACATAAATATTCTCTTCGTCCAGGCGAGAGATCGTGACGAAGTGCCATCATGAGCTCACTGTGGTATTCGAGATCTTCCGCACCGAGTTCTCGGGCAACCGTATCAACGAGGTGAGCGACCATTCTTTTTTACGCCGCTTCAAGATAAACATTGACGACGAGCGTATAGTCCTTCTTCTTCATAACCATCCACTCAGCCATCGTGATCTACTCTACACTGGAGATGTGCTCGCGTCCTAAGGAGTACCCGGAGTGGTCTTCGGAGGCGAAATTGAAGACGGTCTGGCAGACGACGATTCGGTGTGTCTCATCTGCTCCGTACAAATGACTGGTCACGAACTTGAACCAATTTGTCTCTTCTTAGCTTCCTTGAGGTACTCGTCAAACAACTCAAGACCGAGACACCGGATTACAAGGTCGTCGAGGAGGTGTTCATCGTCATTGCGGAGTGTTTCCAGGTCGGTCATATATTATACATTGATTCTATAGTCTTCATGACTTCAATGTCTATGGGATTTTTTTTTTGCAGGGGTATGATGTCCACATCCCCGGCCCTAGCAGACCCATTGTGCACATGGAACCCAAGAGTTCGAAGTCCTACGAATTTGCCGTGACCTTTACCCAGCTTTTAAAGCAGGTCAGCCTTGTTCGCAGGCCGTTCCACGCACAATCTCTTGCGCTGGTCTCGGTTTGTTACAAGCTGTGGCGTTCCTTCCTCTCTCAAGAGCATCGTAGTTTCGAGAACCTCGTTGCAATCGATCAGTGGGTCTTACTATACGATCTGGTTCTCGAGATAGGAACTTTAACTGGATTTTCGCGGCATTTACAGAGCTTTCGAGGCGACCTTCACTTCTCTCCAGTCCGCCGCCACCGCAATCCTCGATGTCGTTGTATTCAACTTCGAGGTAGACAACGCCGAGGTTAAGAAGATTAGGCAGTCGCTCTCTCTCGCTCAGCTCAAGATAAAGGAATGTTTCGAGAGGTACGGGGTAAGTTCTACTAACATTTCGCTCATCAGTAGCAACTACTTGGCCCATGATACTGACTGGCTCCGCCAATATAGCTCCATGACTGGGCGAGCTGCGAGATGAAGGTCAAGAGGGCACTCGAAGATGACAAGCTTCGTATGAAGCAGCTTAAGGAGTTCCTTGCGAAAGTGAGACTCCTTTCCCTTTACCGATGCGTTCAATCGTTAACATAGAGCATTCGTTTTGTGTAGCCCGGCCATGAAGTGAGCCCCGACGTCAAAACCAGTGAGCTCATCGAAGTCTCGGTCGACATCCACCTCAAGGCGCGCCATCTTGAACAGCGGACTAGTACGTGTACATCCCCTGTTTCCTTTACTGGCCGCATTACTGACCTGTTGCCATCACAGTGCTCGTCAAGCCCAGCGCCCGCCTCTTCTCCATCATGTGGGAGGCTTCCCAGGAGCTCAAGTCCGATCACAAGATCAACTGCGCCGATTCTTGCAACTCGAAGTTCCGAGACGAGAAGAACCGTGAGCTTCCTATGGACGCACTAGTGAGCTCGATGGGGACGCACAGCAAGAAGCTCCGGCTCCGGCTCTTCTTGGGCGAGACGGTCTGAGTCCGAGGTTATACAGAGTGTTGGTTTGGACATTGAATAGTCGCATAATTTACAGGACTCGGAGGTGAAGCGAGGTTGAACGAGTGTTTCGGTGCTACAAGGGATCCTATTTCTTGCTTTTTTATCATCGGGTTATCTGGGTTTGCGTTGAGTTTCAATTAGGTTACTATTTCTACCGCATAATATTGTTTTTCCTTGGTCCTTCGCGGCTTGTACAGCACTGTGGCTGAATAGTCTAAGTACATCATCGATGCAACATCGACGAATTCCCCACACTGCGTAACACCGTACTTACACGATACGCGCACGTTCCCGAGTCGTTGACTAATTAATTTTCGCGTTCTTCCGAATGCCACTTGACCTGGCACCCTCAACAGACCCTCGCACTGCTCCTCATCCGGGCCTGGGATACTCGGATACCCATCGTTCCGCCATGAAAGCTCTCTTCATATGCCTCTTTTGCTCGGATCTTTGTCAGCCTCAAGAATCGGAAATACGAGTTACCACGAACTGGGTGGCAGCCTCTAGACTATCTGACAATGTTGTTGAGGCTATATTTGGCTGGAACACTACATGGCGACGACAAAACCACAGACACACCCCAGGAAAGTACAGGCAATGAGAACAAGCCTTGATAATGAGCCACGAACGTGTTCACGCGTCACCCCGTCTCCGCTTCCGTTGGGAAATTGGAAGCTCGGGGACCGTAGCAGAATGGCCTCTTCCTTGAGAGCGAAGTGCGCGAGGTGCGTCTACGTCGATCTCGTCGTCGTATATCTATGACCGCATTGTGATAGATTGAGCTGGTGTAATGTCAACGTTAAAGGATAGACCCCTCACCTCAAGCTGACGCCAACGGGATGGTAATCCCGATGCGGCATTTACACTTTGTCCATGGCGGACTCGCATAGCAGGCAAGGTCGGTTGCTGTTTGACGATCGGGTCAGAAAATCGGAGCTTCCGAGTTCCTGCCATACTTCGTGAGCTACACTGACGTTGAATTTTTTCGAGAACTTGAACAAAATCACCTCCACCTATGCCTGTCCCCGGCTCGTCACTTTCGATGTCATCACTACTATCATCGTGGCCTGACACGGCATCCGAGTCCACTTGCTCCCACACTTCCTCTTCATGCTCTTCATCATCGACCTCTCCGACTTCGTCTAGGGCATCATCATCCTGGATACTGGTGTCATCCTCTTCTGAGTCCTCGAAAGGTGCAGTGCGCCGCCTCTTGCCGGTGTGGTACGAAAATGTGGAAGTGAGAGTCCTTGGATTACGCGACCGTGACTTCCGGACTACCGCTCTATATCTGACGATGAATGGAGATTGTTGGTGGAGAAACTTCCACAATTTGGGGCCCGGCTGAGACGCAAGAGCACGAAAAATGTCAGATGTTGTCGTGGTGGCAAACAACTGATAAACGTACATAAGAGTATTGTGCCGGATACGGTCCATTAGTTTGTTCAGTCTTCTGGAGGATAACCCCCATGCCAATCAACTCGTCATATACCCGCTCGACCAGTGCCTTCGATGTCTTCTTACCAAGCCTATAGCCAGAAAGTGAGCCAAGCAACACTTCGTTTTGCTTCAACTTCCCCCCTCTAAAGGCATGAATGAGATGATTCCTGGTGACCTTGGAGTAGAGTGCCATGGCGTCGAGCAGGAACTTGACCAAACTCATCGCCTCATGAGACATATCCTTCTCAACGACTGTATAACTTGCTGCACAGTTGTCGCAAGTCCCATTGCAAGCATGTCGGTTGAACTGCTCGTCGAAGTGCTGAAGAATCTGTACACGGCGGCAGTCTGTCTCGTTCAGAACGAAATGTATGACCTGCTCAACTTCATGTAATTGACGTTGGCGATCTTCTTCCCTCAGGTTGGGCTTGTCTTGTATACGTGAGAGAAGGAATGCACAATCTTTCCATGAGTAGTCTATAAAAACCTCCTGATTAGAGAACACTGCAGAATGTGTGATTATAGACCTACAAAGAATGCAGTCGGCAGGCAGGCCATCTCTGCCAGCTCTTCCTGTCTCTTGGTAGTAGCTATTTCGATCACTGGCAGTAAGCACTACATCTTGGGCATATGACGACTGTGAAATTCGCACTTTGTCAAGGACGATGGGAGACCGTGATGAATTATGAAGCGGACTACAAATGTGGAATGCTTAGCTTAAATCATGCTCGGGACATAAATTTGACTGACCATTGGGCTTATGTATACCCATACCAAAGGCAATCTAAAGGTTACAGTAGTGTGAATGTGTAGTGACGACACACATATGTTTCTACAAGACATACCGTTGCAACAACAATATCGCTCTCACCAGAGAGCCAACTCTCCATAGTGTATTGCTTCTCGCTATCAAGCATGGCACCATGGAAATGGCTAGCGCTCAGCCCATAACCTCTCAGCTCCGCTGCTACCCTCTCGCATGTAGAGCGTCCAATGCAGTATACGATGCCAGCTTGCTTTGGATGCGAACCTTTGATATAACTTGCAATAACTTTTGTGAAATTCCTTCCCGGCCTGGGTAGGACCGTATAGTGGAGGTTTGGTCTGTTGAAAGACTCGGCGAGGAAAACATGGTTAGGTTTGAGGCAAAGAGTACGTCGAATATGCTCTTGATCCGCATTCGTCGCGGACCCAGTGAGGGCAAGGATTGGAATGTCAGGAAAGTCTCTGCGGAGGTTTTTGAGACATTGATACTAGAAGCATTTCGTCCATGAGCAGGGCGGCTACAATAATACCGAGTATGGAGAGACTGCTTACCGCATCACGAAAGTCTCTTCCCCATGTCCCAAGGAGATGAGCTTCATCTACTGCGAATCTAGCTAGCATCCGTTCCTTGTAGAGATAGCGAAGGGCCTGCCGCAAGTCTGCATTCTGGGCCATTTTTTCAGGCGTAACAAATATGAGTTTGGGTTTCGTATCAGGGCCATTCAGTCTCTGCCAGATGCTCGGTTCCTGCTCAGGTACAATTTGGTCATGAGTGATCAAGACAGCATCGACTCCCTTGGACAGAAGCCATTTGACTTGATCCATCATCAACGAAGTCAACGGTGAAATGACAATAGTAACACCTCTCGTCTTCCCGCCAACGCAGAGAGCTGGGACTTGGAAACACAAAGATTTCCCACCACCAGTTGGCTTGAGTATGAAGACGTCGAGACCGGTCAATGTTGCCAGGATAGCTTCAAGCTGATTCTCTCGGAATGATCCAAGACCGAAGGTTCCTTTCAGGATCTTCATGACCTCGCCGTAGTATGGAGATCGAGATCCTGCGAGGTATCGAGCGAGGCCGGGATTTGTTGGAGAAGTAGATGCGGTATCGTAGATGACTGAAGGTGAAGCTTGATCTCGGATAGCAGCTCTTGAAGCCACCTCACGGGTTCCGATCAAGCGGCTGTAAACACAAACTAGTGTTAAGTTTGATTCTTGTCTAGTAAGAGCTTGTTGTGCTCACATAATTTCGGCAATCATGGGGCCATCACAAACCTTGGCTTGATGTTCAAGGCGAATCTTCTCGCACTTGAAGTAATCGCCCCAGCGAGCGTATAGTGCACAAAGCTCCTCCAGCTCATCAATGGTTTTCTGTAGGACACGATCGCGTTGCATGTATGTTAGCGTGCATAATTCAATCTTCTCAAAAGACAGGCGCACCGAAGATAAATCATATTCGAGAGTCACCGGAAGATGAGCTGTGGTTGTTTGCGAAGACGAAGACACTGCGGTCGACGTAGAGTTCTGTGTCAGACGAGACCGTTTGCTTGATCGGGTCGGAACCTCGACGTATACGGTCATAGCCCTCTTCTTCGACATTTATGCACAGGACCAGAATCTAAGAGGACTTTGGAGAATGAAACGGATGTGCTGTAACAGACAGCGTACTGAGGGTGCGGAGAGAAAAGGCGAGAGGTCGAAAACAGGCTCAAGAAGTCAGAAGAGCAACGCTAGCCAATGAGAATGCGCACGCTATCACTCAACTCGTATACCCCGATGGAATCTGCTGTGAGCCCTTCGTGACTCTGCTGTGAATATCGACACTTATAGCCACTTCTGTGCAGATCCGTATCACTCATCTGAGACGATGAATTCCGCAACCTATGATGTCTTGGTGAAAAGCAGCTGAAGAGTCAAACATTCGTGCCAGAGCAAGACAGGGGATTCCAAGGTCCAGGCTATAGGAAGATGTTTAGATATCCAAAAGTCACCAGTGTAGAGTGCGCTGAGCGAGAACGCAGGATGGAACACAATCCGTAAGGAGATGAGCGCTTCGCGATGAGCTTACTGTACTCATGTATCCTTCTAACTAAGCTCCCACTTCCAACAATGGGATCGACTGGCTCATCCCATGACGTCCTTCGCGCTCAGAAGTATGGTAAGTTATACGGTCTGAACACGATACCGTGCCATCTGCTGACTCTCACTAGAATCTTCACATTTAATGGTGCAAGGCCGGTGGCGATGTTGATGACTACAGAAAGGCCTTCCGAGTTGATATTACATTGAAGGTCGTAGGAAGAGAATACAAGATAGGCATAAGTAGTCTGAAAGATTCCTCGGAAGGTTGTCGTACCGAAAACTTGGAACGGCAGTGTACTCCGGGCATCTCCGTGCAGGTTGTATCTCCGCTTCGATCGACTGCTAGAGCCCTCGACACCACTTGTTGCTTACCCCCACGGCGGAATCCTCGAATGCACTCCATTCACATACTACATCCATCCTCTTGACAGCCTCCTTGTATCTTGATTTGAGCGTCTTTATACACATTGCGGAGGTGCAGTGCACGTGTCGTGCGCTTTGACCTTCAGATTACTACTGGCCGCGTGACACCGGCGAATGCTTTTGAAGGGCCTATCGACTATCCTGCTTCCCTACACCCGCGAGTGTTATAGCTGTCTCCTAAATCATTGGCACTCTACAACCGTTCATCTTTGTGCGGTGTTACCGTGACGGGTGCCACCCGACACTTTGCTCCTTATATGTGAGTCCTGCCTTCTTCAGTTTCGTCAACGCTTTGTACGAAGGCCAGAACTGCAAGTGACAATTGGCCTTCTTTTGCAGCTTGGGAACTCCGGCACCGACCTTGTATAAGTAGCGACGCATACACCAGCATCTCCATCCGCATCTCCCTTCCCCAACTATGTTCTCGACAGTTAGGCCACCTCGTCTTCCTTTCGAGATTCTCGCCAAAATCTTCACCCTTACATCTCCCATTGCCTCGAACAGACCGTTCTCTAGCAATACTCCTGGTGGCTGCCACCCTTTGGCCCTCGCACATGTATCACAACAATGGCGTGCGGTCGCACTTTCAACACCTCGCTTATGGAACGAAATCCACGTCGTCGACGGTATTCCCTTACCCGAAACCTTTCCGGCCGCATTGACCTTTTGGCTTTCTTTGTCCACCCTTTACCTTGATCTAGTCACCTCCAAAAGCGGTATTCATGTTATACACCGATGCGTACACCTCCTCAGTGCACATGCGCATCACTGGAAAGAGGCTTCCTTCGTTTTCATGAACACGGATCTCGATAACACTGGTCTTACATCTCTTTTCGGTGTGTTTCCCAGGCTGGATAAGCTTCGAATTTCTTGTGGGCTGGCAGCTTTTGTCGCTGGTCCTCGCATTTCAATGGATGTCGCCACCCTCTTTCCCCAGCTCAAGGACGTACACATCACGCATTGCTCGATCAACAGATGGGATATACCGTGGACCTCTCTCACTACTGCCCGCTTGTGCCATGACGCCACGTACGATTACCCTGGCCTTTTTGGCGCAGATTACGTTCGAGATTCCACAATCTATAAGTTCGATTATTATTTGTTGCTATCGGGGTTGGTACAGGCCGTCAATCTTCATACACTCCATCTGGATCTAGTCCTTCCAGTCGACACCTTCGATTACCTCGGCATTGAGCCTGTGTCAATGCCCAACCTACGGAGCCTTTCACTCTCCGCATCTCAAGCCTATAAGCTCTCCTTGTTCTTCACCTACGTCGGATGTCCCATCCTAGAAGAACTGTCATTGTCCATCCAAGATCAGGATCCTTCCGAATGGGATGACACCATTCATTCCAAATGGACGGAATTTCTATAGCGATGTGCAAGCTCTCTTCGCGTGTTGACCATGGACGACGGGTGGTGCCTCTCGGACGACCATTTTATCGGTACTTTGCACGCACTCCCGACCCTAACAGAGCTCTACCTTGGGTGGAACAGCATGTCACATTCGATCTTCGACGCTCTCACCCTCAAGTACGAATCTCACCTAAAGGGGGGATCCAAAATAGAGGGTTGCTGCCCCATGCTCACTACTCTCGAGATCTGGCGACCTGTCGTTCGACGAGGAGTTGACTCTTACGAGGGTCTATATACAAATTTCGTGGACATGATCCATTCGCGGAGACATATTCCCGAGGGGGCGGTCGATCAGGAAGGAAGAGCGGTCCCTTTGTTGAAGGTCTTGAAGATGAATCATGATGATATGATGTGTATGCGCAGGAGCGAGCCGTCGCAATATGCTCGACTGAAGGAAATAGAATCGGAGGGGATGGTCTTCGAAACTTGGTGATTAGACTCTTCGAACTCAACATGATACGGTTTACGTCTGTTACGACGAACGTACTTCACCTACTTCACTTCATTGCTATGTTATCTCTACAAGTAATAAAACGGAACTTGTCTACCTTTTTCATACGCCCCGCGATGGCCTATCCACTACCCCAATCTCCTTCGGTGCCCTGACCTCACGGTTCTGCACACCCCACTCGTACTATGGCACGGCTTCACGCATAGAATGGACAGATACTTATGATTAATTGGGCAAGTTCCAACACGGCGCGTGATGAGAGTGATTCGCTCCCGCTACGTCAAATATAGAGGTGTATATCATATACGCTGGTGACGGTTCTGTAGCACATGCGCAGGTAGAATGGTAGGTGGGGCAAGGAACGGTCGAGCGCGGACAAGCACTCGGGCCACGGAGTGAACGGACAAGGGCGACAACTACTGAAGTGCAGAATTTTCACGCTCGTGCTTCAGTCCAATGATTATGATTGCGATTGCGTGCGTGGGAAGGATTCACCTAAATTATAGCACGACAGCCATAAAATTTACATTATTGCTATAATTCTAAACCTTCAAGGCTCACAATTCGTCACGCGCCTCAAGCAGACATCCTCAAGATCTTCAGGACTTCGGTTTTTTCCGTCAAGGGAATGGGGTTTGTCCTAAAGGCACAACGCCAAGGAAAGGCATCCGAATGCTGTTAGCCTCTTATGCAAAGTATTGAGAAGTAACACCAATCCGCTTACCCCATCCAAAAGTCTAACAGACTCAACTCCGCCAACTTGTCTAAAAACTCCTCCGTTGGGTCAATCCCCACATCCCTCAACGTTCTCGGCATTCCAAGCTCTCTAAATACCCCATCCAACGTAGCGCTAAGATCCGCCGACTCTCGTTTGAGACCTCTGGCTTCGAGAGCAGACGCGACTTCGGGTGAAGACCAAAGCACAGATAGCGGACGTTGTTGACGTGCGAGGGCGGGCGGACTGACACTGTTATATTTACAGACAGAGGGAAGGAGGATGCAAGATGTTTCGCCATGACCGACGCCCAGGGGACCGAGCATATGGCCGATGGCTAAGGACGAGTCAATAATCAGATGCCCCAAAATGGACGAAACGCGGACACTGACCATGAGAGCCGCCGGCGGGAATGAAGAGACATATGGGTTCAATGGCTTTACGAGCACCAAGCTGAGCCTCCAGACGTGCTTGAAGGTCATTGAAGCCGTTGGTCTTAAGCTTCAAGAGGGCGGGAACGAGTAATGCTAGTGCGTCGGCCGCGGCTTGATCTGCATTATCCGTCGAATAGAACGAACACAGGACCTCTGAAAGAACAATAATTCAGGGGAAATGCTTGTAGGAAGAGGAAAGATGGAGCATACCGACGGCGTGGTCGATGGCCCTCACGCCACTAGAGAACCATGTCCGCTCGGGTGTACTAAGCGTCAACGCAGGGTCCAACACAACCACTTTCGGCGTCATACTGAAGTCGGGCGTGATGAATTGGCGTTTTGCGTCGTTACGTGGGTCGGTCGCGCCGGAAGCATGCGTGTACTCCCCTGCGCTGAGGGTGGTTGGTATGACTATAACGGGGATGGATACGGTTTTGACATGTTCGGGAAGCGTGAATTTGAGTCGCCTCGTATCTGGATCTACGCCGTGATGAATGGGTAGAAGAGCGCCTAGTTCGGCGAGGGTTTTGACATTGTTACTAAGTGCTAGACTGACGAGCTTTGCCGCATCTGTGGACGATGGCGCACGCATATGATATCAGCAGAGGGGTCTTGTTTGTGAGTGCTGGCACTCACCGGAAACACTGCCACCACCAAGAGAGATGATGACATCCGCCTGAACTGCTTGCCTAGGTGACATAAGAAAGCTCACAATAGGTCAAAATATTCCCAGACACATCAAACAAAGCAAATGGACTCACGCAGCCAGAGAGATGTCGATGACCTCATCCCAATAAGTATGGGGCTTAACTCCTACTCGTTCACCCACTAATAGCGAGCCAAGACCGTCCTTCAGCTGCTGATAACTGGGGGTTTTGGTGGCTACGCTGCCACTGACAAGAGCAAATGCACGTTGACATCCCATCCGCTGAACATGGTTCGCGACAAGACGAGGGAATGGGAGACCGTAAGAGACGAGAGGAGCGTCACGCCAGGAAAATGCCGCTTCCTGCGTTTCCTGGTTCGTTGTATACTGAGGTACAGTAGACATGATTGAGAGAAGGTGAGGTCTAGTACAGAACAGATGTTGGAAAGCATATGACCTTTATAATAGCCTGATTATTCGTCTTCTTGACATCGCACCCAATGGCTCATACCCACGGAGCTTCCGTTGGTCTAACTAGCGTGGGTCAACTTCTTGGATGACAACAAAAGGATATTGGCACCCACAGATGTCTTGAGTCACAGAATTCGAAGCGACGTGGATGGAAGCCAAGTGCTGGGATCTGCTGGGATCTGCGGAAGCAAAGCCGTCGGAAGGTACGACGGTGTCTTCCGGATATCCACGTGGGCTGACGTAGGGCGGTACTGCGTCCGTCAGATTGCTGCATTCGGTTTCGGTTGTTGATAGCTGCTGCATGAGCCGCGCACAGGCCTGCAAGCAAAGTCACAACAATTTAACGACATTCACGATCTGTTGACTCCGGAAGTTGTACAATAATCATGGGTGAGCTTCAAAATCAGTTCCATAGTACCATGCATGAACCCGGAATACCTTTTAGATACGACAATAGCGAAGCAATTGGTGGACAAGATGTACGAGAAGCGGAAGGCGGCTGCACTTGACCTTGAGAAGTATGTGGTACTCTAGTGTTTCTATTAGGAATTATGCTAACATAATTGCACAGGCTTGTTCGAGAATGCCACCTGCAGGGCGATGAACGGCGCATCGACCAGATAGTGGACCAGCTCATTGACATGTTCACCGGCGTAACGAACGCATTGCACGTACGAAATGGAGGACTTATCGGCCTCGCAGGAACCGCCATCGCTCTCGGAGTCGATATTGCGCCGTACATGGACAAGTTCCTCGACCCGCTTCTTAGTTGCTTCACGGACCCGGAGAACAGAGTGCGCTACTTCTCAGCTGAATGTCTATACAACATCGCGAAGGTCTCGAAGGGAGAGGTGCTGGTGTATTTCAACCCTATATTCGATGCACTCAGTAAGGTGAGTTTGTCCACTTCATGGTGTTTGTGTCGTTATCTGGAGTACAGTTGCGTTGCGCAATCCTTTCATGCTCCAGTGTGGCGCAGCCGGATCGGGCCAGTCTCTAACTAGCTTTGGTTATGCCGTGCCACGGTGTGTGAGCACGAAACTTCCTTCCTCAACCGGAAATGCTACCCCGTTGATTCCATACGCCTGTAGCATCCGTGAGGCTTCGGCAAAGAGTTGTATGGGTGTACTACAGCGTGACGCCACACTAGCCTGAGGTTGCCGTTCATCTCGTAGCCGTTGAGCAGGATGCTATTTTGTTCTGGATTATGTACATCTGGACTTCACACGTCGCATATTCCTCTTTTCCGTCATTGACCAGCTCTAACATACAACTAATCTCTTGGAAAGCTAGCTCGCCGCCGACTCGGAACTCTCTGTCAAAAACGGCGCCGAACTCCTAGACCGCCTTCTCAAAGACATCGTCGCAGAGTCCGCATCCTTCTACGTCCCACAATACCCCGAAACAGAGAAGGCGCGAATACGAACCGATGAGCGAGACGCCGACCTTGGTATTGTGGTTCCACACCCGGATGACCTTGATTCGGCAGAGCCGGGCACTAAACGCGCCTTCTCCCTTGCACGTTTTATTCCATTGCTCTCTGACCGGATATATGTCCTCAACCCATTCACACGAAGCTTCTTGGTGTCGTGGATCACGGTGTTGGACTCGGTCCCGGAATTGGAGCTTATCACTTATTTGCCTGAGTTCCTGGACGGACTTCTGTCAGTCTTCCACCGCTCTTAAATTCGAAGTCAACCTACTAACTATTGAGTATCCAGGAAATATCTTTCCGATCCCAATGAGGATGTACGCATTGCCGCTGAGAACCAACTGGGAGAATTTTTGCGAGAGATTCGAGAAGTCACGATCGTGCGCAAACACAACGAGGAACAAGAGGCTCGTCTACGAGAGCGAGACGAGCAAGAGGCTCGTTCCGACGGTGGCGGCGAGAAGGAGAAGCAGACAACCTCGGACATCGCTCTTGGTGCTGCAGATAACACGTCATTCCTAAACCACAATGATACTTTCTCGGAGAAGGGGGACGCAGTCTCCGACATTGACGAGCGGGATACTGGTGGTGCGTCCTGCTACTAGCAAATAGGCCCGAGTCAAAATTTGACGGGAAAATACTTCTAGCGTGGTTGCCAGGTCAAGGCGTTCGGATTGACTATGCCGCCATTATCGAGATCCTGATACGACAGCTTGATATCGACCGTATGTCATATTTTGCGCGATTTCTGGCTGTATATCGGACGTTATGTTGACAAGCGAGTCTAACAGACGACGAGATCCAACAGTCTACAGCCCTGCAATGGCTCGCCGAATTTGTAACCTTCGCCCCTGAAGTCATCATCCCCTTCATACCACGTCTTATACCCGCAATTCTTCCAAATCTTGCCCATCATGTTCCCATGATCCAAGCTTCCGCCATCCGGACCAACAAACTCATGACCAACGTTGTCCAATCTCTACCTGTTCCTCCAACATCTGAACCTCCAACACGACAATCCACAAATCTGGCATCTTCCACGATCGAGCGGCCAACTTCATCCCGTAGCATCAATGTTCCTCCCTCGCCCGTACACAATTCACCCGCACCAGCGCGACAGCCAACACTTCCGCCACAAAGCCAAACCCGGGACGTTCACTCGCCCGAACCCGCTCTGACCGACTCTACCATCGTCCCATCAACACCCAGCCAACCGCCAAGCAATCTCACATTGCAGAAGCGAAATAGTCTGCAGAACGAAGCTACAGCTGGAACTCCGAGACCATTAGCCCCTATCAATGTCGATGCGGCTCAACAGTCCGCTGGTCAGAATGTAAATACCACGCGGACTCATTCCCCGACGTCGATGAGGAGTGGCCACCAAGACAGGGAGCGAGAGAAGGATAGAGAGAGAGAACGGCCTGAGGAATTCGACTATCAGGCAACTGTGAATGCGCTTACGATACAGTTCTTGAGTGAGCATGAGGAGACGAGAGTGGCGGCATTGAAGTGGCTGATAATGCTGCACCAGAAGGCTCCGAAGAAGGTGACGACGTTCATTCTTAGTGTTTCCATCTTAGACTCAACGTAGTATATTTACAGATCTTGGCGATGGACGATGGGACGTTCCCTGCGCTGTTGAAGACGCTGTCCGACTCGTCAGAAGAGGTCATCAAACACGATTTACAGCTCCTCGCACAAATTTCGTCGAGTTCGGAAGAGAGTTACTTCAAGGCTTTTATGATGAACCTGCTTGAACTGTTCAGCACGGATAGGAGATTACTCGATACTCGGGGGAGCCTCATAATCCGGCAGCTTTGCCTTAATCTCAATACCGAACGGATATACAAGGCGTTCGCTGAGATACTTGAGAAGGAAGAAGTACGCTTTCATCAAATAATCCTGTCGACGACGGCGCTGACTGGTCTACGCAGGACCTCGAGTTTGCGAGCGTTATTGTGCAGAAGTTGAACCTAATCCTCATCACCTCACCAGAGTTAGCGGACTTCAGGAAACGGTTGAAGAGCTTAGAAACTCGGGTACGTCTAACAGCATGGACACGCATGGCTCGCTACTAAATATGCTGAACCGTGTAGCAAGACGGACAAGCGCTCTTCGTCACGCTTTACCGATCGTGGTGTCATAACGCCGTCTCTGTGTTTTCACTTTGTCTCCTTGCACAAGCCTACGAGCATGCGTCAAATCTCCTGAGTATTTTGTGCGTCCGACGTTTTGGCTATTCAGCTCGGGTACCATCACTGACCGCCATCCAGCGCCGACTTGGAGATCACCGTCCCACTGCTTGTACAAATCGACAAGCTGGTGCAGCTTATCGAGTCACCTGTTTTCACATGTACGTCCTTTTCCTTGATGATCTGCAATAGGCCTCGACCTAATTCTACCACAGATATCCGCCTGCAGCTACTTGAACCCGACCGCTACCCCTACCTTTTCAAGTGCCTTTATGGTCTCCTCATGATTCTGCCCCAAAGCACCGCATTCGTCTCCCTCAGAAACCGTCTCAACGCTGTCAACTCCGCAGGGTTCCTTCACATAGCCCCTAAACCGTAAGACCAACTTCCGCAGTGTTCAACTTTCCGATATTCCCGCTGATTACCTGTTCTGCAGCACCGTCGCGTCCATGTCAAGTACACGTTCGAAACTGACCCGCGACGAAATCAAGTGGCCCGAACTCCTCTCCCACTTCCGCTCCGTCCAAGCCCGTCACGAAAAAGCCCGTCGAGCAGCTCTCGGAACCTCTCTCGACGTCTCTTCTTTCAACGCCAACGCCGTTCCTAGCATCTCCGTTTCGAGTAATCAATCTGACGGCGACCGCGACGGACGTTCAGGGTCACGTCCGCAAATGAGGAGAAGGGTGACGGGGTCGGGTGGAGAGCCACCGGGTGGCGGTGGTTCTGGGTCAGGACAGGGTATCCCGCCTAGTGGGAGACCGCCTTCAAGGTCTGGGGCGTTGAGTCCGTTGAATCCGAGAGCGAGGGTTCAGGGCGGGTTGTTGGCTTCTGCGTTGTCGGGGCAGAACCAGAACGGAGCGAAGACGAAGAGGGGACTTAGTCTGAGTAGGAAGTCATGAGGAGTGTATGGGATTGCATGGTTTGATCGGCGTTATCAACAGACGATTTTCTCGCTATGTTTTCGCTTTCATTCTCTAGGATAAGGATATTCCTATTCTGTTTGGTGGCCTGTAATACCTTTCCTCGGTTCTTTTCTTGGAACTTTGCAGTCATCAGCTTACGCTTCACACTTGGGCACCCCCTGCAGCCTCGGTATACTAGGTTAGGGTGACGGATGTGAAGACGGACAGTCCCAGTATTATAAGAATTATCTACTTTATCTGTGAAGACAATCAAGCGAGTCAGAACGTCGCCGTGAAAAGACACAAAGCAACAGACGAACTATAATGTATGTGAGGACTGGTAACAAAAATGAGCTTCAGACAGCATGGCTATAACCATTCCCGAGCGTCATTGAATCGCTGGCCGAAGTCTCCTCCGGAGGTGGTTTGGATTTTGCAGGAACAACCGGCACGAACCAGTACACCGGATAGCGACGTTGTATGTTGTTTATAATGAGGGCCGAGACTAGCACGAGCATGGACGACAGTAGAACAACGGGAAGGTAGTACCACGACAAGGCTACCACATCGTCGTCTACTGCAGCCAGTAAAGCTGTCGCTCCGGCAGGAGGATGGGTCGTCTCGGTGATCTGCATGGCGACGATGGCGACTGCGACTGAGAGTGAACCGGCGAGCCAACGTAGGCTCTCGAATTGTTCTTGGGTCGGGAGGAGTGAGAAGAGTTTGGTGATGCAGATGCCGATGAGTGCGCCGATGAAGTGACCTCCAACCAGCGCTCGAGGTTGAGCAAGGGGTGCTTCGATTGCCCCGTAGCATAGAACGGCAGAGGCACCCTGTATAAAATTCCATGATCAGTATATGTATCCACCGAACGAGCGTGGATGAGGCGTACGTAGCTAGCGATGATCGAAGGCACGCTGCGTTTCATAAAATATTGTGCGTGTCCAAAAACGGCCTGGAGGATAGAAATGCCACAGAAAGCACCGATGAACGACCAAAACCAGACAAGGTAATTTTGTCTCGGAGCAGGAGGGGATTCACGATGCCCTAGCCAATGGCTAATACAGCGTGGTAGTCTGGCAAGACGCGGCTGCGAAGGGGAGAAAAAACCCATGGTAGTCGAAGGTCGGATGCAACGAAATCGTCGTGTCCGTGGAGTATATAGCGGTCTCTTGGAGGGACAGAGAATATGTGTAAGCAGCTTGAGCCCCTTATTTTCTTCATGGGCTAGTACTTCAGGCAGAATATAAAATCGACGTCAGAGCATCAGAGAACCCGATTGGTCCTTCGAACGTCCGATCCGAATTTGCGTTACAAGGTCGACGGAACAATTGATGAACGCGCTCCCCGGCAGTGTAAGGGCGTGGCCATCCAAGGAGTTAGAGAGAAGAGTGAATCATGTTAGACATTCGTTGTGGAACGGCTAGGGTGTCTCGGAGTTGCCTGCTGTACGCAAAGACTTTCCGGCCAACAGCGAAGAAACAAGTTCACTCGCGAGCGTACATTGGACCCCTGTTTCTGCCGATCCAAAGAGGCGCACAAAGGCTAAGTAGTGCAAAACTGTAACCACCCCGCAGACGGAAGGGTTCATGCATGAACTCATTTTTCTCGAATTGTTCATGATGGTGGTTTGTAGGAGATCGGGTGCAAGAGGGATCGGCGAAGATCGGGTTAAAGACCTCCACGTGCGCTGTCGGTTATTATCGGTCAACAGTCCTAAGTTTAATCGGACCCGACATTTTGGATTTTTCTCCCACTCCAGCCTCCCGGTTCCTAACGGTCCTTGTGCGACACCACCTCCGCACTTTCCTGCTTCTCTTTTCAACAATGCCAGCGCCTACTATCTATACTCTCAGAAGTATATGACCCACATAGCGAGGACCGACGGGAGATCCTTGGGAGGAGCCAACGGGGACCCACAGTCTGAGTAGGCTTCGATCAAGACTCCAGTGGAGCTAGAGCTCCCACAAATGCGTAAACAGCGGTGGGTGCAACGAAAGGCATAAATACGGACATGGATTCTCTTTCTTCTCTCAGCTTCATCTCCAGCTTTTCACCATGGTCTTGTCCAACATTCCGCAGTACACCTTAGGCAACGAGATTACGGAGAAGGCATTTACTTCGCATGATTTACCTCTCGTCACATATGGATTACCCTTTCCACGTCTCGTCGCTCTCCATGTCCAACGCCTGGGATGTCAGAGAGTATATGCTCTTGTCAGTGGTAGTGTGGCCAGAAAGACCCCCAGTTACCAGCAGTTAAAGGACGAACTTGGCCCACTGTTGGTCGCGGAACGGGTTGGCGTCAAACCCCACACCTATTGGGATGAAGTTCTTGAGATGGCCAAAGATGCGTAGGTCGCTCTATTTGCTCACTTGTAGATTATCCGTTAAGTTCTTCCATCGCTTTCTAGGCAGGCTGCAAAGGCGGACATACTCGTGACCCTCGGTGGAGGCAGCGTGACTGGTAAGGCAATCAGTCCATCAAATATCAGCCTATTCTAATCGTCGCCTCTTTTAGATGCTGCGAAGCTCGTCAGCTTAGCAATTAGCAACAATGTCACGAGTCTCGACGAGATGGGTGCTCTTGTTCCCATCCCTCGAGGTGTCGACGCCGAGACCAAGAAACTCAAGTTCGACATTCCGGAGAACATCAAGGACCTGACTATTCCCGTCATCGTCATTCCTACGACCCTCAGCGCGGGAGAGCACACTCACGCTTCCGGTGCAACTGATCCTCGCAATAATGCGAAATACCAGTTCTTTACTCCGGGGATGACGCCGAAGGTGATCGTATTGGACCCGCAGGTGACGCTGACCACTCCTGAAAGGACTTGGTTGTCCTCCGGTGTTCGTGCGATTGATCACTCCGTCGGTACGTTTCTGTGGTTCGTAATTGCTCTCTAGCATGCACTTATCATCCTGCATATCTTCAGAGGGTCTCTGCTCTCTGATCTCTACTCCAGAGACGGAGAAGATCTCGGGCGAGGCTCTGTCTCTACTTGTCCCTGCTCTCCTCAAACTCAAGAAGGAAAACTTCAACGATCTTCAGGCGCGTTTCGAGGCGCAGGTTGGCGCTCGCAAGTCTACAGAACCATTCCTCTGCTACGGCGTCCCTATAGGCGGCTCTCATGGTTAGTTCTTCGTGTTACTTCCATATGTCGACCGACCGCATAAACCTTAACAATGTCTACACGATCCTACAGGTATTGGCCATATGCTCGGTCCTTTCGGAGTCGGACATGGAGAAACGTCCTGTATCCTCCTCCCTTCCGTCTGCAAGTACAACAGTGCCGATCCCACAGCACTCGAACATCAACATCGCACCCTGTCCGTTCTCTGGTCCTTACCCTGCGTAGCCTCCGTCCTCGAGGCCCGAGGACTCAAACGACACACAGCTGATCTGAGCACCGTCCTCGATGGAGTGTTTAGGGAGCTGGGCATGCCGAGGTCGCTGAGGGATGTGGGGATAGATCCGACGGAGGAGTTCTTGGAGAAGCTGGCAGAGATGAGTTTGACGGATTTCTCGCTGGCGTGCGTATTTTCCTTGCGGGGGATGGCGTCCGGATGACTGATTAAATATTTTTCTGCATAGGTCGAACCCGATTCCTCTGACGGAGAAGAGTCAAGTCCTGGAGATTCTGCGGATGAGTGCGTAAGATACGTATTCAGCTGAGTTTACGGACGTTACAGTCGGGAACGTGTACAACCATGGAAAGGAACCGTTAGGAGAACATGGCCAGAGAGCCTGTCGAGATGTACAGTACATGTCGTCGTTTGGTATCGGAACAAAGGGGAAGGGCGGTGAAGGTAATCCACATAGGTTTTTTATAGTATTTCGTCATGCTTCATCGATGCGGCCACAATGTCTAGTAACAGACTGAGAATAAAACGGAGGAAGACTCGGATAGCAAAGGTAAGTGCGAACGATCAACGATCTATCGTACAGACAGCAAGACACGGAATAACTGAACAATTGTATCTATCTGGGAAAAAAAAGTCATTAAAGTATGGAACACGTAAGGTAGCACTTTTCTCCTGTCCGATCAGCGGGACCACTGTCCAAGAGAAGCTTTGAACACAGGTACAGGTGGATTCACTTGGATCAACAAGAACACTATCGAGGGCAAGGCACACCACAAACATTCTAGCACCAAGAATAAGCCATGCGACTCAAATGAAGATACCAGCGGGCGTAGGTCGTAACATCCGTGGTAGACCTACAATTCATCAGAGCCAATAAACATCGTTGGCATCTCAATACTCCTTAAACCTCACCCTAAGCCCTTCATCGCGGAATTTCATGAGCGTGGCATACTCCCCGGGAGCTTGCAGTATCATGATATCGTCGTCTTCCTTCCCGAGACCCAAAGACCTCAAACGGCTGATGGGCCTCCCTATAGAGTCCACTGCATGTGGAGGTAGATGCCACCGGGAGTGGATCATATCGATAATCTGGGCGTAGTAGTCGCTCGCGGTGATTTCGGGGTACCTGTTGTCGGTGAATATGGAAAGGTGTTCTAGGCATCGCGCCATTCTTCCAGTATCGCAACTCTCACTGTGGGCGAGTCCACACTGACAGACACAGAGCTAGGCGAAGTCTGCACCCAGCTACCGAATTTATATATCACCTTGCTTGCAAGGTCTCTGGACATCCACAAATCGTGGGAAGAACAACGCAGCATCAACCGGCGTTCCCCGGTACTCCCGGCGTTTGCCGTTTATGCTTCAGTCTTGCCGCTTGCGTGAAACGCGCATTCTTGTCCTCTATGTTTTTTGCTCCAAAGGCATCCTCGAGACGATATTACCACCACATATGTGAAATTACGGTTGCTATTGTGCTGTTCACTATGTCCATTGCTCAGTCTACCACAACCTAGTGTGCCCAGTCTGCCAGAGTCCGAAACTGTGCACGGTGCCTGGTCAAGAACAGTTTGTTGTCAAAACTCCAAAGTAACCGAACAATGAACCCAATAGGTTTATGACGATAGCATATTCCAGTTAATGTGGCTGATAATTTGTGTGGCATGTCAATTTGTGTGGCCCAGTACAATGAGCACGTACATTTGCATGTAACGAAGCACGGCCATTGACCCAATAATATCGGCAATGTTAACGAGCCGGAGATATTCGAAATACTTTGTTTAACTTTATGAATGGGAAACTGCACATGTACCAAAGTAAATATTTCAAGCAAGGTGTCCGGCGACGAAGTCGACACTTCCCCCAGTTCTCACTGCGTGGGGCAATAGACTTCCCGACGACGCTTTCATTTACTCCCTCGAGCTCCTTTTCACTCGGGACGGACGTCTTCTATCGGGTCAAAACATCAAGAAAATTGTGGAGACTGGTGGCAGCTTCGTCATTCCACCTCTCGGCCGCAAATCGAAGTTTTCCAAGTTATGGGCATCGAGATGGTCGAGTAGTTGCGAAAACAGCCGCGAATGTGGACCGAGGAGAAGGAAGAGATTCGTGAGGTGATGGAATTGTATACGATCGAGCTGTCCGTCTAAAGGTGCAAGAGTGAAGGGACTCCTGTCGCACATGAAGGTGAACTGTTGAAGACTGGCACATTGCGAGACTCGCTGCAAGAGACCAGATACGTGTATCTCCGCAGGACCAGGTAGGTCGTAGATGTTTAGATAGAGAGTCGTGATGCTGGCCGAGATTGGCATATCCTGAAAGGATTTCGGGTACTCGATAGAGAGACAGCGAAGGAGCGGAGCTCGTGGCAGACTGTGCAGGGGAGGCCATGTACCCAGTTCGGGGTCGTTCGCGTTGCAGGAGAGAACCTCGAGATTTGGGAGGGAAATCTGGGTTGAAGTGGGGTAGGCATCGGCATCCCCATGATAGTTCATGGTGAAGTCGACTGCCCTCCATCAAGTGCTATGTGCAGAGGTAATCGTGAGGTATTGGCGCATAACCAGTGGTCGATGATCATTGCTCCTCATCCTCCAGGAGATTGTTAGATGGCGTGTCGCAGAGTAAGAGAGCCACTTCTGCAGCTCTGAAAAGAACACTGGAAGAAACGACTCTTGAGGAGGGGGAGGGAGTATTAGCCTTGTCCATAGCTTGGAAGTCGACTGAGCGACTTGGCGCCACTCTCGACTGACTCTAGTCAGGACAAGCGGTGGGTTGTCAGGGAGAAGCCTTTGACCCGGGATACTGCAAAGTGTCTCGAATATTTGTGCTGTAATCTCGGGTGGAATAGAAATCATGATGGCTCGATGGGTAACTTGCGTAGTGCTGTGGTGAATTCTGTTTAGCTATGAATGGCAAAACACTTTCAGAAAGCGGCCACAGACCGTTTGTATGGAACGAGCTGACTGCCTCAGAATAAGTCTGCCTTCGGTGAAAATGATGACGCGTACGACGCGTCGTAAAACGACTGGGACAGATTTGAGTAAGTATTGCGCGTAGTGATGGCCCAGACAGAAAGTAGAAGACTCACCGGTCTCAAACGAAGGACGGCTGCACGATACGCTAAAATCACAAAGTAGGGGATAGAACTTCGGGGTTACAGCCAGAGATGCTCGCGGTTTGCTCGCGGTGGTGGTGATATAGGTCAAAGCCGTCGAAGTGTCCCAATGTGGCCGGGCGCTTGACAGAGATGGACAAGATCCTCCGGCAAAGACCGCACGCAGCCTGCCTTCTCGGATTATTTTATCAGATTCAAGGGGCTTTCGTTCATCAGCCATTTCGAATATAAAATGCTCTCAGGCAGGAGATCCAGGGATGCTAGTCTGAATGAACAAATTCCGGGTATGAAGAGACAACAGAAACAAGAGGCAAAAATAGCATATAACGGCAGAATTGGACCTTCACCTGCCCAGCTCGTATCATCCGTATCAACACCAGCTAGAAACGTCTGAGCACCAGCCAGAAACGTCTGAGTTGGCGATCAGGTCCGTTCCCCTTCTACTCTCTTATGGCACACCGGACAACTCTGCCTCAGTCTTGCTCTCACCATCGCAGTACTATAGACAAAACTCCCGTCAGAAAGGATATCGTGGACAGAAAGTCGAGCCAATACGCACTACGCGATCTTCCCACTGATACCTCTTGCGGCACTGCCAAGTGCCATCCCGACATTGGCGTAAGCAGGATCCGGCGGTCGAGGCAGCGTATCGCCGCCCGTGACGCAGCTTGCATGGACGACGTGTCGACAGAGGAAGAGCAACACCAAAGACTGGTGCGTCTGTTGCAGTGGGAGGTTACATATAGGACATGGCGTCTTCCCTACGTCGCCCACGTCCACAAAAAATCTGTCAGCATATAGACCCAAAGGAAGTACGACTGCGAGCCACCCACCAGCAAGGAAGAACCCGCTCGTCTGATCCCTATGAAGCTTCTTCGCCAGATCCGAACTATCCCCATGCAATATCGTCTGGCATCCCTCCAGCAAAGATATTTGCAGGTTGAAGTCCTGCAGGATCTTGATCAACGCGGCTTTGAGACCCGGAATTTCGAGACCGTTCTTGATGCGTCGAATGAGACGAATGGGATCGATCTCCGCGCCGACGTTCTCCAAGAGGCCACGGATAAAGGCTATGATAAGGATCGGAGACAAGTTAGCAAAGTATTGGGAGGATTGGAGGAAAGAGAAGGGGAGCGAAGGGGAAGCAAAGGTGACTGACGTGGTCGGGTCTCTGAATATCGAAGTAAATCCTCCCACAAGTCATCGTCGTTCTGCTCTTTAGCGAACTCGATAGCCTACATCATATTGGTTAGAAAAGTTGTCTATGGTATCCGTGACTATGCGATAGCTGGACGAAAACAACGTACCCGGCTAACGTCTCCAAGTCGGTCAATGATGAGGTACAGCGCCTTCTTGTTGTTCCCCATCCGACCAAGAAGGAACACCATCTCTGGCACGAGATCTCTTTCGGTGCATATATTGTACGCCTATAAGCCGAGAAGTTTCAATTCGAGCTCGTTGAGCTATGAAGAGGAAGAGGGATGAACGTACGGCTTCTAGGTGATAGTAGCTGCTTGCACGGAGGAAGTCGATCAGTTTGTGGGTGGCGAACTCCGCATACAACTTGACCTAGATGTACGTTCACAAGTCAATAAAAAGATCCAGAAGTGACGGTGAACTGGTCGAGACGTACTTGGATATCCGCAAAATCCGAAGCCAAATGTGGATCCTTCCCACTGAACAAGGCATCCAAATACAAATACAAAAAGTACGGCCGACTCTGCAATTGTTGCACCACCCGCGCAATCTGTAACCCAGACTCATGTCAGTGCCCAGGGTCACTCATTTCATGCGTTAGGAATGCAGAAATGAAGACACACGGGTATGGAATGCGTGTGCTCCACAAGCAACATGATCGCCGCTCCCCTCTCATCCTCAACCGGCAACCCTTCCTTTCTCGTCTTCTCCATCAATTCCTGATCAAACTCTACGAGAAGAAGCGCTTGATCCTGCACTGCCGTGAACAGGTTATGTTCTCTGATGAGCTCGAAGACGTTCGGTCGGCGAAGGCGCAGGAAGTACGGAAGGGCTTTGCCGGGTTGACGATTGGCGGTGTATCTATTGAGGCAGCACGTCAGTAGATCGCTCGACAAAATGAACGTGGAAAAAGGACGGATTGATAGACGAATGGCTGAAATCGGAGAGGGACGCACAATTCGGCAAGGCATTCCATAAGGATTGCTGTATCCGGTGTGGCGCGTTGCGTCGGGGAGGTTGACGAAGACGAGGAAGTTCTGTCGAGCTCGGATTGGATAGCGAAGATCACAGCGGAGATGTCAAATAGGTCCTTTGGCCATTCCTTTATTCTACGCAAAAGGGCCTGTGCAGTGATAATGTTATGAATGGGAAAATCTAAAGCAACGAGAAAGGCCACGAATATACCTGTCGGTCGTTGGCAAGATAATGAGCGAGTATCATCTCATAAACGAGGTGGTCTAGTTTTGGGGCCTCTGTCGGCACGTAGGGTATGATAGCCTGGAAAAACGAATTAGTCAAGATATTGTGGGGTGAGGATTGACAGGAGTCAAAGGTACCTCCATATGTTGCTTTTGAGCAAACACAAAAATCCAGTTCTCCCATCTCTTCGTATCATGCCCGCACACCTTGGGACAAAGCTTTGCAGCCTTGACGAATGCACCTAATACAGCACATAATTAGCATCACATCCAATATCTTCACAGATCAATAGAGCAAGCAAACACACCTTCACCAATCAAATGCTCAATATACCTTTGCCCAATCGCCGCCGCATCCACGCCCATCTCTCCCTCCCCACCACCCTCCACTGCCATACTCTCCAAATGTTCAATCTCCTCCAACGCTTCCTCATACCTCTTCCTCTCCACCAACCATGCCACATGATCTCTCCTATCTCTCGGTCTCACGACAATCGCGTCTCTCGGACTCAAAACAATATAAGCCCTCGATTCACCGTGATCTTCCGGGTCTACTTCTGACAGGACATAATCATTGCATCCCCATGATTGGAAGTTTGAGACGGTGAGGGCGTCAGCGGCGAGCTCTTCGCCTCCCCGTGAGACTATACGGAGCTCCGGCCGTTCAGCCTGTTTACGAGCCTGTTGTTTTCGGTCTTGGGTCGCTTCGTCGAGGAAAGACGTATCGGGTGGCGTATAAGCCAGTATGAGGAGTGAGGTCGGAACGGAGGATACAGAATTAGAACTCGCGTTGCGATGGTGTTGCGATGACAGAGGCATAGAGCAAGTTGCGGAAATGGGGGTTGGGTGTGGCACGATTCCAGAGATCATACAGTCGAGTTGGAATACGGCGGTTATTTCGACGAGGAGCGGGGGGAGGTTGGCGGAGGAGGATGAGGTGGTTGTTCGTGGGCGGGCGCGAACGCGGGCGACTTTGATGACGTCGGCCCAGGCGATAAGAAGGGTGGAGTCGTCTTGCCATTGAAGAGTACATTTGAAAAGGTCGGGGCGGGGACTATCGTGTTGTCGGTCGATGAAGGTGATTCGGGTTTGCGATACTGTGTCGTAGATCTTTACGCCCTGTTAAACAGAAAATCAGGGAGTATGAGCACATGTATTATGAATATAAGTTTGGTTCAGACACTTACGAGATCATTCGCCCATGCAATCAACCTACCCCTCCAACGGACTTGCCATATTGGACCTTCGCCAGAATGTAACACCGTCTCCTTATGGCCCAACCATCCCTTCTCGTGCATGACCAAGCTCCCGGCCAATCCTCCGCAAACGAACGCACGCGAGCTCTTCTTCGCGAATTGTGGCTCCAGGGCCAATGTCCGCATAGGTCGTTTCAGGTCGAATGCATAGGCCTCGGTCGTAGAAAGCGAATGAATGACGACCTGTCCTGATAACTCCCGAGTTAAACGTGATCGACGAGAGTTTAGGAAGGAACGTCATACCGTCAATGGAGGATGTACCAACAAAATCCCCTGTGGCGTCCATGATGATGTCGCTAATGGAGGCACCGTGCGGTTTAAACGATTTTAGACGTTCACCGCTGAGTGTCATGATGTGCGTGTAACCACTATGGGTTCCTATAGCCTGGCGGTATGTTCAGTATAATGTACTGTGCACGAAGACATACGTGAGAACGACTTGCCAGAGTCTTGTTCGAGATGGTTAGTGTGGAGGCAGAATCCTTTAAGAACAGTTTGGGGAAATCCCCGCCCAGGCGCTCATATTTGAGAGCTGGCTCCTCGTCGTCTTCTTCTCCATCCTCTTCATCGCCGTCTTCATCTTCCTCGTCCTCTTCTTCCTCATCCTCCTGCTCCTCACCGTCCGCTTCTTCCTCAGCTTCTTCCTCCTCTGCTACCTTTCCCTCCTCATCAGCTTCAGAATCATTGGAACCGCCGTCCGAACCACCCTCATCCGCCAGGTCTGCATGCCCGTCCTGGTCTTCCAATTTCTTCTTCAACGCATCAGTTGCCGACATTTCGACAGGACTATCTGTCAACGGCATTCCATCTTCATCCTTCTCATCGACGTGATCGTTATGGTCTGAAACCCGTATAGGATCGTGTTCGTGGCCTTCACCAGCACCGTCCATAGTGAAGTAGTATTACGTCTGACTTGAGACAAGCCTCAGGACCACTAGCGAGATGATAGTCAGGTAGAGAAACAGCCTAATAGAACGCTTGAGGCGATCGTAGTCGCCAGGGTCAGACACGGCGTATAAACAGAGTTACAAAGATGCGGCCTGCGGCCTGCCAGGATGTTGCTGTAGAACTAAGACTCAGAGGCGCTACGACGTCACACGAACGGCGGGGCAGGCCCATTACGTTTGGCCTTTCAGCGGCTTCAACTGAGTTCAAACTCCGAAAGCCCTTTGCAACAAATATGGATGTAGTGCTCTACAAAATCCCTTGCCTCAACTACAACTCGCGGCTTGCTTCCCTTCCTCCACTGCTTGGACTTCAGGCTCGACATTCTGTGAAGTATTCTGTGAAGAATGGCTTCATCATCTACCACCTCTGAAAAAGCGCCTGCTGAGGCTGCATCCTTGACACCGTGGCGATTGTCACAATCCCCGTCAGTGCTCACCTGATTCTGTTTGGCTCATCCTGCTCAACGTACACCTGTATAAAGCTTTCCGGCCTTCTCGCTCGCATCTTTATGTATGTGTAAATCATACAAGTTGGTCGGCAATGACTGACATATCTACAGTCCTTGGTTCTGTCATTACCCCCACAAAACTCCACGCACGCACATTCACACCGCCCTTCATCCTGCGCGCCGCGTTCAGCATCCCCATCGCAGGCGCAGGCTACATGATCGGTCAAGGAGACGTATACAATGGGTCCGGTGTTGCTACAGGTGCGTTCTTCCCCTATTTCTCCTGCATATGCCATAACCTCGTACCCCTTTTTTCGGGTGCCGTGTTTGTGTTTGTGGGATAGCATGGTCCATGACGTACCTCATAGCCGAGCAATTCGCTATGGGTATGGAGAAAGCAAACAGACTTCCTCGGAGTGGACTTTCCTTGTTACTTGCTGGAGCGGCTGCGACGACCGCCGCTCTCTACGGAACGGAACATTTCGTATATCAGACCAGTCCGGACGATTTTGAACCATGATGCATAATGATGAGACCTTGATTTTGCTTCCTGGAATATCTGCATACATACATTACACTGGACATACAACGTCGAACTACATAACATGAACTCAAACTCGACCCACTGCTCCACTGTCTGGGAACACCGAACACCAACCCCTCAAAGCCCATTCCACTCAAACGCCTTCTCAACCTCCAACACCCCCTCCAATCCCAAGTTCGCACTACTCGCTCCGACCCACACCTCAAACTTGCCCTTCTCGACCGTCCACCTCTCCAACCTCTCATTCCAATACGATACCGCATACTTATCCAGTTCCAACTCCACGACCTTACTCTCTCCCGGTCCAAGATTGTGTACCTTCTTAAATGCGCGGAGTTGGAGGGGAGGGTGTGTGAGGTCTGAAGTGCTGGGGAATGAGATGTATAGCTGCGTGGCTTCGGAGCCGGGGAGGGAACCGGTGTTGGTGAGCGTGAAGGAGATGGGGGTCTTGATGTCGGGGCTTGAAGAAGAGGGTGCGAATGTGGATTTGCCGACTTTGAGGTCGGAGTAGGAGAAGGTCGTGTAGGAGAGGCCGTGACTAAGAGCGTGGCAGAATGTGAGCGGTAATTCAGGATAGAGAACAGGATATTATCACATACCCGAAGGCGAACTCAGGTTCGATCTTGCGGTGAAGCCAGTGTTTGTATCCCTACTCAGACCATACACTTTAGTTCCTCTCCGTGTCAGGACATGTTTAAACAAAACATACCACGAAGATACCTTCCCCATAGTGAACCTTCATGACAGGATAGATCAATTTACGGCCTCCATCCGGGTACTAAAAATGAGCGCATACCTTTCCGTCTTCTGAGTGGAAATGTCCATACGAAGGAAGATCCTCTTCCCTCTTTGGGAACGTCAAGGAAAGCTTCCCCGAAGGGTTGACCTTCCCGAACAACACATCCGCGATCGCCTCTCCAGTCGCATTGCCGCCATACCACGCATGCACGACAGCCGGCACAGAAGTCGCCCAAGGCATAGTGATTGAGGATCCCTATATGTACAGTATGGCGATCAGCAACCAGGCCCAATAAATCTGAGCTGGGAATGGGGAAACATACCGACTGAGTAACGACCACAGTCTTCGGATTCGCCTCCACTACCTTCCTCACCAACTCATCCGTCCTCCCCGGCAACCCAAGCGTCTTCCTGTCATATCCCTCCGTCTCCCAATCCGCATTGAGGCCAACGACCGCAACCACCACATCCGCCTCCTTCGCCAATTTCACCGCGCTCTCCATCCTCTCGTCCGCATCCTGAACTTCAGCCCCTCCGAGCCTCATGCCCGCATTCGCATCCATCACGGCTTCGTCTTCGTCGCCGTCTGCGGGAGCAGGCCCACGGACGTTACAGAATTCGACATAGATGGAGGGAGAGTGGTTTGCTGGGATGTGGACCGTGCCACGTTCTTCCTTGGAGGCACAGCCGAAGAATTCTTCACCGCGACGTTGAACGGTCCAGTTGTCGATGATGAGTTTGTCGTCCACCCACAACTAAAAAGAAGAATCAAGCCGACCGACGGGGAATTAGCACCATGTGCCCGAGTTGATAACCGGGACTGACCTTCGCCCTCCCCGATACACTCATCCCAAACTCGAAGTCACAAGCATACGTCTTTGGCTTCAATTGACCCTTGAGCCTCAACGTCCACCTCCTTGTGATCCCCTTCGGAGCCGAAAGACTGACAAAGATCCTCGTCTCGTCGATCAGGTTCGTCGCGTATGGTTCCTCTACGATAGACATGCTTTCTTCGCTTTCGTGTTTATGCCAAGTGCCCATCCAGCCGCGTTTGCCGTCGGCGGTGAACATGTCCCAGTCGAGAGAGGGCATAGTCATGACGGCTGTCGTGATGCACGTTCATTAAGATACCGTTCAAGGGAACATAACGAAGGCAGATGAGAAGAGGGTGCGTAAGGGAGTAAAACGTACCACGAGCGCCTTCGCTATATGTCACTTCAACGTCCGCGGGCAACGTGCTGACAATGCCATCGTATGGCGAGGTGAAGTACGAGGGCTTAAGCGAGGCAGAGCCACCACCGGACAATACGTACGCCTTCGCATTGCCACCCACAATCGCGATCTTCTTCAGTTTTGACGGTTGGAGCGGAAGGATACCACCCTCATTCTTCAGCAGAACAATGGAGTCGGCCGCAACTTTGCGCATCAAAGCTTTATCTTCGTCGCTCTCGCGGGTCCGTTCGATACCATCGCCATCGAGGATCTACACACACGTTCATTTGCAAGTGGGGATTGAATGTCAGTGCTTTGCGGACTCAAAGGAGCAGAAAGAATATGAAGGCTACCTCGGGGGCCTCCCTTGCACATCTCTGCACCAATTCCAACACCTTCCTCGCCCTCTCCTTGAGGGTTCTCTGCGTGATCTTTCTGGAACCGATTGATCTAGTCACCAGGTCATTAGTGCGCCATTTATTTGTGCCAGGCATCTCGAGGTCCAATCCAGCATTGATGGAATGGTCGATGCTGTACACGCCGAACCTGTATACCGTATATCACCAAGACGAGTTGAGAGAAAAGCGATTATCCAATAGAAAGGAAAATCAGTCAGATGTTCGATGTAGGGAGGAAGAAACAAGAGCCAAGGATGTATTTTGGGGTGGGGTGGAGTGTTATGGCACACCACACGTACCAATCGCTCATCGTCATGCCTTGAAAGCCCCACTCTTTCCTCAAGATATCGCGTATGAGGTATGTATTTTCCGAGGCGTGGGTGCCGTTCACGCGATTGTAACTAGAAATCAAGGGAATGAAGGAGACGAATACTAAGCGATGAGAACACTGTGCCCGAATTTTCGAGATGAATAACTCACGAGGTCATGAAGGACCAAGGCTCGGCGTACCTCTGCGCGAGCATGAAAGGCATGAGGTAGATCTCGCGGAGAGCGCGTTCACTGAGAATACTGTCATAGCCCATCCGGTCGTTCTCTTTGTCGTTGCAACTGGATAAGACATATCATGAGAAGCGGTAAGTTGGGCGTTAGGTATAGTTAAAGACATACACAAAGTGCTTAATGGCAACACCGATGCCTCCTTTCTGCACGCCTCTGACGTACGCAGCGGCAATGAGGCCGGAGAGGAGAGGATCTTCGGCGAAACTTTCGAAAGACTTATAAGAAATGATTTCAGTATCACGCTCTGGCTTGTTGTGGTCGTCACACTTACACGACCTCCAAGAGGGTTCTAAGCAGAGTGTTAGATTTCTTTGACAAGCAAGTATAGTGAAGATAGACACGTACCCGCTGGATGTTACAAGTCGGTGCCAAGGCAATAGACGCTGCCCTCAGCTTCGACTCAGCAGCTAGCAACTTCAGACCGACTTCCTCGAGCAGCTCAGTGTCGAAAGTGGCGCCCATAGCAGTCGAAGACTATGATAGTACAGAAAATTCAGTAACTGTGGTCGATATCAAGGCGAAACGAAATAACACGAACCGGAAGGCACTTCGCAGGGGTTCCCATAACGAAATGATTTCCTCGAATGCCTGCCATCAGACATCCTAATCAGCTTTCGCCCCCTAGAATATCTACAAAATGACCTACCATTGGGACCATCGCTAACCTATCGCAGAAATACCACAATTCATTAGTACAATACACGATGCACGACGAATAGGGGCAAAGCAACTTGCCTTCACCGCAGGTACACCCAACCTCGGAATTGCAGCCGTATGCCAGAACCCCACTCCCGCAATCAATTGAGTAACCTCCTCGACGGTCAATTTCTCCACGACCTCGTCTAAATCAGCCTTCGCGAAATCAGAGGGTGCCATCCTGTCTGTTTTCGAATACTATAGTTGGTGGCGTTCGTTCAAATCAAGCTCAATTTGTTGGAGTTTTGCTGAAGTGGGGGAAACGCTGGACACGGTGGACTGCAGCGCAGAAGGGGGGAAGATAACTTGTGGCATCGAGAGCAGGCGTTCTTATGTACATTTCGAGGGGAGGGATATCGGAACGAGAGACAAATCCTGGTCATCCCACCGACAAGCCTCAAGCCATTTTGCGAACTAAGAGCGCACGTGAGCGTATCGATTTCGCCGACGTTTTCCCGGCCCGTCTCAAGGCCTCCTGAGTGTGGCGAGACTTATTTGGTAGGTCATTGAAGGATAGAGCACCTTTCAATGTATTTTGTGGTGCTGGAGAAGGGATTGCTTGTTGTTCTTGGTGTATTGCACCCTTGCACCCCGTTAACGCCGTAGAATTCGCCGTGTTGCCATCCAGGAATGGGTCGCACTCACACAGAGTTCAGAATAGGGTATCCAAGACTCTCAGGCTATATTTCCACTCGGACATTCGGATATACTCAGGAACAGCGGATCAAAACCAAAGACGTTAGGAAGTATCAAGTGATAACTGAGGGTAAATGGTATTCCGTACCAGGAGAGATGAGAGATGAGAAACGACGAAGACACTGAAGCAAAACAAGGAAAGATAACAATATAAGACTGTCTTTGAGATCCCCCTGGACGGCACCTAATTCAACGATATCTCCTCCGTCTCACCGACGTCCTCGTCCCCATCCTCAGCCGTACTCCCCATACTGTTCCCCCTCTCAAGCTGCGGGGGTGGTGGCACCTCTACACTCGACGGCGCCACAACGCCCACAGCCTCCAACCCAGCCTCCTCCGTATCATCCTCACTCTTCGACATACTCTCATCTTCCTCTCCATCTCTAGCCTCTTCCGCTTCTCTCGCCTCCTGGGCCATTTTCATATGCTCCGGCGTGATCTGCGGTACAGGGGGCGCAGTCGTCGGCGACGGTGGCGGAAACTTGAACTCCCTATCCATGGTCCCATGTCTCGCTCTCGGAGGTTTACCGGACTTTGGTGACTTCATGACAGGAACCTCTTGTTCGCCTTCGCGATATGTGGCTTCTTGAGCCTCTTCGGGCGTTGGTTCGAAGGTGTTACGCGATGGTGATTTGGCAAGTGGTTGGGCCGGAGGAGAGGAAACTGCGCGTGAAGGGGCGGGCATGGAGGCGCGGTTGGCACTACGGTTCGATTGAGCGCTGTTGGGTAGGGAGGCTTGTGACATGGACTGTGGTCGTGTAAATGGTGCAGGGTTGAACTGCGCCGAAGGAGTAGTTCCTAGGTAGTATCCAGAGATAGGTATCATCCTGCAATAACTTCAGTTATCCTGTTGACATTTAAAGGAAGAGGAGAAACACGCACTTCCTCTCAGCATGACAAGCCAGGATCCATTGTGGCTGCACCACTGGTATACTTAACTGCAACGCCCTCTGATATTCCACACCCGGCGCAGTGCTCACGCTCCCTGACGCCTGTGCTCCAGAAGGAGTCGCTGCCGGCGTCGTGCACACGAAATGCGTCGTATCAATCTGAATCTTGTCGCTCCACTTCGCCCTCATCTCCTGCAGAGCCATCTTGGCGTTCTCTAACAACACCGAGTCCTGTACGTTCCCAAAGCATACCGAAATGCCCGAGGTGTCGGTCATGGTGTGCGTCTTGACGCGAATGAGGTTGGAGTGGAAGGTCCCTGCAGAAGTACGCAAGACGAGACGGAAAGTATACTCAGTGTTGATGTCGAGACCGGAGAGTTTGGTGGAGGTATTTTGGAGAGGTGAGGGTATCGGAGCGAGACGTTGGCCGTTTTTATAGATGTCGAGGGACCGGAGGGAGGCAGTGGCGAGTTGAAGTGGCGGCCATTCAAGTGTAATAGAGGTTTGGGTAACGTTCCTCAGCTAAGATGAAATAACGAACGGAAGTCGTGCGAGCACCAGGCAAGATATATGAACGGGTCCTGTGTGGCGCCACGATACGTGGAGTTGAACTCACATTGATTTCTGGCGGTTGAGGAAGGTCCCTTCCGAACGTCTCCAGTATATCACTCTGCAAGTCCCAAAACTCATCGTCCCGTTTCCGCTCTTCCTCCACATTCTGCGTAACGGATATATTGACAATAGAGCCTGTTGTTGCCCCAGGAGGAAGCAATAATGACGGAAACTCGATGAGGTGGGCGCGTTCTCCGAGAAGAATCTACAATGTCAATATCTATAAGAAATTCCTGTCTAGGCCCTCCAGTTGTAGGTAGACTTACAGCCATGCCAGCATCTATGGGTGGGGCCGTATCATTCAGTAACCTGTGCACGAATTTGAAGACTGGTACTACGCACCAAGCTTTCCAACCGTAAACATGAAGCTATCTGGGCCCTTCAACGCCATTATGAGCTTTCAGATGTTATCTAAGATACTGAACGCTGTTCAAGGATTCCTGAAGGGAGAGAAGATGATGTCGAGCGTGGCCGTTGCTTTCGACGCGCTGAACGCGTCAATGATTGGTTGAATAATTATTTAATTCGCATTTGAAATTCAGTGCCACACGACGGTTGCTCGAGCGCTCAACCATCCTTTTGCTTTGAGCCCACAAACGCTGTGGTGATATTTTGGAGCTGGGAGGCGGAATTCTGTAGTTGCGTCAAGGTAGTTCTTTGTCGCTAATAAAACAATTTACAATGCTGGAAAGGCAATCTACGAGGAGGCAAGGACAGTGCCAACGTGGCGTGAGGCCCCATGACCTGGTAGAGGAAGATAGCTGTCCATGGTATTGCTCAACCTGAGAATGTAGAACGAGTGGATGAGGTTGAGAGTTTGGTATATATGGATGAATCGGTGAAAGAAGGAGAGCCACCCGATGGAGCAGAGACCGAAGAAAGCGAGCAGCAGAAACATCGCAGACTGCCACGCCAAGAATCAGAAGAAGGTAGAATGAGCATCAGAGGGAGGATTTATAAGAAAGAGAGTCATTGGGTTGACACCCATGAAACGGACGCTGTAATAGCGTGCTGTCACAGTCCCCGATGGCCCTAATGGTGGAAACCATCAGCTCAAGACATGGGGCTATGTCAAGCATAAAAAGAACTCGCCCTTGGCCCGGCTCTGAAAGTTCTCCCCTTATTACCACAATGCTCCCCATCCCTCCCTTGTCTCTTCCTGAGCAATCTTCCGTCCCTTCCTTCCCTCGAATGTTCAGACCCTTCCCAACTCCTGAGATGGCCGCTTCTCCTCCCATGAAACTTTCTCGCCTTATCCTCTGACTTTCTATCACCTTTGACCTTCCAACTCTTCATCTCGCTCCCCATCTCTGCCATGGGATCTCCATGCCCACGATGAACATTTGTGTCGACCATAAAGCGCCTCCTGAGAGGGGCAGGTTCACAGTGATCTGTATTCGTCCTCGTGTGGGTTTTGTATTGTGTGTGGCCAGTGGAAGACATCGTTTGGGAGTATAGTTCGAAGAAGTCGGCAGCCACAGGGCGAGGAGTCCGTTGCTGGCTGCATAAAGCATTGTCGATGCGCGATGCAGATACCGCGGCGCTGTCGGCAGAATTGCAGTTTGATATAGAGCTACCGCATTCGACTGGAGGACTGGAGTCGGACAGCGTTGATAGATGGGAATCACCAGACAGAGGCTCGACACAGCTGCCCCAAGAGTTCGACGCAGTTCCCGAGGACAAAGAATGCGCATATATCGAGCTATACGCGAGTCCAGGGATGTCCGCGACCTCTCCATCCTCCAACGGCAGAGAATCAGACTTGGTACTGAAACGAGGCAGAGGAGATGGCGTTGAGGTCGTTGGTGATGCTGTCCCGGAGACGAGTGGCGAGGGTACATTGATGCGTCCATGGAGGTCCGAGGCTTCGCCTGAATCAGAAGACTGCTGTGAAGGAGGTACTGGAGAAGCAATGACCAACCCATGCGGGGGAGGATACGATATGATGCCTGTGAGGTCGAGGTTGGTAGGCAGATGGAGATTCAACTCGGTGAAGACGTAGTAAAGAAGTTGTCGAGAGAGACCACAGTCGACAAGATACTCTGAAGGTACACCCCAGCCGAGTAGATCGAGTACAGCTTCCTTCGCTGCCGCAAACTCATGCTGATTCACTAGTCACCGAAGTCATTAGCTGCGCATGATGATAACGTGGACTATTAACGGACTGGTTAGGCCTGGACGAACGTGGTGTTCATCGATGAAGACGACATCTCTGAGTCGTTCGGGAGTCGAAACGGGGAAAACTGAACAAGATGTCGGAGGCAATGCAAGCGTCTGACTGTACCGGGAGAGAGAAATACCAGATGATTCAGGAAGAAATTTTTCGTTCCCTATGGTGACGGACAAAGGAGCATGAGCGCTTTTGGGAGACATAGCACGTATTTGTCGCGGAGTGGAAAATGTCAGATGCTAAATGGCACCGTCACGAGAAAACTGAAATGAGTCCAAGCACAGAAAGCAGAAAGGCAGACTCTGTAGAGCTAGGACCTAGACCAAAGTGTGAACGTCTGAGACTTCTCTGAAAGCACTGAATGCTCTGGCGAACTTGAGGTCGTGGTAAAAAAGTAACGAACGTTGCGCCACCCGAGCCAAATTAAATGCTCCGGAAGATCCCGTTCGAGCGGCGGTGCCGAGGAGTCGAGGACACCTTGCGTCTGTGTCTGCTCTGCGCTTCGCTTCCACATGCCGTCAATAAAATTGCCAAGACGTGTACACGAATGATCTTAGGGCCGGGCGTTGGACCATTCAGCCACTCGGAAAGGTTTTGACAATTATTGTAAGAGGTTGGGGTCTTGGTCTTGAGGTATTCGCGCCTGAGAGAACGGTACCCGCCTGCCCGTCGAGGGTGCGGATGGTATTCCAAGAGGTACGAAGGTTACAAGTAAGATACAGAGTACATACGAGAGTCCATGAATATATATACGAGATCTGGCTTGTTTGCCAGGAGCAAACAAGCGCGCGTGATAAGATAAGATCGATCGCCCGGATACAGCAACGCGGAAGTGGCGCTTAGGATAGATGTGGCCCACTCATGTTGAGTGCCACACCGTATCCCTAGCCGCCCCTTACACTCTCCCCTACTGAGCCGAACTACGGCTCACTTAGGATGGCGGCGCGGGTCCAGGAGGGCCAGGGGGAGGAGGACCGAATGGAGGTGAGGGTGGAAATGATGATGGGTCGGCCTCCGCCTGGGCTCCTGATTGAGGACCTAGTGCAGCCCCAGCGGGACCAAACTGACCAAACGAGTATATCGTTGGGTGAGTTGGTGCCGGCTGAGGCACTGCCGAAGAGAGAGGGGCTCCTGCATTTTGCGGAGCCGCGGGGATACCACTACCACTCGGTTGGGGCCACTGGTTAGGGCCCGACGGAGGGTATGCGTAGGATTGCGAACTTTGTTCGCGCGGCCAGCCCTGATAGTACGGGTAGGATGGTTGAGGGGCGGGAGCCGGGTAAGTGAATCCACCAGCTGGTGGAACATTACCCTGACTCCCGGGCTGTTGCGCGAACGACGTAAGCTGGCCCCATTGAGTCGATGTTGACCCATATGGAGCCCACTGCTGCTGCTGCACAGGCTGTTGCCATGTGAGAGTCGGTTGTGGGGGCTGCCATTGCTGCTGCTGCTGTGGCGGTTGAGGCCACTGCTGAGGTTGATGTGCGGGAGGCTGCATTTGAGCCTCACTCGCAGGTGATCTAGGAGGCGGAGGTTGCATTTGAACCTCAGCGGCGGATTGAGAGAACCAGGAAGCCGAAGGTTGGGCTTCCTGGGCAAGGCCACGATCACGGGCTTGAGCCCACGTTTCCTCAAGGCTCGCCCGGTTGGGAGCCTGAGGAAAGTCGGCGTCGGAGAGTCCGGGTCGACCAAGAAGGTTGTTGCGTCGAGTACGAGCCCATCTTTCGAGCTCGTGCAACTGTCCGGCTGATGTTATTACCAGCCGGAGATGACGCAACATCGCTCTCTCGTTGCCAATGAGAGAGTGATCAAGACGCGGAGTGGTGGTTCCAGTTGGAACCACCGATTGAAGAGAATGGTAAGCCCATTGGGCTTCCAGGTTTCCGGGAACAGAGGCCACGGTCATGGTGTATCGTCGGAATGCGTTTGCATCCTGACGTGCCACGAGCATGTCCTCTGGGCTGTTCGAAGCAGCCCCCGGAGCGATCGACTCGAGCCACCGATATTGGCGGACCCAGCGAAGATCGATCTCACCACTGATGATGAGAGCGCCTTGCGGCATGGTCACACCGGGGTGATTCCAGTACTCTGCCCATTCTCTATCGCTCGCGTTAGAGCCCGGTTGAGGCAGGGCAGGAGGAGGAGCCCGGCTGCGTTGAGCTCGGGGCCTCGGGAGATCAGCGATGGTCCTTGTCGCAGATTGCGACTCGGACCTTGCATTGGGAGCGGAGCCCTCAGTTCGCGACTTCTTTTGCCGCGAAGGAGCTCCCACTTCACCAGAGGAGGAAGCGTGCCGGGGTGCACGCAGGTCTCTTTGAGATGACCATTGGAGGAAGCGTCGCTGCCCCAATGACAGTCTCTCTGGTTGTACACATCGGAGGTTATTATCCTCCATGATCAATCGTCGAGTCGCGGAGTCATTGCCTCCCTCGCTCGCGATGATCACTTCTTCATAGTCCCTCTCACTACGAAGGGAGCCGCGTGTCCAATCCCGCTCGCCTTGTTGTCCTTCTTCGTCGTCACGCTTGCGCTTACCGCTCGTGTCAGACGAAGAGGAAGGAGCGGGATTAGGGGCGGCGGGAGCATTTGCAGGCGGAGGCATTCTTGCCATCAGCTCGGCCTCTCGTCTAGACCTGTTTTGTCTTTGACGAGAGCGCCTAGCGCGCCTGCGTCCAGAGTCCGTAGATCCTGGCATGCCTGGGGTAGTCATCCATCCCAGGCCTGCCAACACCTCGTTATCCGGGCCGGAACCTTCTCCTTCGTCATCAGAGTCGTCGATCCTTGTGAGACGCGACGGCCCTGCTGTCGGAGGAGAGCGTGGTGGGAGACGAACAACAGGAGCATTTGGCCCTGCTGTTGTTGAGGAGGATGTGGTGGGGGCAATTGCTCCCGCTCCTTCGGCTTCATGGACTTGCTTGTCCATGTCCTCATCCTGCTCTTCGGTGACCACGGGATCTGTTGACCCCGAGTCTTTTGGTGGAGCGAAGCTATGGGCCCCTTTCGGGTAGCCCTCATAGGAATCGTCGGAGTCAGAGAACGCGGCGTCAGGATGGTTTATCCTGCGCTCTTTGTCGTACTCCCTCCTCAGGCTGTCATACGCGGGCCTCATCCACGAGAGGTCGTGCTGGAGCCTGTCCGACTGTTCCTGCAGCTCGCGATTGCGAGCTGCAAGCCTCCGTGAATCAGCGAGGGATTCCTCGAGCCGAGAGGATACCTCGTTGACCCTCTTATGGAGGGCTTTCAACTCCTCGTCGTTTTTGGACGCCAGTTTAGCCGATTGGCTAACCTGGGCGCTTTTCCTTTTGTTAGACTCCTCGAGTCTACGCAGGTCTTCACGGATTCTCCCGTAATCCTGTTCCTGCGTCGCGGAGGCTCCCAGTTGAGCCTTCAACGCGCTGACTCGCCCCGAAAGGTTGGAGTTCTGCTCCGTCAGGGATTGAACCTGCTGGCGGAGCTGACGCAACTCTCCTTCCGTTATATCACGTTGGTCCGATTGACCGCTGCGATACCCTTCCTCGCGTCCCTCTGCTCGGGACTGCTGGAGAAGGTTACTTTGATGAGCTTGACGATCCCGGGTGGCGTCGTCAACCCCATCAGAGTGGGAGAGGTGGTGGTGGTCGAGATGGCAGACATATTGTCTGCACATCTCGCAGTACGTTCCCGGGTGCATTATTATCTGCAACCGTTCGTGGTACTGCAAGTTGGAGTTACTGGGGTCCCAGTTGGGACCACCAGTGCTGTTTACAGTACCCTCAATTTGAGGGTACGTTCTGGGCGGTGGAGGAGGCGGAGACGGCGGAAGGGCAGGCAGCGACGACAGATCCATGCCTGAGGCTTCTGCAGTTGCAGAAGCCTGACGGCTTGTCATTGCTTCCAATGGGTAGGTGGCGACTGGCGCCTCGACTACCACATCGTCTACCTCCATCGCCGTCGTCACGGCGTCTTCCTCGGGAACGGGAGGGAGAGGTGTCGATGCAGACAACTCACCTAAGCGGTTTGCCTGCTCGATGTCCTCCTGAGTGACTGGGAGGGGATCAGAAAGATCCCCGGATGTTTCTGTTAACGAATCCGAGTCGTCAGTATACTCGCCCCAGTTTTCGAGGAGGTTTATGTGGATGAACTCTGAGAGTATCTTTTGATACCCCGATTCATCCAACGCACCTGCGATGGGAGACTCCGTTGAGTCTCCCGGAGTCAATTTTGACTCCGTGGGTTGTTTTGGGTCCTTTGACGGTTCGGCCATTGCGTGGAAGGGAGAGAAGATGGGGGTTTGGAAGACGGAACGCGGTCAACTGCACCAGCGTCTTTTCAGACGCGCTGCACAGCTGGCCACGTGCTCGCTTAAGTCCGTCTTCGGAGATCTGATCTTGGCCGAGCGTGCCTTTTTCGGCGCTTCTTCGGCTATCAGATCCCGATCCTCCCTTACTCGACGCGTCTTGGCGTCGACAACCTTAAATCAAAGCGGAACCGGGTACAGAGGGCTCGCGCGGTAGTTCAGTGGCGGAGGCCACGCCACGCAGAGCCAGGTAGTCTCGTAGCAATTCAGTGTGACGAACCCGGTCAAGGCTCGTCCACTCTACATTACCCGTAGATAGTGTACCAATGAAACGAATTTTTTGTCCGTCCCATGAGTGCCCGACGAGAGATGTGAAATACACCTCATCGCGATCGGGCTGTCCGAAATCGTAGGCCGCTGCTAAATCCCTACTGGGAAATATATCATCGCTGCTTGCGATGTGCGGCCTGACAAGGTTCATATGGAACCGAGGGTGAATTCGTCGCTTGACGAGTTCATCCGGCAATTTTAGTTCACATACAGATTCTTTGGGCCACACTTTAGTGATTGGATATGGCCCAACGAATTTAGGGAGCAATTTATGCGCCCTTCCTTTCGGAAGATTCAGATTTTTGGTATTCAAATAGACGAGTTGTCCCTTTGAATACTCTGGTGCATCACGGCGTTTTTTATTAGCGTAGTAGGTCTGATTGACCCGACTTTCGATAATAGCGTCGTGAGCCCGTTGTAAATTGGCTCGAGCCTTTTCCGCAAAGTAATTAACCCCGCGGTATGGACTCTCCCCTACAGGAGTGGCCATCCATTTCGGCAAGTACCCATAATTAAGCTCGAAGGGAGCATAACCAGTACTTGCTGAGACACTGGAATTCATGGCGAACTCTACCATAGGGAGCCAATCGGCCCAAT